CTGTACCCTGTCTGAAAGGAAGTAACGCTAGAGTAGACTCGCGAAAAGTGTATAAGACACTTTTAAGATCAACTAAATAGCTAAGCCCAAGGGAAGTCGTTCGGGGAGGCCCTCCCTAATTCCACAAGGGTGAGAAGAAACACACACGATAACGAAACGTTGAATCATGTAGAACTCGTAGGGTAAATGCAAAGCAATTTATAGTAAGAATATGCAGTAAGCTAAGCGAAGAGGTAAGCAAGGTTAAACTATACTACAACTACTAAACGTGTTAGTTTTACTACTACTACATACAAAAATAAAAACATCTACAATCAACAATTACTTCAAATAAAATGAACAAACACTACTACTACATACTAAAAAAAAATAAAAACATCTACAATCAACAATCACTTCAAATAAAATGAACAAAAATAAGCATGCAAAATAAAAATTAATTTGAATAAAATGAACCTAATGAATTCTACTAGATAGAGCATGCAAGATAAACTGCCGGGTCATCTTTGTCTTCTCCAACGTCGATCTGAAACAGATACGGTGGTAACAGATTAATAAAGAGCAATTAAAATTAATTATATCAAGCATTCCCACCTTAATTAGTTGTAGACTGTAACTTTTCAAAGTTTGCAGATGTTACATGCAGACCAAATCCAGAAGGAATACCACAGCACAAAATGTTGTTTTAGTAAATCTCCTGTTGTTCTTATTTATCAGTTGAAAATTAACTTCATGATGTTGCAAGGTGAAGACGAAAACAGCAAATCAAGAATATAATCCACAAAAGACCACACCCATGTAGACATTGGCTGTTTCAGTATAACCAAACTGAACATTAATTCTCTCTTATTTATTGTATAACCTGTAGAAATGGATAAAAAACACATTAATTACACTTATAATTAAGAAACACAAATAAAAACGCATCAAAAAGCATGTAAAATAAGTTGAATTATAAAATAACAAGCGTTACATCCACGCCATTTTACATCACAACCATAGATCACGACATAGACAAATGTCAAATAATACGACGTCAATTTACGAAGCAGACAATAGAAAAAGGGTAAAAAGAAAATCCATTGATAAATCAACGAGTAGTAGTAGTTAGATGGTAGTTGGTAACTATCGATGGATAAACGCCAATTTATTCTGTGGGAAATAAAAGCTGTCACGAGAGATCGATGCACAATAACCTCAATTTATACTGTTGACAATAGATAATTGTTGAAAAAAATTCCATAACACATTAATAAAGAACAATTAGCATTAATGATGTCATGTTTTCTCACCTCAATTAATTGTAGAAAGTAGCGTACTAAAGTCTACCAGTCTGACAAGCAAAACAAATCTAGGAGGGATACCACTGCAAGCAATTTGTTGTTGCGGTCACTTCCAAATTAATTAATTTCCAATTGCCTGTCATTGTTACACCAATAATTAACTGCATAATGTTGCAAGGTGAAGACGTCAAAAGCATCGGTTGTTTTAGTAGTACCGAAATTAACTGCAATTTCTTCTCATTTGTGGGACAATCTATATAGAAAGGCAAGAAAAAGTAATTACCACTTTTAAAATCGAGTAAATCAGTAACATGCACACTACTGGAAATATCTGTTCCACATTAATTCCACTTCTGCCATTTCTGAAAAATTGTTTAAAGGTTGTCTATTGAAACAAATTACAAATGTCTAAGAAATTGAAGTTATCTAAAGATATTCTTTACTATTTTTAATTGATACTGTTACATACCAGTTCACTGTCATAAATTCTTTTTTTAGCACACGTCTTCATTCCCAATAGAAAAAAGGCACTTTCATGCTTACTTTGGAACCATGAGTACAGCTACTTAAACAACCAGTGCTCCATAATTTAATGGTATCCGAAGTTCTTCTAAAGTTCCTGCAAAATAAAATCTTATGAAAATGTATTCAGATATAATAAATTTAAGTTAGATCCTGACCGTTACTGTTAAATTATGTAGTTGTTATTGTAATATAATTGTTAAAGGAATGAATGAGGGTAAGAAAATAAAAAAATGCACTTCAATTGCAGATTGTAAAATGTATTCTATCTAGATTAAAATTACTAACACAAGAATGATTATTTCACATGCTGGCACATTCACAATTAGTTTGAAATGAACGTATAAGTTTGTCAAATTACATTCTGAAGCTTTATGTACTGCAATTATTAAAATAGAGTCACTTATAAATTCATTATTTGTTAATAACAAATTTCCACGAAAAAATTATGACGTGAATGATTAGTGAAGTTTCTTTATTATGGCACTGTCTTACTAACAAATTTATCAAAACTGATACGTTAATTATTTACGATTCTTCCTTAAAATCTGATCAAAGAAGCCTTTTCTCCATATCACTGCACAACAGCATTATTGATAAATATTAATTTTTTAAGATTTATTTTTGAAATCAGTAATAAATCCATGGTTCGTTTAAAAATTATTTTCCGAGAGGAAACTATGACATGACTGATTGAAGAAGCTTCTTTTCTATGGCACTGAACCATTACTTTATTAACAAACACATTACAATTGTTATATGGTATAGTAATATAATAGTAAGCATGTAATACTATTTTTCCTTTAATCGATGTGTATTTATCTTTGATAAATATTATCACATACCTCTGTGCTGATGCCAGTCAACATATTAGACATTAGCAACAGATATCAAGTTGTCTATAAGTTTTTATTTAATAACAAAATCTCCAATAGAAAATTATGCCCTAAAGAATTAAAGAAGCTTCTTTTCTGTAGCGCTAAATCCCTTTCATTAACAATGGAAGAGAAAGATCATTGTTCTTAGGAATTTTTGTTTACTGTTTATAACAAATTTCCAAAAGGAAATTATTTTAATCTGGTATTTTCAGGAGGGCAGACATTCTTACCTTAATAGACTACAAGACGTTTCCATGTGAAGAGGGCGAAAGCAACTGAGTTACATCCACTTATTGATATCACTCCACACAAACTTCGATATGCTTTCATTTAGAAAACATCTGTAAAAAAAACAAGAAAAAACGAATTTGCTGCACTGTTAATGAACAGGACATTAAAAATATAAACCTACCTACAATCAAGTAAAACTAGTTTAGAGAATCATTAAAACTACAAAATTGTAAAATGGCGACGTAGATTCAGTATGAACCATAGACAAGTGTGAACATAGACACAAATATGTCGCAGATTAACAGAACAAAACATATAGTACACCATAGAGTTATAAACTTTAAAAAGAGACTCCCCTCAAAGGCATAGATACATTGATTGTCGCCTACCATAGAACACCTACGAAAACAATAGTACACAATTTCCCATTGAGTAAGAGAACGAACTTAGATACGTTCAGAAATATTAATCAATATTTGATTTGCTGGCACATTTATAATTTAAAATTAATGTGTTAGTTTGTAAAATTAAATTCTGAAGCCTTATGCAGTACAAGTATTGCAATTCACGGTCATTTATAAATTCTTAATCTGTTAATAACAAACTTTCGAGAAAAAATTGTGGCAGGAATGATTAAAGAAGATTCTTTCCTATGTCGCTCCTTCACTGTTTTCTTAACAAATACGTTAAAATTGATACTATAAATTATTTACGATTTTTCCCTCGAATTCTTCCGAAACCTATCAGGCAATCCACTGCAGCACAATCTGCCTTACTGTTAATCATTTTTATGGGTAAAGGAGTAAAAATATTTTCAAAATTAAAGCATTTCTTTATTATTTACTATTACTTAATAACCACAACTTAACTTAGATATTTATATGGTTACTTCTAAGTTATTTACAATTGTTTAAGGACGCTTTTTCTACTTTTTTATTTTTAAAAGTAATTAATACGACCTTAAAGGTTGTGAAAGCTAATAGTTGTGATTTGCACTTACCGCTAGATTTATTTTAATTTGCCAAAAATCCCCCATCAACAGGTAAACAAGCCCCGTTAATTAAACTTGCCCTGTCACTAAGAAGATATATTACTGCGTCTGCTACTTCTTCGACTTTACCAAATCTGCATGAAGAAACAAACACATATGACAATATCCCTTATTTAAAAAAGCAATTAGAATATTAATTTAAGTTAAAATCAACGATCTTGTTTGTACAGAATCAAGTCAATATCATAAATGAAAGAATAAAAAAATCGAACTGAAAAGTCGACGACGCTTTACTAAAGGCGGTTCAAATCTCAACCACAGATTCTCCTATATTAATTTATCGAGTGCACTATCAACTTATCAATCAATAAATAAATGTTATTATTGACCTTCCCAGTGGTATTTTGGCCAACATCGGAGCCGATTTAACAGGATCCGACCATGCCCTTCGTCCCATTTCAGTCATAATTATAGTCGGATTGACGCTGTTGACCCGAATACCATAGGGACCAAGTTCAAGGGCTGCGGCACGTGTAAATGCATCCACAGCACCTTTCGTGGCGCAGTAAACAGACTGAAGAACTATGCCAGCCATCGACGCTTGAGAGGAAATATTTACAATCGATCCGGGAACATTACGAGAAATAAGATCGGAAGCCACCTTTCGGGTCAAATTGATTATGAGCTTTGTATTAACATCAAATTGTCTAAAATTTAATTATTTAGAAATAGGTACACAACATGGATATTCAAAATTCCTAGTGGGCAGGTACCTATCAACATTTCTTTCGGTTATTTCAGTAATTTTTTCTTCGAAACAAACCCCAGCACAATTAACAAGTAAGTCAACATGGCCTAATTCTAATAGATTTAAATTGTTTACGTTTTCCCATTTCGAAAGATCCAACGCTAGGGGCGTAACCGTGGGAATTTCTCTTTTCAACGAATCTAAAAATACACTTTTATCGTATGCTTTTTGCTATTGTGTTATATAAAACACTTACTTAGCAATTCGGGGTTTATATCAACCGCAATAACTTTAGCATTACATTGAACTAATCTCTGGGTTATTTCTTTCCCTATTCCTAAAAAAGTTCCACAAGTTAAAATTTTGTTTAAATTTCTTTGTTATTTATTAATAATATTAAAATTTACCTGAAGCGGCTCCAGTAACTAATGCCTGTTTTCCTACAAAGGAAATATTCATTTTACCTAATTCAAGTTAAACGCTTGTTTCGGCTATTGCTGGATAAACTGGAATTTATTGCTTTTCTCTTCTCCTCACCATATATACACCTACATATGCACACATATCTTTTATCAATTTGATTCTTATCAATACTTAACCGATGATAAACAACGTTCGCGAAGAGTTATGAATACAAGTTTACATAACAGATTCTTACATACTTGACACCTGTCTTGCGTTATTTTGATAGAGTACAACACGATTAGTTTTTGTAAACAAAATTGCAATGAATAAAAATTTAATCTGCCTGTTATATCTACAAAAATAGAAATATTTACCACGTATGTGTACGTGTAGTAGCCACGATAAAATGGGGAGGTGGGATTATGATCCGTTTCAAAAATAACACTCGACGAAGCGAATTAATTTTATTTTTTTCCATGATTAATTAAAGCTCGGGATAGGGAAAAAACTGCGGGATACTATTATGGAGACTGAAAAAGTCTAACAGATGTAGGCAGGCGATCACAAGATGTGTATAAAGAAATACATATAATAGAATAATACAATAATTTTTGTTTATACAGCAACGTATCCGCCGTCTGTTAGAAGTGAAACACCATTAACCAAGCTAGCTTTGTCACTCAGAAGATAGAGTATAGCATCAACTACCTCGTGTACTTCCCCGAAACTAAAAGTGAAAGTTATCCTTAAAACATTATTATTAGGTTTTATACATTTCTAGAAATTTAAATTATATTATAATTTATCACTAATAATTTAAATTTCGTAGAAAGAAATCAGAACTGTTCAGGTAAATAATCCATTCGTTTGTTAAAAGCAAAAGCATGATATCCCGTCAGCACATCATCTGATTTCTTGAAATCTATAGGCTCGACAAAATTAATTCTCTTACCACGAATTAGCTACAAATTACTCACATTTTTTATATGTGATTTGCTAGAGTGATACATTTACTGACTACCCACCCAATGGTGATGATTATTTTATGCTTACCGTTTTAGAGGAATTTTTTCAAGCATCGGTCCTGCTTTCGCAGCATCCGACCAACCTAATTTGCCCATATCGGTCAGAATGACGGTAGGATTAACAGTGTTAACACGAATATTATGGGGACCGAGTTCGAGGGCAGCAACCCTTGTAAATGCATCAACGGCCCCTTTCGAAGCGCAATAAGCAGCGTGATCTTGAAGTCCAACTTTCGACGCTTGAGAAGAAATGTTGACGATCGCTCCGGGTGCTTTACGTGCTATCAAACCTTTTGCAACTATTTGCGTAACATTGATTACCGCTTTTACGTTTATATCGAAAATCCTAATTTTAATTGTCATTATTAGGATTTTATTTTATAAGATAAGCATACTGTTGGTACCTGTCAACACTTTCTTGTGGTATTTGTCCTATCGGCTCCAAAATAGCTAATCCTGCATTATTAACTAACAGATCTACAGGTCAATAGAAAATTATGCCCTAAAGAATTAAAGAAGCTTCTTTTCTGTAGCGCTAAATCCCTTTCATTAACAATGGAAGAGAAAGATCATTGTTCTTAGGAATTTTTGTTTACTGTTTATAACAAATTTCCAAAAGGAAATTATTTTAATCTGGTATTTTCAGGAGGGCAGACATTCTTACCTTAATAGACTACAAGACGTTTCCATGTGAAGAGGGCGAAAGCAACTGAGTTACATCCACTTATTGATATCACTCCACACAAACTTCGATATGCTTTCATTTAGAAAACATCTGTAAAAAAAACAAGAAAAAACGAATTTGCTGCACTGTTAATGAACAGGACATTAAAAATATAAACCTACCTACAATCAAGTAAAACTAGTTTAGAGAATCATTAAAACTACAAAATTGTAAAATGGCGACGTAGATTCAGTATGAACCATAGACAAGTGTGAACATAGACACAAATATGTCGCAGATTAACAGAACAAAACATATAGTACACCATAGAGTTATAAACTTTAAAAAGAGACTCCCCTCAAAGGCATAGATACATTGATTGTCGCCTACCATAGAACACCTACGAAAACAATAGTACACAATTTCCCATTGAGTAAGAGAACGAACTTAGATACGTTCAGAAATATTAATCAATATTTGATTTGCTGGCACATTTATAATTTAAAATTAATGTGTTAGTTTGTAAAATTAAATTCTGAAGCCTTATGCAGTACAAGTATTGCAATTCACGGTCATTTATAAATTCTTAATCTGTTAATAACAAACTTTCGAGAAAAAATTGTGGCAGGAATGATTAAAGAAGATTCTTTCCTATGTCGCTCCTTCACTGTTTTCTTAACAAATACGTTAAAATTGATACTATAAATTATTTACGATTTTTCCCTCGAATTCTTCCGAAACCTATCAGGCAATCCACTGCAGCACAATCTGCCTTACTGTTAATCATTTTTATGGGTAAAGGAGTAAAAATATTTTCAAAATTAAAGCATTTCTTTATTATTTACTATTACTTAATAACCACAACTTAACTTAGATATTTATATGGTTACTTCTAAGTTATTTACAATTGTTTAAGGACGCTTTTTCTACTTTTTTATTTTTAAAAGTAATTAATACGACCTTAAAGGTTGTGAAAGCTAATAGTTGTGATTTGCACTTACCGCTAGATTTATTTTAATTTGCCAAAAATCCCCCATCAACAGGTAAACAAGCCCCGTTAATTAAACTTGCCCTGTCACTAAGAAGATATATTACTGCGTCTGCTACTTCTTCGACTTTACCAAATCTGCATGAAGAAACAAACACATATGACAATATCCCTTATTTAAAAAAGCAATTAGAATATTAATTTAAGTTAAAATCAACGATCTTGTTTGTACAGAATCAAGTCAATATCATAAATGAAAGAATAAAAAAATCGAACTGAAAAGTCGACGACGCTTTACTAAAGGCGGTTCAAATCTCAACCACAGATTCTCCTATATTAATTTATCGAGTGCACTATCAACTTATCAATCAATAAATAAATGTTATTATTGACCTTCCCAGTGGTATTTTGGCCAACATCGGAGCCGATTTAACAGGATCCGACCATGCCCTTCGTCCCATTTCAGTCATAATTATAGTCGGATTGACGCTGTTGACCCGAATACCATAGGGACCAAGTTCAAGGGCTGCGGCACGTGTAAATGCATCCACAGCACCTTTCGTGGCGCAGTAAACAGACTGAAGAACTATGCCAGCCATCGACGCTTGAGAGGAAATATTTACAATCGATCCGGGAACATTACGAGAAATAAGATCGGAAGCCACCTTTCGGGTCAAATTGATTATGAGCTTTGTATTAACATCAAATTGTCTAAAATTTAATTATTTAGAAATAGGTACACAACATGGATATTCAAAATTCCTAGTGGGCAGGTACCTATCAACATTTCTTTCGGTTATTTCAGTAATTTTTTCTTCGAAACAAACCCCAGCACAATTAACAAGTAAGTCAACATGGCCTAATTCTAATAGATTTAAATTGTTTACGTTTTCCCATTTCGAAAGATCCAACGCTAGGGGCGTAACCGTGGGAATTTCTCTTTTCAACGAATCTAAAAATACACTTTTATCGTATGCTTTTTGCTATTGTGTTATATAAAACACTTACTTAGCAATTCGGGGTTTATATCAACCGCAATAACTTTAGCATTACATTGAACTAATCTCTGGGTTATTTCTTTCCCTATTCCTAAAAAAGTTCCACAAGTTAAAATTTTGTTTAAATTTCTTTGTTATTTATTAATAATATTAAAATTTACCTGAAGCGGCTCCAGTAACTAATGCCTGTTTTCCTACAAAGGAAATATTCATTTTACCTAATTCAAGTTAAACGCTTGTTTCGGCTATTGCTGGATAAACTGGAATTTATTGCTTTTCTCTTCTCCTCACCATATATACACCTACATATGCACACATATCTTTTATCAATTTGATTCTTATCAATACTTAACCGATGATAAACAACGTTCGCGAAGAGTTATGAATACAAGTTTACATAACAGATTCTTACATACTTGACACCTGTCTTGCGTTATTTTGATAGAGTACAACACGATTAGTTTTTGTAAACAAAATTGCAATGAATAAAAATTTAATCTGCCTGTTATATCTACAAAAATAGAAATATTTACCACGTATGTGTACGTGTAGTAGCCACGATAAAATGGGGAGGTGGGATTATGATCCGTTTCAAAAATAACACTCGACGAAGCGAATTAATTTTATTTTTTTCCATGATTAATTAAAGCTCGGGATAGGGAAAAAACTGCGGGATACTATTATGGAGACTGAAAAAGTCTAACAGATGTAGGCAGGCGATCACAAGATGTGTATAAAGAAATACATATAATAGAATAATACAATAATTTTTGTTTATACAGCAACGTATCCGCCGTCTGTTAGAAGTGAAACACCATTAACCAAGCTAGCTTTGTCACTCAGAAGATAGAGTATAGCATCAACTACCTCGTGTACTTCCCCGAAACTAAAAGTGAAAGTTATCCTTAAAACATTATTATTAGGTTTTATACATTTCTAGAAATTTAAATTATATTATAATTTATCACTAATAATTTAAATTTCGTAGAAAGAAATCAGAACTGTTCAGGTAAATAATCCATTCGTTTGTTAAAAGCAAAAGCATGATATCCCGTCAGCGCATCATCTGATTTCTTGAAATCTATAGGCTCGACAAAATTAATTCTCTTACCACGAATTAGCTACAAATTACTCACATTTTTTATATGTGATTTGCTAGAGTGATACATTTACTGACTACCCACCCAATGGTGATGATTATTTTATGCTTACCGTTTTAGAGGAATTTTTTCAAGCATCGGTCCTGCTTTCGCAGCATCCGACCAACCTAATTTGCCCATATCGGTCAGAATGACGGTAGGATTAACAGTGTTAACACGAATATTATGGGGACCGAGTTCGAGGGCAGCAACCCTTGTAAATGCATCAACGGCCCCTTTCGAAGCGCAATAAGCAGCGTGATCTTGAAGTCCAACTTTCGACGCTTGAGAAGAAATGTTGACGATCGCTCCGGGTGCTTTACGTGCTATCAAACCTTTTGCAACTATTTGCGTAACATTGATTACCGCTTTTACGTTTATATCGAAAATCCTAATTTTAATTGTCATTATTAGGATTTTATTTTATAAGATAAGCATACTGTTGGTACCTGTCAACACTTTCTTGTGGTATTTGTCCTATCGGCTCCAAAATAGCTAATCCTGCATTATTAACTAACAGATCTACAGGTCCTACATTTTTTAAGGCTTTCTCAGTTTCAGCCCAATTCGAAAGATCCACCACAATGATTTCAACTGACGGCACCTCAGCTTTTAACGATTCTAAAAGGTTTTCTATTTTTAATCTCCTATTTTCTGGCTAATGTAACCAGCATTTCAATTTATTTTTTTCACCGAATTAAATTTAAAGGACTGATAAGGCGCATTCTTGACCTATGACATACATCAGACATGAGTCAAATATTTATGAACTGCGAAAATGGGCTAATTTTCTAAGCGTTAAAATTAAATCGCATCACTAACAAAAAAAAACTAATGATGTAAGTAATATAATCATGAAATAATGCATATCTTTTAACCTTGATTTAAAACAGTTGCAGTAAAACTGTTATAAAAACGAAAACCCATTGTTGTCTTTCATTTCACAAGCCAAAACTGCGACAATCAACTGTCTTACCTAGCAAATTTTTATTTCTACTAACGGCAACAACTTTTGCGCCACATTTTACAAGTTGTTTGACAATTTCACGACCAATTCCTGAAAACAAAATCATATTTTTGGATCGACCAATTCCTTATACTTGGTTGTTATGTATTATTATTATTATGAAGTTAATGATTAATTTTAATTTATGAAATGTGCGTGAGATACAAAAGTTAGAAAAGAATCGAAATACTGTACTTTTTCTTTACTAACGTTAACTTTTTATTCCCATAATTTCTATAAGTACGTAATATACAAACGCATAAAACTATTAATCTATTTATTTTATGTGAACACTTGCTCTTACAAAAGAAAATGACATTGTTACCTTGACTTGCACCGGTTACTAGAGCCCGTTTTCCGTGAAAAGCAATTTCCATTTTAGCCTATAAGCCTTTTGAATGATCAATCAGCGACTAAAAATGTTTAACAAATATCGCTTTGCTGTCGGAAAGTTCACAACCCAGCCTGTTTGTACATGTCTGTGTACAAAAATATACAGTGTGACATAACAGCAAGGTCACCGAATTGTATATGTATAAAACTTATAACCAGTGTACCCTAAACAAAAAGTGCTTTTTACCAGCTACGGTAGCAATAAAATGCGTGTAGACGTGGACCAATTTATTATTTATTAAACGACATACGTACGTACCTACATACATTCTATTTTTAGTTCCACTTTAATAATAAGACGGAACATTAGGCAACAACCAAGTTGTGACTAGGCTTAGGCCTAGTGCGCATTGCGACTTTTCAGTCGCGGCGACTAAAAAATCGCAGTGCGCGCTACCCCTTATTCGATACTTTCATTGCGATGCGTATCAAGAAATTATCTTAGAGGGAAGTATCTTGAAAAATTATTGTTTTAAGTACCCCATATTGTTTCCACTTTAAGTCGATAAGAAATAAGAAATACCGTTCTACAAGAAAATTGAAACAAATTGTTTTCCTGATATCGACTGTTTTTATTCGGTACACTCTAGAAAATAAATTACATTTACGTAGTTTATGTAACAGAACAGGGTCGCAGTCGTAGGGACTAATATATAAAAGAAAATTTAAAAATCGAAAAATAGAAAAATACGTCTAGTGAATATTGTAAATTAGCGGGCCATTTTCGTCGTAAGATGCAGTAAAGAGTTTAAGAGTTAATAGAATCGATAATTCGTATTTATTTTTTATTTCGGCCCCTATTCACGAGTTCCTATTGAATATCTACATACGTAGGTATCAAAGTAAGGGAAAAAAATTACCTAATTTTGAACAAGGACTTGCAGAAAAAGGTGCCTATATAAAGAAACAATGGGGTTTATTGAATTCAGTAACTCTTGTCAGGTGAGTGTTAGCGATGATTTTATACATTTCTATCTTTTTTGCTCTCCAAATGCCCCACACTAACCAACGCGACATTAACAACAAAGTAATGCAGCATAGACCAATGATTGAACAAATTTTAAATAGTTTGGAAAACGTACTGAACTACACTAACACTAATTATCGAAAATTAAATGCTGACGCCGTTCTGGGAATTTCGATCGCCAAAGGTATTTTACTATTAATTGTTATATCCATCGGCTTAACAACGGTTTTGCAACATTTTGAAGACTGCTCCTATTTGAAATGAAAATTTACTAATAAACCTTATCAACTATTGCTTGATTTTGTACTAATGTTATTTAGATGATAACGTTTTTATAGTTTTTTACAGCTTGATTACGTTAAGCGAAGGATTAATTTTTGAGATAATAAATAAGAAACAACTAAAAGTTAAATTGGAAAATTACTTAATTTTTTATCTTTTCTAGCCCACTTAGCTAAAATACAAATCCACTCGTCAATTATTTCGTTGTTAAAGGAAAAAACGGACATAATTTTGAAAAAATCAGCGCCAAAAGTCCTAGACGAAGTTGACTGGTCGTTCAGATTTTGTACGTACCCGTAGTATCATACGTACCTATATTATTGTGTTATTTTTAGTACTAAAATATCTACTTGTAACTGAAACTTGGGAAAAAAATGTGATATTTACTCAAAACACAGTACCATTGACGAAACAGCAAAATTCTCAAAATCCAAACTGGAAAACTGTGATCGAGTTTTCAGACAATTTACTGAACAAAAACAGGGCAGAAAAACAATGGAACGATTGCGTATATTCATTGCTAACCAATTACTTGTTCTGGAATGATTGCAAGATTAATGAACATTGCGAAAAAAATTTTTTATTAAACAAGAGCATAAATAACGGGTACGGTATCCTTCACAGGTAAGAACTACACTTGTAATTTATTTGTCATTAGCCATCTGATTAAGGGATATATATATTTTTACAAACTCTCTTGCTATCCAATTAATAGGAACTAAAAATAATATCTGATATCAGCCAACTGAAAATAATATCCCATGTCATATTAATACGAGAACGTCAAAAGTCTAAACTTCTGGTACACTCTTTCGATATGAATTATAAAACCCGACCAAAATTTGAACAACGGACATGCCTCATGTAGCATGTAGATTTAGTGTGGCAAACGAGGGGCATGTGTTGTAAAGTAGATTTCTCGTTAGAAAATCTTCTTAGTTACCTACTACTAATTGCATTATTTATATTTCACCTGAACGTTTTGTGGTTCCTTTTGAAATCAACACTAAGTACTGTATTCTTGAGCTTTGTAGGTTATTATTCATTCAAATAACTCAATCAAGAAAATGTCCCGACAAAAACAAATGGAATGGGAAAATTGTCGAGCTTTGTTCTACCAGCTTTTTGGAAGCTGATCAGAACTCTAAGTACGGATTCATAGATATTCTAGACGACCTTTTTTTAGAACAAGGTAAGTGTTTCTGTCTGCTACTAGAAATCACCAACCATATTATACCTGATGGTGAGCCATTTTTATAAATTGATAATAAAATACATTTTTATCGTGCACGTGTAGTATTACTCTGTGGACAAGAAGGTTTTACCGAATTTTTCAACGACCGATGGATACAGCACGTTCTCAAAATTCAAAAGGAAAATGGCTGTTTTTCTTCAAATCAAGACAGCACCAATATTGTAGTTCACAGAAAGAGGAGAAATTCTAATCAAATATCTATTGAATGTACCGACCATACTACAGGATTAGCAGCAGCCGTTCTAAGCTTGATTCTTAGATATTTATTGGTGTAATACTATTTCAAAACTGTTTTATGAATAGAAACTGATGTGGTCTTTGACCAAGTTCGCTTGTTGTTAAATATGAATTGGTGTTTTGGTCTTTTTTTGTTTGCGACAGCTGTTTCCCCTTTCGACGTCTTCAAGAAGATAACGAAACAGCTGTAGCAAACACAAAAGACAACAATATTCGTAAAATGGACAAAAATATTAAGTAAGTAAATAAATATTCAACAAACCATGTGTGATATGACTTCTGAAGCGGAATTTAATTATGAACATCAAACACTATAACCATATGGTTTATTATTCAAACTTTAATCTTTCTTATCGCGGACAAATTCGTTTTATTGAAAAAATAGTGAACTACCTACCCACTTTACCAAGCATAGTTTTAGAGTTCATATTACAAGCGAGAATGTACCTTCCATACATTTTCGTTTCTTTTTTCGCCTGTCAAAGTGTTTTTTCGCTCACTAATATTCACAAAAAGAAATCTCGAGCGCTGACAGAAGTCGAAGAGTTTGCCAATGCATTAGACGGGCTGTTAAACTTCGCCTCTCAACATTACGACGAAATCAATTTTGATGGAGCTTTAGGATTAGTTTTGGCAGAAGGTAAAAATAATCCAATATATTATGTATGTGATTTTTATTACGATAGTTGCTCATATATATTTATTAGGCATACGTTTAAGATTAAGTAATTTGTTTGCCTTCTTTCAGCGAATTTGTACACGGCGATAGCTAGACATCAGGATATGGGCAATTTTGCTATTTTAGACTATCTAATACATAAAATAAGAATTGTAAAATCCAGAGTTCTGAAAGGTCTTCAACTATCAAATCGATACCGCCTTTGTCAGTTATATTGTTAGGTACATTTTGTAACATTAATAGCGCTCGTTTTTATAGTTGGAAATTATTTATTGAGACCGTCGTTTTGGAGTAACCATTTAAATTTCAACTTCGGACTTTTAACAGACTACGGAATGTACAATTACAGTGATTTTCGAAGAGTAATTGCAGAAAAAAATGCAGTATATAAGGGAGTTAAATCTGACGACTGTTTGGAAGAAATTCTTAATGGAATTGGAAGAAGAAATACTACAAGATTATGTTACATTAGTCCTAAATGTCATGAAATGATGTTGGCTGACAGAACTGATGTTTCCTACCTTCTAACACACAGGTTAACTTAACTTTATACATATATGTACCTATATGTAGGTCTTCCTTTGCACCTCTTCACTCCTACTTTTGCTTCTGGTATATCTCTATCTAACTAATCTTTCATGCCTCAGAATTAATTTTATTATTAGGCTGTTCTATTTGCAAATCTTGAGAGGGACAAACTGCACAACAAATATAAACTTTGTTCTAAAAACACAACACTTTTGTTCGCTAATACTTCGAGAGGCGAAAACAAATGAATATTACGGTTTTCCACAACACGATTTATTTTTAGAACAAGGTAGGTACATATCTATTATAATAAAAATATGTATTGTAAATATAAGTAAAAATAAAATTAGAATCACAAATTTAATTATTGTAGTGTCTTTTTGTGGAATGGAAGGCTTTTCGGAATTTTTAATTCCTAATTGGCGACGAAAAATACTTTGGTGGCAATCTCCTCAGGGATGTTATAAAAACAGGGCACAACCGTTTAACAACAAGTACCTTTTCACTCGATCGGAAAATAATATCAGTTATGGTTGCACTGACCATACAACAGGATTGGGAGCTGCTGCTTTAGCATTAAATTTACGATTTCTAATACATACGACACCTGCACTACAGTTAAAGTAATAAATAAAACGAGAATTCGAAATTTCACGAGTCTTTTATTTTAGAAAATCTGAGAGCAGAATTTTAGAATCTCGTTGATATATTATGTAATGGTGATACAAAATGGCCCCGGGATCTCTTTAAAGTAAAAAATAATAGGTGCCTATAGGATTGAGAACCTCCTCCTTTTTCGAATTTGGTTAAAAAAACCTCAACGCGTTGTATCGGTAACAGTCGCCTACCATTTTCGAACAATGCCGTCTATCAACCAAGTGGGTTCTTCACATGAATTTTTCATGGATGTTACGGGACACAGAATTATTCAGAATGACATTATACAGATCAATCTCATTTCATTCACATTTGGAAGTGATCTGTGGTAGAAACGAAAAAACTCGCCGTACCCATTCAGTTACATTCGCATCCCTGTACATGTGGGCAGGTATGGTCCGGTCTATGGGAAACAAGTCTTTCTGCCTCAATCTAGATTGTATGCAACAATCGTAGCTACCTGTTTCGGATGTCTTTTTTTGTTACGAACGTCTGGACGTTTATTACAAGCTTACCTTCGAGGCGAATAAGAACATCGACGACATGACGTGTGTTTTCTCCATTCGGAAAATGAAATGTCGATATGAAGAAAAGAGTATTTCAAAAAGTAAACCTGAAACGCATTTCGACACGCAAGGTGTCATCCCATCCTCAGTCAGAGATCAGTATCCATCAAGATCGATTATCAGAAAACTCTCTACCTATATGTATTTCTTGTTACCAATATTATTCTTGCAATTAGTTACGCTGGAATATTTGTTAACATCAATTTTTCCACTTTTCTGACATTTTAATGTTAATTCTACATGAAAAATGTACTAATGAATAATTATACATAGTCAGCTACAAAAGAGATTAATACAAATTTTAAGATAACTTGATGAGGTTAAAGGAGGTATTTGAAAGAAGTCAATCAGGTCCACGAGGGGTTGCAACCGCGAAAGCGTGTTTTAGACCCACCATTCCATCACCTACTTATTCAAGAAAAAAATTGCTGTCTACCCCTTGTTTTTCGACCATTTGACTGCCCTATCAACTAACTTATATTTCGTGAATTTAATTTAATCTAGGTAATTTTTTTACTTATGGACCCAACCTGGTGACCAAGCAAAATAGTAAAATGGAACTTTTTTTATAATACCACCGGTAAGTAAGTAGCTTGACCTGTTGGCTGGCAACAAGCCTTCAGTACACACGCGTCGTTAAGTTTAGAATCATTCAAGAGAAGCTACCTTCCTCCAAGTAATACAATAACCGCCGACTGAAAACGGGTTTCAAGAAGATCGCTTTAGGAAACGGTAACATCCGTTATAACAACGTATTGAACCTACTGCTAACCGGCACATATTAGTTGGTTACTGAAAGAACGCTTTTTGGTAGATATTTAAGATATAATTATCATCAATTTAAATCTAATAGAATAAGGGCTTAGAGGATCAGAATTAAGATTTATAAATTGGTAGATTCTAGGTACACAGGCCGACAAAATCTGGGCAACCCTAATATTACCCAATAATATACTGACGCGCTGAATTCGATAAGTAAGTATTACATTAAAAGTTGCTTTCTGTTGGGGTTGTGTGAGTTTAGGAGATTGTGGTTTAAACGATTGTTAATTCAAATTTCGATTTAATAAAATGAACGCAAAAGCACTACACTAATAAATGTCCGAAGTTACTTCCTTCTTTAGGGAGTAGAGACAACTGAAAACTAGAGTCACTGGACCATAACATTGGTTAAAATTTATGATGTTCACATTTTAATTCTTTTCAGTTCCTAAAGAAAGTAATTTTATTATCGAAAAGTACTTTACATGTTCAATGTTACGTTTTGGCGACCGGGTTTTAGCTACCTTAGTAGATATTTAGTGCGTTCTGAAGTAACGCCACTGTTCCACTCTTTTCTTGAAAAGAACCAAATTAAAATTTTAATATATAAGGTATTAGACGTAGATTAGATTACTGTTCGCAAATAGTTAAGGATATGGGTTGCTCTAGTTTTAGGAAATGCGAAGATTAACTCAGGATAGGAAAGAATTGAGGTGCGTGTCCAACCAGTCTTTGGACTGACGACCTTATGATGATAATGTAAGGTATAATAGAAACAATTCGATACAAATCTAAAAGAAAATATATGGTCCAAAATAAAAAGAACAAAAGATACCCACAGTACTTGTACGCCTCTGCGTAATCATAAGCGACATACGTGACTCTTCTTATAAATAAAGAAAAAAGAATTCATTTTCCTTTTGTAGTTTAACTAGATCGGCACATGGGCTGATTTACAACATCAATGACGGTCGCCAGGTTTTTTTTTAATTCTTGTTAAATGCAAACAACGACCAAAATGGAACATGAGAGTTCAAATCTAAACACGACCATATTCGGTTGAATTTCATCCATTTTAGGCCACAGCAGGACGATTAAACAATTTTAGCGTGAACAAACAACACACATATGGCATCCCATTATTCACACAACCAACTATGTTTGTATCTATTCACATTATTAATGAACTACCTCAATTTTACGATCGGGTTGACGTTAATTATATTATTTATTTAATTGCCGACGAAATGCGCGATAATTTTAAACATTACTACGAATCCAAATTTAAGCTGAATGACCCAAAATTAATAAATTTCTTCATTGTGGGACACATAAAAATGATAAGAACTCACCGTTTAGTGGAGGGTGTAGTAGAGCTAAGGGCACGGAATGATAAATCCTGAAATGAAAATGAAAATTTTAAAAACGACTACAAAACACTGTTGAAGCTATCAATTATTTTACTAACGCAAGGATATTAAACAATATTTAGAACTTGACCTATACAACAAGAAGGCCAACAATAACACACTTTTGTCTTTATATATATTATATGTTTGTGTGTAAAGACAACAACGTCATGCTATAAATATTGGTACTCTTTATTAATTATATGCGTTTACTATATATGTTTACTATAAATGAGCACAGAAAATAAACATAGGTACGTATTTAAAAAGAGATCAAGCAACTTCTAAAAAATACGTCCCAGTGTGACTTCAGTAATCTCAAAAAAAAAATTTATCGCAATCTAATTGTTATACGAATAGCTATCTTCTGTGTATATATACNAAATTACGTTAGTCAGTAAAGTAAACCATTTAACGATTAAATTAACAAAAAAAATACGTTTTTCAATAGTTTGTAACAGAAACAAGAAATGTTACTCTACAGATCTTTTTCATTTAACACTCTTAACCCTATGAATCTTTGTCATGAATATTAACAAGATAATCTTGTTGAAAAAAATCTACCAAAACCTGGTCCTCACCGCTATTAATTTCTGTCGAGGAAGTATATATACGCTCCCGTGAACACCGTCGTGTAAGGTTCTTCGGAGCTAGCCTTACGGGGTTATTTCAGAGTTCTAATGACTCAGCATACGCCCTGAGAAAGGTCCCCGGACACGTGGTAGAAAGTACCGCCGAACAAAATTCGGTAGCCTCGAATCCGAGCCGATGCAGGTCGGGAGTTTGTAAACTGGGCGCGGTGTTTAAATTCGAGGAATTGTCAGAGAGCTAGACATGACTAGATTCTTTCAATGGATAACAAAACGGGGCCCACTCTTGGAGAACCATTTTTTTTACCGATTCAATGGTTTACGCACAATCAAAAGGACTTAATTCATATTCAATTAATAACTTAATCGAATATATCCGTATATATTAGTGATAAAATGATAATTTTACAGTTTATCGATATAAGTAATTCAATAATAAATAGCGCTTTTCGCTTTATATGTATGTATACTATCCCGTCGATTAGCAATTATTATTATAAAACTATTATGCATAAAGCAGTGATTCATATTTTACGATATCGTCATGAATCATACATAGCACATCACCAACCTATTTCAAGTTGTATGTATGTATGTATGAAACATGAAAAAACACAATACTGTGAATAATGTACTAACGATAAGCTAAATTTCTGATCACGTTAACCTTGTGCATTACATAATTTATCCAAACTAAATTCGGAAAAATATTATCGTCAATAAAAAAGCAATACTCTGCGGGAGATGATTTAGAAATTTCAGAAACTTTTTAGTTTCGCATGCAGAAATGACTATAGCAAGCTTAGTGTGTACAATACAAGATGTTTATCCATATTATTAAAATCGAACCATTGTATATTAGGTAAAAAACTTGAAGTTTTAAAAATTGATTCACATTAGTCGCTATAACATTGATGACTAACGTCTCAGTCTGGCGCTTGGTTTGGTATTTACTGAGGAATTCCTGATCTATGAATGGGTTGACGGCATGGAGGAGTCGATGGGTAGGTGCCTACTAACGAGTACTAAAAGGCACTATACCTTACGCTTTATGTTCCTTTCCTGAAACTTAGTCTGCGCTCGCAATCACTAGCAGAAACCATTTTTCTTTTTGTTTACCTACTTTGCGATATTATTTTGTCGACAAATTTGTGTGGGCGAAAAGATTCCAAACAAAAGAACAAATCCGAACGGAATAATAACTGTAGAAAATATCCGAAAACATTTATTTAAAAAACAAAATGCACTACAAGGATAATCGAAGTAACACCTATACATACATGTGGGGGTAGATTTCGCTTACTACCAACAACACTATTTATTCACGAGGAAACAACAACACAATACAAGCAAAAGTAAATAGATTAAACACAAGACGTACGTTTTGGCTCCACTGCTATGTAGATTTAAATTCGAAAAAGGGAATTTGTCGAACATTTATTGCTGTTTACTATTAGACAAACAAAATAATTACGTATAGGGTAACGTCAAGTCGATCTATTTTATTACCTGTCGTAAAGACATTCTAAGAAAGTATTTTCGGATACTGGAACTTTTGAGGGAGAAAAAATCAGTAAACTTGAGTAATTGTAAGTTAAACTTACAGGAATACTGACACATAAGAAATTCTCTAATAATTTACGAGTACTTTCTAAAATCCTCATGGGAAGAGGAATGTTTGTATATAAAAAATTAAGTAAAGACTTAACTAATGTTAATGTCATAAATAAAAAAAAATGACAAAAGCGTTCAAGTTGAGTATCACACCAATTACAATTTACAAGTCACTCATTCAATTGAAAAATTGCTCAATTCATGTTCAGGTAAAAATAATTTATTATGTAACGCTTCATCATAATTTTATTAATTTATAACAATAATTATTAATAACACTTAATCAAGTGTTTATTTCAACGTATAGTTGATTTACGTCATTGGGTTTTTGCAACAGGTACATAAGTACATAGACTCATACGAAATGGAATGATACACTTCAACATTTTTATCGTGTAGGTACTCAAAAATTTAATACCTACCTACCTATCTACCTAATACTTAGGTGCCTATTATTATTATATTAAAAGTTTAGTAATTTTCATCGGAAAAGACAGGAGAAAAGAAAGATAATTATTTTTTATCATAAACCGCAGATATTTATTGCTGGGCGTTAAAAAAAAAAAAAAACGCAGAAATGCCTTTCTAATAACTGTTTTTTGTAAATTACATTTTCACTATAATGAATGATATACCCACTTCATGTTAGCAATGTTCCTTCAAAAAATATCAGTTACGACTCTTTCAGATAACGTCTCATACATCGATTTAGACTTGAGAAATTTCCAAAAATTTTCGAATTAATTTTGCTTTGCATCAATAACAAAACTTTAAGTACCTACTTAATTGTCAAACAATTCCTGATTTGTTCCCTAATATTACTTTCATCTGGGGAAATCAGCTCTGCATTCCTTGGCATTATTTTTTCCTTGTAACAGAAGACGAACAACAGTTTTTGTTTTTTGTTTTGCATCAAGTAAGAATGTATTGTTAAATGTAATTTTCTTTTATCGTTTCGTTCGATTAATATGATGAAGTAATTCATAAAGAATTTGGTTGTAAACAGAAAACAGATAAGGTAAATGAAACCTAAATTTATTTCCGTTTTGTGCATAATAACACAAAAATATAAAACACTAACTCGCATTATTTCTTCTACTTTTAAAACATTTACCATCTGACTGCAACAATCTTAACTTTTACAGTTATCCAATAATTACCGTTGTTGTCATCACAATTTACACATACCTACATTGAATAGGTACTTTTATAATAAAAATAGGTCTTCTATTTACCAGATGTTAATACTACGTGTTATCTAAACGTAAACTTGTTAATATGCATTTTGACATTTAATCGACAAACAAAACGGTTTTCCTTAAGTTTAAGTAATAATTTTCGCTATCCTTAACAAGAAACGACATAGTCCATTAATTGGTAATTATTTTGATTTTGGCAATCTTATAGGTGGGTAAATTATGAATATTTCGACGACCTATTTCAAAACAGATATTTGTAAAATTTGTACAAAAGTGAAACCCGTTACAAATAGTGATTAATCAAAATATTTTTATTCTGCTACGAATAAAAAAATTAAAAAATAAAAAATATACGTATATAATAATTATTTTTTAACAATTAGGCACAATGTTATAACGGTTTGGCTTGGAACTTTGTTGACGAACAGTTTTTGCTGGATTTCAAGGTCGAGGTGACAACTCAAGAAACGGTTGAAAAATTGAATCGAACGCCGGCCGGTATGAACCACGTAACAACACGTTTCCAACGGTCTTTGAGGTTAGGTGAGGACAATAATTGCGCCCAGTAACAGCCAATCGCATTCTGCTATTCGTTTTATGCCCATATAAGGTAGCGTTTGTAAGAGAACGTGACGGAGTGGGGAGATGTCGTATCCATTCTAAGGAACATAGGGGAGGCCATGACGTGTACATTTTACCCCTTCAGCTGTTTCAGAAAAGTTCTATATTTTTAGAAAAATAATTGTCAAACAGACACGTCTTCCGCCATAATTTTGGTACCAAAAAAAATTTGGGGAACTTTTAAGCAAGTTTAAGTTTAAAATTTTTATACATCTAACGAAAGTCCATTCTAATCGCCGCTTCCTGCTGTTCGCCAACAACTCGTTCATTCTCGTTTGTTTGTTGATAGCAGTTGTGACGTCTGTCTTTCTTGTTAAAACGGTAAGTTTTCATTTTCATGTAATTATTTTGTATTGATAATATTACTTTATTTTTTATTTAATTAACGCACATACATCAATCAGAAAACCTGTCGTATCTAGAGACGACAGAAGACAATTAATTTTTTTTTAATAAAGAGGTAGAAAATCGTTAAATAGACACGCAAGTGTATATCTATTTAGGGTAACCACAGTCTATTTACTAGGTACCATTAACAGGTTGCTTTTAAAGCAGGTGGTTTTACCAATTTTAACTCGATTGAATTTAAAAATAGTACTACATCGAGAACCGCAGTAAAATGTGAAGACTGATGTAAAGCTGGGTTTACGATAAAGAATGTTCAACATACACTGTAAATTCTCGTATTTACTAAATTTAGTGAAAATTTATTAAAATCGCTGGCCGACCGGCGTCTTAGTAAACGCAACCCCTTTATGGATTTTGTTATCATTCGCGTTTTAATATTGTCTGAACGTAGGTCCATTCTAGGATTTCGATGACGATATGTGTGTCATGGGATGTTCCGGGGTATTCGGGTGAACGGAGGGAGGAAACTTCTACACTCCGCATTGTATTACCATGTATGGTAATGTTGCTCGCGATTGGTTCATGAAGCGTTGATATCGCGCTGCCGTGAACGTAGTGGGGACGATAACCCTACGTTTATTATATATACGGTTTTCCGCCCATCCGTTTTCAGACATTCAGTCCTCTGTGATACACGGTGCAGCACGACCCTTAGCTGTTCCCTAGAAGTTAACTTTTGTATATATTTAACTCGTAGTTTTTTTGTGGTAAAAGTAAGTTTCAATTTTCATTTCGATTATTGTTGTTGTGGCTTTTTAGTGTTTCTTTTTTTTTCTTTTTAATTACGGTCAATATTTTTTAATGGGTGTGGTTTTTCTGATGTGCGTTATATCAGATTAGGTGTATAAGGGGGTGGTTATAACAGTGCCTTTTTACGGATTAATATTGTGAAGAAGTTGCCATTATTTTCAGTACACGTGTGTTTGTTTCCTTCTCAAGGAGCTACGTTTTCATTTTGAAAAAAAAAAAAACCTAACTGTTCGAGCCGTTATCAACGCATTTCGGTTTAAAAACATTAAATAATTCATAATTCTAAACCGGTAGGTACCAGCAACCATTTCCGATTCAGCGCAAGGTAATTTTTTAATGGGAATCGCATTCGAGTTTTTCTTTTGATGTACTCGATATAGCATAGCTCATACAATCTACATCAATTTCTGATACGCACAATAGTTAGTTGTTGGTCGTAGCTATTAGATCCCGAATTTAAACATTCATGTTTTACAAAAGAAAATGGCGGCGGGTGCGGTCTGTTAATTGTGAATTAATTTTCGTATGTTTTTCAACCCACAATATTTACTTATTGATTAGCTATATGATCTTTGTTTTGTTTCAGTACAGTATTAATTCATCATGTGTGACGAAGAAGTTGCCGCATTGGTCGTAGACAATGGATCCGGTATGTGTAAAGCCGGTTTTGCCGGAGACGATGCCCCAAGGGCCGTCTTTCCTTCGATTGTGGGACGTCCTCGTCATCAAGGAGTAATGGTTGGTATGGGTCAAAAAGATTCGTACGTAGGCGACGAAGCTCAAAGCAAGAGAGGTATCCTCACCCTCAAATATCCCATTGAGCATGGTATTGTAACCAACTGGGACGACATGGAGAAGATCTGGCATCATACATTCTACAATGAACTTCGTGTTGCTCCCGAAGAACATCCTGTTCTTCTTACAGAAGCTCCTCTTAATCCTAAGGCTAACCGAGAAAAAATGACCCAAATTATGTTCGAAACCTTCAACACTCCAGCCATGTACGTCGCTATCCAAGCCGTACTATCTTTATATGCATCCGGTCGTACGACTGGTATTGTGCTGGATTCTGGCGATGGTGTTTCACACACAGTACCCATCTATGAAGGTTATGCTTTGCCCCATGCTATACTCCGTCTGGATTTGGCCGGTCGCGACCTAACTGACTACCTCATGAAAATCCTTACTGAAAGAGGATATTCCTTCACCACAACTGCCGAAAGGGAAATCGTGAGGGACATCAAAGAAAAACTTTGCTATGTTGCTTTGGACTTTGAACAAGAAATGGCAACAGCAGCCAGCTCCAGCTCATTGGAAAAGAGTTACGAACTCCCCGACGGTCAGGTCATCACCATCGGCAACGAAAGATTCCGGTGCCCAGAAGCTCTCTTCCAACCTTCCTTCTTGGGCATGGAAGCTGCTGGTATTCACGAAACCACATACAACTCCATCATGAAGTGCGATGTGGATATTCGTAAGGATTTATATGCCAACACTGTGCTTTCTGGAGGTACCACCATGTATCCTGGCATCGCCGATCGTATGCAGAAGGAGATTACAGCTCTCGCTCCATCCACCATGAAAATCAAGATCATTGCACCGCCCGAAAGGAAATATTCCGTATGGATCGGCGGATCCATTTTGGCCTCTCTATCCACCTTCCAGCAAATGTGGATTTCCAAACAGGAATATGACGAATCAGGCCCATCCATTGTCCACAGGAAGTGCTTCTAAGCTCCCTCAATATTTTCTAAGGGTCGTATTTGATCACCGCAACAATCCATTTATCGCATATTAAAAAATATATATTACTTTTTCAATTCCAACTCACGTAAACATTCCAACATAATTCAAGCCGTAACTTAACAGTTCAAGTCGTGGCTTCCGTGTTGTTCCGGTGCCCCGTTATTTTTCTTTTTTCGAACTGCCATTTATTTTTATATTGTCCGCGTTCGTTTCTTTTTTTGTGCGTTTGATGATGTTTAAATATTGTATAAATATGAGGTAGACCAAGATGTATAGTAAGCAGGAAGCGAACTGAAGTAGAGAAAAGGAAAAGAACGAGCGCGAGACAGTGGCACACATGAATAATGATTTAGTTTTTCGCGCACTGCTAGGCCAAAGTATTATTACTACTTTCTTAACATTTAATTTTTGTAATAATGATAATTTATTCCCTGTGTGCAAGACTATTATTACTTTAGGCTATTATTATGGGATAGTAAAAAATGTTACATACTATTTTGTTTTATTTAGTAGTTCTTAAGTTCCAGTTTTTTGATACAAGTCTGAATAAATAAAATATGTAGTTGTAATTGCACCTTTTTTTTTTCACTTCTATTCAGCCTATTTACAGATACATCAAAAAAAGTAAAAGAAAATCGATACTTTCTATCAAAGCGACAGTCAAGTAAAATATTTTTCTGTTTAATTTACATTGACACAAATCGCCTCAACTAAAGCGCAACTAATTTAACATTATATTTCAGATTTGTGTTTACACCTACAGAAAGTGTTAAATGTTTTTTAATATAGAAAGTGTATTTTAAAGAAATCGAAACAGTCACGTTTTATGCCTCGTGTCTCGGTTGCAATCTATAATCACACCTATGATACAGTGCTTAACGCAAATATTGTACTGGTAAGTAATTATTATTCTATTAATTACTTCCAAATGTTACATTTGTTTTGGATCATTTCAACAAGTTATTCGACAACTTTTATTGGGAAATAGTTATTCTTATTCAACTGACACAAGAAAATTTTACAAATTGTAAAATAAATTTCGGCAATGCATTTTATTCAGTACTGTACAGACATATATGTGTTAGCACCGCTAACGGATATACTCGGGAAATTATTTATATCACAAAGTAATACGAAATCAACAATAAAACTCGAAGTGTTTGCAATGCAAGTTTCGATACTATGGTTTAGACATGGTTTAAGACTACATGATAACCCGGCACTACATGCTGCTCTCAAGAAGAAACAGCCCTTCCTGCCAATTTTTATTTTTGACGGAGAAACTGCAGGTAAATACTTTCTGTATGCCAATACTTTAATCAATTGCATCTGTTTCTTAAAATTTAATTTAGGTACTCAATTGATAGGATATAACCGTATGCGCTTTTTATGCGAAGCCCTTTATGATCTTGACAGACAACTGAAACAGCTTGGAGGACGTTTATATTATGCAAAAGGAGCAGTTGTACAAATTTTCACAAAAATATGGCAAGAATTAGGAATAGGTAGATTATGTTTCGAAGAAGATTGCGAACCAATTTGGAGAGCGAGGGACGACTCTGTTAAAATTATGTGCAAAGATTTAGGAATAGAGTGTGTAGAATGCGTCTCGCACACATTGTGGGATCCCAAAAAAATAATCGAAACCAATGGAGGGCAACCCCCGTTAACATATCAAATGTTTTTGGTTAGTAAAGGAAAAAAAATAAAAGTCTGTAGTGCTATTGTAACTATTATTTGATATTCCAGTACACAGTGGACATATTAGGCGATCCACCTCGTCCAAAAGATGAGCCTCGTTGGTCAAGAGTGAAATTCAGTAATCCCTTTCCCCTATTAGAAAAAGTTTTATATTCATTTCAAACCTTGCCCAACCCGGAAGATTTTGGCGTATTTCCGGAAATTACAGAGACTCCCTTAGTTCGATGGATAGGAGGTGAAACACAAGCACTCAAAAAACTTGAAGAAAGGTTGAAATTAGAGGAAAGAGCTTTTAGACAAGGTTATTATCTCCCTAGTCAAAATACGCCAGATCTTTTGGGCCCCCCTGCATCTCAAAGTGCAGCTTTAAGGCACGGTTGTCTTTCTGTCCGAAAATTTTACTGGAGTATACAGGACTTATTTAAAGTCATTCATGGAGACCGTTTACCAACGGTTCATTCAATTACTGGTAATTTATAACATAGCATTTAAAACATATTTCAAATATTAAGTTAAAAGGAGATAATTTTACATCTCAGGTCAGTTGATTTGGCGTGAATATTTTTACACAATGTCGGTGAAAAATCCTAATTACGCAGTGATGAAAGAAAATCCAATATGCCTCGACATAAACTGGATACAATCCACATCAACCGATTACAATATAAGATTAACAAGTTGGAAAGAGGGATTAACTGGATATCCTTTTATAGATGCCATTATGAGGCAACTAAAGGCAGAAGGTTGGATACATCACATGGCCAGGAATATGGTGGCTTGTTTCTTAACACGAGGAGATTTGTGGATCTCATGGGAAGAAGGTTTACAGCATTTTCTTAAATATTTAATTGATGCCGACTGGTCGGTTTGTGCGGGCAATTGGATGTGGGTAAGCAGCAGTGCTTTCGAACAATTATTAGATTGTTCCACGTGTATTTGCCCGATAAATTTTGGAAAGCATTTTGACCCATCGGGAGAATTTATAAAAAGGCAAGTTTATTATATTGTGTATAATTTTTTATAGTATTTTTCAGGTATGTTCCAGAATTAAAAAAATTTCCATCTACATTAATTTATGAACCTTGGAAGGCTTCTCTTGAACAGCAAATTGCTGCTGAATGTATTGTTGGCAAAGATTACCCCAATCGTATTATCAACCACAAAGAAGCAGCAGAAAGAAATAGGTTGGCAATGAAGACGCTTAGGGAAGATTTAACTAAACCACCTACACATTGTTGCCCAAGTAACGAAAACGAAGTACGACAATTTATGTGGCTGCAAGACACATGTCTTAAACACCAGTATGTGTCTATATAGTAAGACAAATCTTATTTTTATGTATGTAAATGGTTTTAAATGACTTGGGGGATATAAGTCGTTCGTTATAAAAATGATTATAGTAGAATATATTTTACGTGTTGTTTCTAAACATATAAGTTATAACTAGTACAATATTTAAACAGGCTGACTGGGTGCAGCAATTGATAATTTATCAATTAATTGTAACAGAATGTCATTGAAAACTTTGGCTGACGTTGAATCAGGTAATTCTATAACACAAGCTTTTCCCAACAAAACCCCAACTGTAGGATCAATTGGTAACGTACCCAGCAGAGGAACTTTGGCCAATTCAGCCAGACATGCTCCTCCGCCTGAGCTAAATATGTTGGAACATTCTGAACATGTTGGACAAACAAACCTTTAAAATAACAGTGTTATAAGCCAGAAGATAAACTAATAAATAAATACCTTACCCACTCATATTTTCTATAATACCTAATATTGGAATACCAGTTTTCTTACAAAATGTTATTTCTTTACGTACATCTTCTATGGCAACCTCCTGAGGTGTTGTTACAATCACTGCACCACTACATTTAACATCCTTTAAATTTTCCATTACTGTTATATGTTCATCAGAGGTTCCTATTTAAATACTGACAAGTATAATTGCTTTTGTTCTTGATATTTTATGAACATTAACATTTGATATGTGCCCTACCTGGTGGTGTGTCTATTACTAAAATATCTAAATCTCCCCAAACTACATCGTTTAGAAATTGTTTAATCATAGCTGTTTTCTTTGGGCCTCGCCAAACTACAGAAGCATTCCTATTATTTAGTAAAAATCCAATCGACATAACAGCCAACTGTTTATCTGGATTTGTATAAACAGGAACCCACCTATTAATTTGTATTATAATTACTACATCTGAGTATAGTTGTTAAGTAACCTACCCCTCAGGACATTGATGAACATCTTTACCTTCAAGTTGTAATAGATAAGGCACACTGGGTCCACATAAATCTATGTCTAGCAGACCAACCTAATTAAATTAATTTTATTTAATAAAATAAAGTAACGGTAAAAGTAAAACCATACCCTATAACCTTTTTCTTTAAAAGTAAGGGCTAACTGTGTACTAACAGTGGATTTTCCAACACCTCCTTTTCCAGAAAGCACTAAAACTACGTGTTTTACCGTTTCAAGCATCGCGAATGATTATGACTTAATTTTACAATTAATAAAAAAGCGATTTGGCGATTAAAAAATGATTCAAAGTAAAATTATGTTGCGTTCATGTCTTATTTTAGGTTATGTCAATTTTACAATTAATAAAAAAGCGATTTGGCGATTAAAAAATGATTTAAAGTAAAATTATGTTGCGTTCATGTCTTATTTTAGGTTATGTCAATTTTGTCTTATTTTTCTTCACATTTTGTAAATGCCTACGTGTGAATATGTCCATTTAACCACGTCAAAACAACTAGAAATTTTAATGATTACACAAATCTGGAATATTGCCATGGAGAAAATACGTACAAACATTCAAGAAAGTCTTTAATAACAAAACAACCACACCTAACATCGTTATTGAAAATTGAAAATTTAACTAATAATGGTATCGTTTATTACTAACCATAAAAAATAGGATTATTAATCCGTTGTTTTTCAGATTTTATCTAGATTAAAACCAGCTCTTGCATCAAACCCTTCAGAAAAATCGACTAACAGAAGTACAGTCACCCCAAAAAACCTATTAAACTTTAAAGAATACTTAATAAAAAGGGATTATGTTGGAGCAATTACATATTTAGAAGTAGTTAAATACAATAACACCACAAAAGTTCCATAAAGCAGACAAGTAAAGAAAGCATTATGTATTATTTTAGATGAAAAAGGACATGGACAAAATAGGCGACATCGAAATGTGGATAGCATATTGTTATTTTCATTTAGGAAATTACAAAAAAGCGCTTAATATTTACGAAGATCTTTTAAAAGCAAATCCTAAAGTAGAAAATTTATTGGTGAACATAGCTTGTTGTTATTTTTACTTGGGTAAATACACAGGGTGTCCTGAAAATGTTATTATCCTATCATGAAATGTTTTCATGTATAATATCTATTTTTGAAGGCATGTACTCAAAGTCGAAAAAAACTTTAGACGAAGTTCCTCTGAATTCTCTAAAAACAAGATTAAACTTTCACCTATCCCATAAGCTAAACGACGAAAATGCCCTAATGGAATATCACGAACAATTAGAAGACGTAGTCGAAGACCAGTTAAGTTTGGCATCGATTCATTATATGAGAGCGCATTATCAGGAGGCAATAAATATTTACAAAAAACTATTACAAAGAAATAGGTAGGTAATAAATAAATACTAATGTGTCTATATGCATTATTATAAACTAACATATTTAATCCTAATGAATTTAGGAGCAATTGGGCTTTAAATGTTTACATGGCCCTTTGTTACTATAAACTGGATTATTACGACGCGTCTCAAGAAGCTTTAACAATTTATCTAAATCAACATTCAGATTCACTTATAGCCACCAACTTAAAAGTAAGTTTGTCGTAGATATTAAGTTTCAACAGAATACATTATGTGCATGTACTTATGTGTCATCTAGGTATAAATAATAAATAACGAATTAGCTAATTAATTGTATTGTTTTGTGTTCAGGCTTGTAACCACTTTCGATTATATAGCTTAAATGATGCCGAAACCGAGATACGAAGTTTAACAGAGATCAGTAGCCATGACAGTTTTGGCCACGATCTAGTACAGCATAATTTAGTTGTTTTTCGAAATGGAGAGGATGCTTTACAAGTACGTACTATAATATTTTAAAAGATTATCCAAACTGTTTTACATTTATACCATACCTATTTATAAACACATATAATGAAACAACAAACATCAGCAATTAGGTCAGTGCGGTTATAGAATCCATGTTCGAAGTCGTCATCAGATAAACGTTATAAGAAAACACTTACATCTTTTACGTGCAGATGAACATGTTCGTATATTTCAAACTGCTCAAAGGAACCAATGGTTTCACTGCACACATTACATTTTTTCAAAATATCTTCTGAAGAGCAAACCATACTTTCGGCGACGCGTTCGCGCTATCAAACAGTGGGACCATTACTGGGACTTTTACTGAACGCGATGCGTCACTTCACGGCAACAGCGCGAAGTAAAAGTTCCTAGCGTGGTTTAAATGTTGGCGCGCGAACTTGTAGTACCTACTTATGATTACGATATTTTCGTTTTTATTAATATTTACTATATCTTTGTTCAATTTGGTTTCGTGCCTACCACATAAGGGAGAGTTGGTTTTTGTTTTGTCGAAACTGCCTACGGCGCGCTGATGAGATCCAACAAGGACGAAATCTTGATCCACGCCTTACAATTTTGACAAAACGCCTGACTACCACGATCTTTTTTGTTTATAGAAAGCATATAAAAATTTTGTTTGTATTTAGATATTTCCTTCTTTGGTTGATATCGTACCAGAGGCTAGATTAAACTTGGCTATTTATTATTTAAAACAAAATAATAGCAAAGAAGCTTACGAGCTTATTAAAAATTTGGAACCCGCAGTACCTCAAGAATACATTCTTAAAGGGGTAGTTAATGCTGTTCTAGGACAAGAACTTAATTCCGTAAGTCAAAAACTAAGCGATATTGCTTACATCTATAACATCAAAATTATTGAAAACCTACTTAACAGATTGAACATATAAAAACGTCCGAAGAATATTTTCATATGATCGGAAATTCAGAAAGCGAAAAAGATACAATTCCTGGAAGACAATGCATGGCTTCAGCACATTTCCTTTCGGGACAATTTGACGAAGTTTTATTATACCTGACGTCCATTAAAAGTTACTTTCATTCAGGTAAAATTTTACTACATACATATACGCAACTGTTATTGTTTAGTATGGAATTTTCTTATGTACCCATACAGATGACGTATTTAATTTTAATTATGCACAAGCAAAATGCTCAAAAAAACAATATCGCGAAGCGGAAGAGATTCTACTTCTGATAAAAGATTTGAATATAAAAAACGATCAAGTTTACAATTTCCACTTGGCAAGATGTTATATTATGAACAAGAAACCGAGACTCGCCTGGGAGTTGTACTTGAAAATGGAAAGCAGCCCCGAAAGTTTCAATCTATTACTTCTCATCGCAAACGATTGCTACAGAATGGGAGAGTTCTGGTATGCAACTAAGGCGTTCGATATGTTAGACCGGTTGGAACCTGTACCCGAATTCTGGGAAGGAAAAAGGGGCGCTATAGTTGGAGTTTTTCAAGTAAGCCTCAAAATCTATAATTTATTCTTTTCACAAAGGGTGGTACATACCTAAACAACAATGGTGGTATGACAAAAAAAAATTATTTACCATAGAGGCTTATTGAAAGATTAGTAAAAATCGTGTGCAAATTTCTATTAAAATGACTGAACAATAACAAAAAGACTCCGTTTTATTAGCTTGAGCTTAAAAAATATATATTATAGGTGCTTGTTTGTTTGAAATAGAAAAAAACAGCCTATTGTTAATTTCTCGTAATTCTAAAAATATGCAGGCATACATCTAATCCTAAATATAAATATATGTACCTAGCTGCTAACTATAGGAAGCTACACGATTTCTACGAATTGTGCCTCTGAAATAGGTACCTACCTTTTAGAACATTTTGAGTGGGCAATTACAAGGGAGGAATTACTAATTTATTTATATGTGTATAAAAAGGTTAATGTAGATATATTTGTACAGGGTGTTATAGCTCAAAAATTCTCTGTGGATTTATTGGGAGATGTCCTTCAATTATTACGAAATAGTGTTTCGTCTCAAGCTGAACATATTGCCAAAGTTATAAGGAAATGGGCTAAAGATAAACGATTAACCATTATTTAAATTACCTATACGCATGTGTTTGTATAAATAGGTATTTAAATAAATAACTGAATTTGCAAGTTTTACTTTGTTGAAAAAGCACACTGCATTCAAGCAGATAAAACTGTAGTGCATAAACATTGTACCAATAGGTATGTTCTACTATTGTGTTTGCTAAGGAGACATTTTCACTAGCAAATTAAAACTATACAGTAATTACGATAGTTAACGTCATGTCATCCAAAAACAAACCAATTACTCTTTAAGAAGAGCACACTGTTTGATATACACACGTAAATTTCATGTATATTTTGAAAAAACTAAGATTTTGTAACTATGCCAATGTCTCACACGTGCTTTTAGGTTATGTTCATTGCCAAATTAGAGTGATAAGTACTGACACAAGAATCATTAGGGAGTATGACCAATTATGAAATAATGCAACAATACATTACTTAAAGTTAAGTTAGCTAATAAATTATGCGTATGCAATAAATAATCATAATTTCTAAATTCACTTACTAGCCATTGTAGCCGGGCATCAACTTCAAGTAGGCAGGTATTGTTCTTCAAGTGTTCATTAATACAAAACAAGTAAGTAATTTGACGAACTAATTAACACACCACCATGTCCAAATTCGTTAACACAACTATACATATGTATAACGGTATTATGATCACTATGATAACTAATACTTTACTCGATTAACCAGCGGCCAAGCCAAGACTAAAGATTATAGTTTTAAACAATGAAGAGATCCATAGAGTAATTAATAGAGGTACACATAGAGTATTTCGGGAATAGTCAGTAATTGGTACCAACTTACTATACGAGATCCGTTCGCAAAAAAAAATGACAAAAGTTAAAAAGTACGTTTAATCATCATCATCATCATCATCATAAGGTTAAAGAGTAATCGAGTAAAGTATTAGTACGTTTAAATTTTTTAAAAAATATGTAACAAATAAAATCTACATATTATTGTAATACATAGTTATTATTATGCACTCTTTACAGGGTATAAGTTTTGTGAACGGTGTTTAAAATAATAGACAGACTAAAAAAATATATATGTTTATTTCAGACAATTTAAATATTACTTATATGCATAGGCGCATTTGACTACAGTCTCTTTCACAAAGATTATTAATATCAGAGTACAATGTTGCAGAATAAATAGTTGTAAGTATGTAATACCATAATAATTTATACACTTAAAAAGCTAGATGATAGTAAATGGAATTTTGACAAATGCAGAAACTTAAATTTAATGACTTTTATACATGTATGAATGTATAAATCAGCAAACGTCAATAATGGCATTCGTGGACACACACTATTATTAACACACACGTATGTAAATTAAAATAAATAATTCACAGATTCGATTATGAGGCACATAAATTAAAGCTACATCATGTAATGTAATGCATATTTTCAATCAAAAGGCCGGAATGATAGCAACGATATTTGCCACTTTCCATAATTGCTTTTATGTTTTAATTATGTAAATATTATAACACAAATAGGGTGATTCCGTAACTGATAGAAAAAATATGATTATGCAATCATACAATACTACTACGGATTTAAAATTTAATATAGGTACACTTATATGTATTCGACAAATCCCATTTCTTTTAATTTTACGTACTCATTTATCTCTATTATAGAGGATTTTAACTTTAACTTTATAAAAGTTTTTCGCCACAAATAGGTATCTACAATAATTTTTGCCGCTTAAAACCGAAATAGCACATATAAATTAGTACCCTAACAGAAAAGCAGCAATTTAACTGGACGATTTTTTTAATTTTTAATTTGGCAATTAAAATGGGCACTTTGAAGGTATTTGCCTCTTACATAAATAGATAAATACTAATGTTATTCTTTTGTAACGTTTCTGTGTTGTGCAGCTTTAATTTAAAATAATTTAATAAATATTCNTGGGAATTAATTTCGAAATGATGGTTTTCGCCTCCTACTAAAATTCAAGGAAACCTGTGCGCCGCTAAATAATGACCCAAGACTCAGTTCTCGGTAAAAATCGTTTTAAATGAGTTCCAAGTATACAAAAGCATCTTTACGGTTTCTGTGTTGTGCAGCTTTAATTTAAAATAATTTAATAAATATTCGGAATAACAAATAATCTCACATTATTCTAAACAATTGACAAACAAATCATTAAACTAAATTATTTTGCCAATAAAATGAATCAGAACAAAATAAGACGGAAATATAAGAACAGAAGATATAACTAACGTCTTTTCATATCGAGTAGGTACCTATCTCTTTCCTACACACACACAGGCACGCACGCACACACACAATCTCTTTCTCTAGCGGTCGTTTATACATTTATTACGTCACGTCGCGAGGGAAAACGTGGTCCTGGGGTAACTTAACAAAATGTGGCAATCGGGAGGGGGCTCGTGGTAACAAGTTTATATAGAATCAACCACTAACAAAATAGCAATTATACTGTGACGTGACAAGCGGGGAAGGGGACATATAATTTGCGTAACAAAGTAGGACAACCTATCTTAATATATGAACGACCCCTAATTCGTGTGTTGTTGGAAGAGGACGGAAGGACGAGCTTAGTTACATCTTCTGGACGAGGCAAATAGAACATTTTGATTAAAAACTACCTTGTCAATAGTAGACGCAATACTTTCTGGTGTTCCTCACGTCGAGACTGGTATGTAAAGGTACCAGTCCCTGCTTTGGTGGTGGTGTGAACATGGCGGCTAAAGCGAATGCGGATATTCAGCCAAATACTTGATGAGTAACGGGGGTAGTTCTAGTTGAGTATAGGGGGGAGGCAATAGGTGAAGTCGCGGACGCGTCGAACCTTCAAGCGTCGCATGAACCGCCAACCGCGACAAATGTTTCAAACTCGAAGATCCGTTATCTTTCCTCAACGGTTTCACTAACAAAATCGCACTGTACCATTTGCCATCTGGATCGACCCACACGTGAGCGCTGCCCTTCGCATTTCGACTTTCTCTCACGTAATGCTGCACTAGATCAATAACACTAGAAAACATGGGCATGGCTGCCTGGAGATGGTTCTGTGCGTCGAGACGAAAATATCCGTTTATGTAATGTATTCTTACCGACGTCGGGCCTCTTTCCGTTTGAACACTTAACGAAAATAAAAATCGGGGATCGGAACTCTCGCGGACTAAAAATGTTCCCAATGGTTTGTCCTGGAGCATGTCGTGACTTTGCTGGTATGAGATTCCTTCGAAGTACCAGCCCGATTGTCGCAGGACATGAACAGTATTCGACAGACGGTCCAGTTCCGATTCTGGTCTTGACTCTTGCGGCGGTAAGGTTGGCTGGAAGAGGGTGTTGAATGGAGGCATCACGAACGTCAGAGGTGCACTCGGGGACACCTGAGGAGACGTACAACTGTTTGTGGTGTTGGCGGCAACGGTCGAGACCAGACCCCCCCCGCTCAATCCGTGTATGGAACGACGAACATTGCAACAGGGAGTTGGAGGACAGCACACGAACTGGTGCTGACATTTTGGGCACACGGTTCTACAGCCTAGCATTGCAGGAGAATGCCATCCCCAAAGTTCCTCAGCCTATAACAACACAACATTCGCAATATAGAAATCTAAAACAAAATAAAATATACAATTTCATAACTAAGTCGAGGGGAGGAGCTGTTTGGACCCTCGAATTCGTATTACTAATTTACCTAACTAGCTATTAATTTCTGCTTTTTGACCCATTATAAAAAATTCCCTTCCAAACACCGGCAATAACAAGCCGGTTGTGAATTAATCTATTAATTTCCAAAGCGTTGCTTCAGCAGACCAATTCTCGTAAATTGCTTCTATATATGTATAATGTATACACGTACGCATCTAATGGATGTACGTATGAACACAAATATAAATAACAGCCATTTAACAAAAAAAAAATAATTGCGGATGCATCAATTATAAGATCGAGGCTAATAATCGTCAGCCGAGCGTTAATTTTTCCGTTTGAAATTCCACGAAAATTCGGCCTCCAGGTCAATCTTGGCGTCCTTGGAGGCTCTTAACCTCCCGGTCGTAGGCGCTTTAATATTATACCGTGTGTACCAAGAAATCGGTGGGCGAGGCATCGAAGAGGATTTTTGAATAGAAAATGTAGATGGGGGGCATGTAGTTAATAATCAAAATAGTTATTCGAACGAAATTCCTTCCGAGAATGTGATAGATGAATAGTTGGCCTAGGACTAGGAAGTCGCACACACAAATGTACGTACACGCAAGACGAACCTAACTGCAACTTACTCTTGTTATTACGTTTTATCATTTTTCTGTATTGTTATATATATTACGAACACACTAGTAATGAATTGAATTGAGAACTGTACCTAGTGGTGACTGGGCAGGTGCTGAGTCGGAAGAAAGCCTAAGAACTACAGTATATGGAGACTGTTTTTATTGTTCATAAAATAGGATACAAAAGAATTTTTTAAAATGAATTATCACAAGTCTACCTACCTAATTATAGAATTTTGATTGATATATTTAGAGGAATGCTTCATTTTCTCATATTTCTCGTAATTCATGTCTGTATTTTACAGAATTAGAAATAACTACACATATACATGTGTGCCTACGTATAATATCTAAATACACAGCACAATCGATACTTATTACACTTTTACAAATCTTTAACACGAAGAAATGGAATTTGGAAGTTATTTAAAAGTCATTCAGTAGGTGACTAAGACTACATATTTATTGCCTTGGGAATTAATTTCGAAATGATGGTTTTCGCCTCCTACTAAAATTCAAGGAAACCTGTGCGCCGCTAAATAATGACCCAAGACTCAGTTCTCGGTAAAAATCGTTTTAAATGAGTTCCAAGTATACAAAAGCATCTTTACGGGCAAAGATTGTTTCCACTCCGTGCCTTGTTTCAAGCATCATCGAGAAATATATGTAAATGCTTACAAGTGATTATTGGGAACCCACATGAAAGCGTGGTTTAATTAATGTTGGTGAATTTAGGTTGCATATTTATTAATAATAGGTATTTATTAATCTACGTATAATAGCATGCAGTGCAACCTTATCGTGGTTAAAATTTTAACAACCAGGTCTTGCGAACAAAGTAGTCAGTTCCCAACGACGATAAAAATGATGTTTAATATCAGGAAATACCAGATAAATAAGAATTATAAACACGCAATTATAGAAACAAATTAAGTAATATATGGTTAAGAATGATGTTAACCTCTATTTGCCATTATTTTTTAATTACATACATAAAATTACATTTTCCACTGAAATGACTGAAAGCGGAAATCACGTACAAGATTAGTGCCAATTGGTGCGGAATTTATCCAAATGCGATCATGATTAGGTTGTCGACGTCGTTCATCACATATTCGTATCATCTCCAAACCATCATCACATCAGCAATCAACAGTATTTTTATTGTCAACGAGTTCGACTTAATTCGCTTTTCAATCAAGATAAATTTTCGCGGAATTCGAAACGCTGTTATTTTCTTCATTCGTGGAAAGGAAAAGTTATGGACACAACTATTAATTGGGATAATTGTTAGCGAATAACGGACTAGAACGACCAGATTATATCTATAAAATGGTGGAAGGGACTCCTACGTACGATGTATATAAAAATTTGTTTTAAATAGGTAACTATTACGTTTTTACTTTTCTGTAAAAGTTCACTTACTAGCTGTTTACATAAAAATAAAGATTAAGTACTTGGAAAAAATATAGCCGCAAATTCTGATAATGTTTATTGGAAAAAAGTAATTTTAACGTCGCTATCATAAAAATGTAAAAATGTGGAAACAAAACTTGATTAAGGGAATGTGAAAACGAAAGAATAATATAGACTAAATTAGTAACAGTTTAGTTTCTCGTAAATACTGACCAAAAAGAACACAATTCGATTAAATTAATGGGTAATGAACGTGCCAAGGTAAACACACACAGATAAATAGGTATATTTACGTGCGCTATTGACCCAAAAAATTCTATATATTATTAATTACCTATCGCACCTACACATGTATATTATTATCATACCATGAACTACTCGTAGTAGATAATTAAATTGCTCAACACTTTTCAAAACGGTTCCGTATTTGATTTTTTTATAAAATAAACAACTGATAATTTTTTTGGTACTTTCTTTGGAAAATAATTATTGATAGCTAAGTAGGTACGAGGTAGTTGTTTTTCATTCTAGTACTGGAGGTGAATGCGTGCTGATATTAGTAGAGTATTGTAGGTAGGTATAAAATCCTATTTCGAGGTACCTGTACTTTTATTCAAGTAAAAATTAAGTGGCCCCGCGCTTCCTTTGAAAGAAATCTTGCTTTACCTTTCCCATTATAAAGTAAAGGTAAGGCAAAACGTTCACCGAGCATAGAAATTACATAAATATATTTGTCGACATTTTCGTTGCCGTCCTAATCTCCCAAAATCCTTCGCAACAACCCTCAAAAGCTTTGAACTATATTTATAAGACTTAATATGTATAGGTATTTCACTTTATTATTCATATGAAAAGATAGCTCAAGGTAATTGTACGAATTTACCTACACTAAAATGTTAAAAATCATTAAACGACTAAAGCGTAATTGAAAGTGATCCTATCCGTTATTAGTAATGGTTGGTTCATGAATAATAACGAGATGTTTTTATTTGAAATTTCTGGAAATGAAAGAAATTAACTTTACCTTTCTTATGATCGCGGTCATTTTTTCCTTGACGACGTCAATTTGCAAGCGCCGCAGAACAATTCACTTCTAAATCGAAATTGACAATGATGAACTGCACAAATATCACGAGCATTGGGCTACAGTGTGATACGATCATATATAAACCTGTAGTAAGTAGATAGAATAGCTACCTATGCGCAGAAAAATTCTCGGTAAGGGAACTTACGATTAATTTAGATCAGTCTGTTATCATCTGATAAGCAGGTTTTGCCTTCCCAGAAAACTGAACATAATGAGTTGTTCTCGGAGACGAATGTGTAAATCGACTGTTAACGCATTACAGGTAAAACTAGTAATTTATTATAGCTACTATTGCATGTTTGTGTTAGTGACTAGGTAAAATAAAACACTACCTACTGCTATAGTCTAATAACAGTGTAAATACAACTATGTACTACCTGCAGCTATTGTACATAGGTAAGTATGTAGGTATAGGTACTAGCAAAATTTGTAGATAATTTTCACCGACATGATAAACATTCGAAGAATCGATAACAAAAAAATGTATTTTTAATTACATTCATACATAGGTGTACTCAAGTGTTTAATTCCCGCAAATGATCAATTACTGACCTTCACGAATTTTTCAGTTACAGTTTATTTGTCGACACCATCTGAATAAATTTGGATTGATTAAACTTTTTCTGAATCGAGATATTTCTACGTAAAGGAATATTGTTAGATATTAACTTAATAATAAACAATTCCTCGAATACAACTATTTAAACTTCCTTATTGACGCACTTCCTATTAATATAACCGCTTCTACGTAAACTCGCACTTTAACACTAAACTCATCATTAATGACAAATATGTATTAAGAAAAGACAATATCCTTATCTTGTCTTGTCTCTAGATTATAGACAAAAACGGAAATGTTAGCGCTTCTCTTTTACATTCAACATCATCAACAGAATATCGCTGTGTTTGGTTCTCAACTCGCCGCTAGTGTAGATACATATACACTACTGGCGAGTTGAGAACCGAGCATATGAATGTTCTATTATACTTGTGGTAGCATCTAATTATTATCAAAGGGAAGCATCATCATTTGGAAAATACAACTTGGTGTAGGAAAATTCGTACAAGTACCTTCAACTATTTTTTCATGTAATATGTACCTATACATATAAAAATGTATTAGATATTAAGTCCAATAAATGAAATCCAGAGCTTTTGTTCATTCATTCAATTGTTTGTGTTAAAAATCGATCAATCGCTAGTTTAAAATAGCTAATGACGCCGCCGTTAGCGTGACCAACCAATAACGTTGCAACTTTCCAAAAATTTCCTTCCTATTTATACAAGTGCTAGAATTTAAAGCAAAGTGACTCTTATTTGGGGTTGTTTGACCTAAAAATCGATACTACTGCCGTCTTTGTTCGGTCTCTACTCATGCGCCTAACACTGTGAATTTCTTTTGCGGGTGCCTACCCTATGCATATTTAATGGATATCTCTCTATAATTATAGCTATCATCAACGAACACACCTCCTCCCATAAAATTTGTATGTATCTATCATTAATTGCAAGGTCAAGAAACTTGAGGAATAAATCCTCCGGATAATACTATCTTTCAAGGGACGAGGTTAGACGGTTATTAATTTCTGTTTCAATGCAATTAAAAACACTTGGATATTATGCGTAGGTACCAACACATATACATATAATGTTAAGTAACTACCTACATATAAATGTAGATTGAAATACACATGCAACTAATGATATTTATTCATAAATATTCATTAGTGGTTAAAACACGTGACAGGAATTACGGTGACGTTGAAATCAACCGGTAGCGATACTATAAATGGTAAAAACGCCGCTTTCATAATCCGGAAGCATATTCCCGAAACGTATCCGGGTAGACATTACACATATAGTTAGGTACCTAAACTTATACCGAATTTAACAAGTTGATAATAACCCAACTAGGTGATTGTAACATGGAAAAAAGCACTTGACGGTGCAATTCAACGATTGAGAACAAGGTTAACATCAACAGGATCAGAAATAGGCAAAGCCCTCACCGAAAGAGCTCCAAAGCCTAAGCCCAAAGCTATTACTTAAACTTTAATTAAAGTGCAATTTGTACATGAGAGGCTTTCAATCCTTGATTCCCCAATTGCATTTTAAGATTCGAGTTACCAATTTGGTAGATAATTCAAGAGCAGTTTGTCCTCCGGGTTACAAATTAAAAAGCATTTTTACAAAGTAAATAATTCGTTTACCAAACCCCATCTATTTGTCTGTAAGGGACTTGTATTACAATGCTTCTACGCCCTGAAACAACTGGAAGTACTAAAATTCTACCCAACTCTGACCAGAATACTGGATAAACAAAAAGTCCCATAAAGCTGCCCCAAAAATTTCCAATGTAGGTAACATTACAATATTGACTTGAAAATTGTATGCGAAATAGAATATTTGTATCTAGTTAAAATGTAAATAAAAATATTCTTAATCATAAAATATTTTAGATTAAGTACATCTACAATTTCCATCCGTTAATTTAACAGAAAGGTACCTAAGTGTGTTACCATTCTAAAATAGGTATATCTAGGTAGAATAGATTAGAGGCCAAGCATGAAGTAGTAGTTACGACATAATCTACCATTAAATTTCACTTGAATTAACCTCAATTTACGCCTTCATTCATCAACCTTTCTAAAAATAACTGCATGTAAACTACATACATATATGTCTTTCATACGGAGGTATACATGTGTACCTAGTTGCATACCTAATACGCGTACTAGAGTAAAATAGAAAATACTACAATTTCTTCTCTGGTCCTACCTAATCTTAAGGTTTCCTTTACAAGGTGCGTTCCATTATACTCAACATCCATCTAGTAAAAAAAAGAATAAAAACTGAACTATGAACACTGAATAATAACACACTCAAAATATCCTAGTCAACTTTTAAGTAAACGTTAACTATATTTTAATTCACTGTTACTAATCGTAAGCATTGCTAGTGCATAGTTTTTGCGCTTACGGCTGCGCTACACACACAGTTTCGTCCGACTAAGATACAAGACTGGTATGTCTTTCTTACTTTAAATGTTAAGCGCGAACACACGTTACCCCTGTGTTCGTCCCCAACTGACGAAAACAGTTGTTTCGCTTTGCTACTAGAAGCGAGCAAGCGAAGGCAAAAAGATCGGCCATTTACGCTTGATGCTCGGCTACAGCTGTAGAGAGGGACATTTGAACAAGAATACCTTGCATTTAAAGGATGTCGACAGAGATGGAGCGTATTTGAGTCTTCTGAGAAGTACGAGAACGTGATTTCACTTCACGCTAAGTAGATCTCAGGTGGAGGGGATGTGTCGTGTTCAGTATTTCAGGGAATCTCCACTTCTTGGAAGACGGAACGTAATATAAAATTTATTTACATCGACGCATATGCATATGTATGTGTATGTAGAACTTACATGCATATACGTATGTGTATACTTAATACCTGAACACAGAAGTCTCACAAAGCTCTCTCCAACACATTTGGAAACGTTCGTGGAACTCTAAATGTAGTGACGGAAGACTTTCTGAACGCTTGGTCAAACTATAATAGTACATACATGTGTTCGTATAAGGTATATATATATATATATTATGGTTAGTAAGTATCTTTATCTCTCTTTAAAAACAATCTGAATCTATTGTTAATCTTTTCCAAATCCAATTGGTATTTGTGGAAGTACTTTATTAAGTGGTCTAACTAGAGAAGAACCCTAAAAAAACTATGTAGGTACCTTCTTATTTTTTAAATTTGCAAGGTAGCTAATTGTGGAGCAAATTTTTTAGGAAAACTGCATTATTTATCAATTACAAGTAAAACCGACATTTTTAATTCTTCGTAATCATATGCCACAATTAGTAGTAATTTTGTACGTGTAGTTATTTAAGTACATAAAATAGAAGTAATGTTGCATGTAAGTATAAAGTACCTGTACCTAATACACTAATTACTAATACAATACTCCAGTGAATAATGTCCAATCCCTGTATGTATGTATGTATGTATATATATATATGTATAATAATTTGTCACCATCTGAAAGTTGTTTGGAAGGTTAAAAATTCTGTTGTATGTTGTATGTTGCTGCAGCTGCAGTGTTGGTTATGACTTGTTTAATTGACTTAAAACACCTGCTTTCTATACATACGTATGTATAATTTTTCATGCTAATTTCTATTCAGAACGGAGTAGGTATTCTAGTTTTAATAGTAGAGATATGGTAGAGACTCGGTTGAATTGGAAAAGTAATGCTGAATTTTGTGTCTGAACACCTAGTTGACTTTAGAAACGTTTTAATGCAATTCCATTGTGTCTCCATGTTCTTGTCATTCGTTTCTCCTGCTTCTTTTAGTATTTCATCTATCCTTGTACCTAGTCTATCACGCGTTTTGTTACATTTTAGCTTTCCTAAATCAAGACGTCTCCTACCTTCCTTCTTTTTCAGAATTTTCAATTTAAGATGGGTCTTCTTAACTACTACCTCATGATCGCTATCTATATCTGCTTCTGGATAACTCCTACAGCCCTTCACTTGATTTTGGAATCTATGCCTAACAGCTATGTAATCTATCTGATATCCCCCTAAATCACCTGGCATCTTCCCTTCCACGTATAGCGCCTCCTAACCTGATGATTGAATAGTTTCAAATTTTTTAATTTCCCTGCTTACCTCATTGTCCTAACATTCCCTCGAGGTAATCCCCGTCCGGACATCCGAATGGGGGACTAATTTACGTCCAGAGTACTTTACCCCAAAGGACATCATCATTTGACTTTTGCATTGTTTTACTTGAGATATCGTAATGTGGTGGTTTCCCGTTGCCTTCCACATCGCAGTATTGTGTATTAGAGTGTCATACGGATTCTCGTGATCTCTGCCACCCTGAGTACTCTTTCAGACACTTGTTTTATTCTGGTTTCTCTTTAAGAACCACACCCCCCGCCACCCTCATTATGGTTGAAACTATGGTCCAGTTTCGTAAATCCACTCTAATTTGTACAAGAGCTTCCTCAAGGTTCAAGCCTCGTCGGATCGGAATTTCTACTACGAAAGGTCGACCGCATAATTTTAATAATAAAGTGTTTGAGCTATATGTATACATACATTTTATCGTAGACACATAGGGGTAATAATGTCAAAGTTGCATCTACGACAAATGTCACACTTCCTATCAACAATAATAATTTTTATTGTTTTGGTATTGGTAAATGGTAAAAAGAATAGATTGTGTTATTCGTGTGTAGCTAAAACATCGTCCATTTTCGATAAGTGTAATCATTATTTGGAAAATTTATGCGATGATAGTTATGTGCTGGACGATTACTACGCGTACCCGAGCGATGCGTCCGTGGGCATTTGCAAAACAACTGAAAGCGGAAAATGCTACACAACTTTAGTCAAAATTATTGAAAATGGTTATACGCATATCAAAACGCAAAGATTCTGTCATCACTCCGACAGACTCTGCGAAAATGTCACCGCTTTGAGCCTGATTTACAAATCTTCGAATTCCGAACAGATCGAGTATTTGAATGACATCGTGTTTTGTGGAAGTTGCGGCGAAAATTTTTGCAACAAACATTTTGTCATTGACAATGTTGAACGCGATGTATTTATTTATTTATAAACTCATGGATACTCCATTTGCTAAGTAATTCATATCTATAACAATAAAGATATAGGTAGATTTACAAAGCCATGTTTTCTCTGATGATGGTTGTGATTGTTAAGAGCCAGACGGGTTTTCCATTAACAATGTGGAACGAGTGCATGCCAATGTATGGAAATGTGTGACCAAACCTTTCCAATGATTGGAAAAATCTCTTTTTATAATCGTTGCTTTGATTACGAGAATGTTCAAAATTGTCGAAGAACATTTCAGATCGATCGAGAATGATTCAGAATGTTCCAGAACAACGTGTTTTTCTATTATCCGCTTGGAATTTGATTAAACAACTCCTCTTTCACTAAACGACTGTTACACATGTCAGTATTACATACATCACAGTACAACAAACCATTGAAAGCTTCCGGGTTACTACTGTTACTCTCCATAAAATTTATAAGTTTTTTTCTGTACCTGTGAGCACAAAGTTTCCGCGATGGGTAACAAAACCTCTGGGTTCTAAACGTTAGCATATCAACGACATTCATTTTCGCTATCACTGTGTAGCACCAGCCTGCTCGAGGCCTGTTGCAAAAATCTATGGTGGTATTCGATAAAAGATACCAATAGACTTGGTCAGTATCCTCTTTATCAAATATCCATCTTAAGCCGTAGTTGCATTTATCGAAATACGAAGCTGTATCACTAATGCAATGGAAACAGCGATCGTTGTCGCTCGCTGACTTTGGGATGAACATGATCATTAAAATGGAGAATAATACAGCATCCTTTTTAAACAGAATCATCCTTGCCCTAACTGTGATATGTGTACATACATTTACCTAATTGACATTAGTTTTGATTCACTAAAAAAAGTTTCACAAGTAACGTTGTTACCTTTTAACTGTCGCATAATTTTGTTATAGCGGGTAACGATAGTGATTTATACATAAAAGTATTAATTTGAAGGTTTGACAGTTCTTTCGTAAAATTTACGTGATATTGCGACAATCATGGCGAGTGTTGGACTTTTGACCATTACTTTATTTTTATTTTGTGCCTATTGCGCCAAGAAAGCAGTTAAGGAGATCCATGACTGCGAATGACCGAATCTTTTGACTACGCCCATCCGGATGTTCAATTGAAAATTCTGATAGAAGCTTCAATAAGTCTGATAACGTTTGTACATTTCTGAAGGGGTGATTTTTTTACCTTTTTTCAATTTATTATATTTTTTTGTCAAGTTTTGTTTTTTTTTAGGGAATGGGAATGGTGCACAGTTACCACGTTCATTCACAAAATACAAGCAGTTTCTGTTGTTTATTTTAGTTAATCGTTTTAAACTGTATCTAAACGGTCTAACTCTAACGTCACTTGTTCTCTTTTATAACTTTGTGGGAAGATGAAGTTGTTATGATTTAAAAACCCACGTAGAAAACGAATAGAATTATTACGTTGACCTACGCAGTTTTATATGTATGTATGTATGTATGTATGTAACCATCCAGCTGATGACGGTCTGCTTGGCGTGGTCGTTTTTTTCGAACATCCATTCAATTTTTCTGATTCCAAGAAAACGGATGGCATGGGCTATCCGCCAAATCGCAGATATTCTTTATTTGTTGGTACATAAAATATTATTCGAAATTTTTATGACACAAAACTGGGAAACGGTTTTTTCCCGCTGTAACTTATCTCGTCCACTTTCATGAAAAAAGCTATGTACCTATATCTAGAGGAAAAATGAACAGCAACTTTGTTAAACTGAAACCACTCATCGCTAATCACTGATATGCACAGACATTACCCATTCTTGTAACATTTTGAATCTGTAATAATTTGTATTCTTCGACGCTCTCCAAAATTCTTTTTTTCGTTAAAGTATGTCATTGTAGGCATTTACCCTCAATGTATTTTAGGTAGGTACCCACAAGATATACCTACATAATACAAACATCCAATTTTCGAATGGTTAGTATTTAATTTTTGCATATTACCTGCATTAATTATAAATAGTATCTATATGTAGTAGTTTTGGCTTTGTAAAAGGATAGTAGTCATCAAAGGCAACAAGTTACATAAACAATTTATTTTACTTGTACATCACAAAAGCATGTTTCAAAATATGAATAATGAAATTATATAAAATCGATTTAATTAGTCCGTCGCTGCGTCGACTACAACTAATAATAAAGTGTTTATAGTTTTGTACGTACATGTGCCTATGGAGTAAATTTGTACCGATTACTGAGAAATTTATTATTGTGCACATTTTCGTTTCGAAGAATTTACAAGTAATTTTTCTTCGAATAGTTTCGTGTGCGATCGATCTGAAGCGACAAACCATAAAAATAAAATTTTCACAGAAGGGGTCAGACACCACACGAAGGAAGTGTGACGTTTCTTCATACTACCTATAATCGTCATTAATCGTAAAAAAAATGTGTATGTATTACATATTAGGTGTGTACATATTCGTGGAGGTGCAGGTTTGTGATTACCAAATTAGAACGAACTTCTCGGTATAAGTAATCAATGCTCGATAACTGTTTCGCAGAAAATTTATTAATGGTAGGTATACGAAATGGCTATTATTAGTATTTTTACACACGTTACGAACTATTATACACATACAGTATTTATTTACGTGTGTATTGGATATCAGACATGACTTACGCATGCAACCTATGTGTGTATCTATGCATCAGTCTCCACTTTTGATACTTGAAGCAATTGCAACTCCGACAACGTTACAACTAATGGACTTTTAATTAGCTTCTTGTAAAGTAGAGATCTTCCACTACGGATTCATAAAGTTTTTAAAGTACATACTTATGGTATTTCCTATAATATACATTTGCTTTTGACTGGCCCGGGGTGCAGGAGTGTAAATACACCCCTGGCCAAATGACTCAAAAAATGTGAAAAAAAAGAGAAATTTGGTTACATCGCACCCCGGGCCAAAATCTTCAGTCCGGCTCTGCTATTACTAGTAATCATTCTTGACCGATTCTTTTTTTGTCGATTTATTAACCATCACAGTAGAACCCTTTTGTAGAATTGAATTATAATTAACGGAAGCAAGTGTTTTAAAAAAAAATATTACAAACTTTGACCAATTTTTTAAATATTAGGTTGGTATTTATTCGTACAATTCGATGAGTCACTTATGAGTCAATCTACTTAAAGGTGTTTCTTTCCATACAATTTATGGTGAAACATGTGAAAGTCAAGGTAAGTATAATAAAAATTGTTATTGCATATCTTTTTCGTGCTCATCTTGGACAAAGAGATTTACAGACGGACAAACATTATTAAAAGAGCTAGTCATGAATAATAAAGCATTCCCTAAATTAATAGTATTCGTAAGAGTAGCTTCAGGGTAATTGGTAATTCGATAAAGAGGTGTAATAAGTAAGCCTTAGTCAATTGTTTCCTGTAGATTTGCTGTCAGGTATGTTTTAAAAAATACATATCCGTAAATGAGTGTTTTTGTAAAGACATGGTGTAATTCAAAAAAATATTATAAGAATTCCTGTCTAATTAGTTATTAGTAGAATAAAAAATTGTCTTCTAGCTACTTCACTTTTGCAAAACCACAATTATTGCCGAGGTGCAAATTATTCCCAGAAATAATTTCTAATTTACATATACTTAGTACATAGATACCTATGTGGTTTTTAACTTTAATAAACGCATATATGTATGTGTACCTAGATAGATATGTCCATGGTAGTAGGTACTTTTTACTCATTTACATAATAAATAGAAAATAGGCGGGCATTGGTACCAACTGATTTCCTGTTTTACAAAATGGTTGATCTGCACTCATTACACTTTATACATATACATATGATTCAATAATAAAAGAAAGTGTGAAGGTTTTCTTTTATTTTTGTTTACATAAAATTTTGTTAGGGCAAACTAAAAAATCTACTATTTTCTCCGTTGTTCACTTGACAACATTTTTTATAATAAATATACATACTTATATGTATATCGTATGTACTAACATAATATATATGTATAATGTGATAGTTCTTGTAATGCCTCTTGAACTCATTTTCTGTTTATATTAGAGCAAAGTTCGTAATAGTTTGATGAAGATCAATGTGTGCAACCAATTTCTGAGAAAATTGTATATTTTATTTGCAAAAAAAAAAAATTACCGCTAAAAACATTCTAACGAAAACAATGTCGTTTTAAAATGTTTAAAAAAGAAAGCAATTGTTGTACAGACAAATTCGATGTTGTACCGTGTACCCATATTTGTATCTTATCTGAAAAAGGAGATTCCACGAAGACCTTGAAGTCATAATTTACAACCAAAGAACCAAAGCTATTTAATTTATTAATAATTTTGTATTCTTAGAAAATCGTTCTTGATGTTGATAATAATACCATAATAATAATTATAGCTAACGCTAAATTGTTAGTATGATACAATTTTTAGTTTCTCGAAATTGTTGTTTGTCAATAATTAGTCTCGGTAAAAGTTGTTTACAATAATACACTCATCGATTAAATTGTATAAATGATCAGACTTAACGAAAAACGTTACGGCCAGAATGAAAACGTCATCGTGTTATTTCTATAATATCCAAGCGAAATACGGAACTAGAATACGGGGCGCCATACCTACCATGTTTGCGCATGCAAAATAAAGATCAAGTTGTCTTTACATCAGCCAAATAGAACAGGACTCATTAGATATCATTTGTGAAATAGAATTTCTTTGTTAATTTTCAAAGAAACGACTTAAATCAACCCATGAGGTCAGCAGAAGGTCATGCAGCATGCCCAGCTGCCTTCGTTCATGATTTATTAAGCACTGCATAAGGCAGGTACTTAAATACATGCCGTATGTACATACATGTATATTAATTTATCTACAGATGAGTAAATATGATAACGAATGGTAAATTTTGAGTGGAATTGCAACCCTTAATTTTTGACTTGAAGAATATCGTAATCAGAAAACTTTTTATCGATAAACAGATAAAGCAAACGTCAGAGATTATAGACTAAACGTATACAATGTATTAGATTTTATTAATTTTTTTCTTTTGGTTAAAACGAAAAAACTTCATCCCACTATGAAATTACCCTCACATAGAATAAAATAAGAAACACTTCCTAGAATTGTCGTTGAAGCGTGGAGGATAAAATCCGAGAGTAAACTTTGAACCCCCAGTTCTACGAATTCCTGGTAAGAAATGATGTGACAAAATAAAATATAAAACAATTTATCGATTTCCAAGTGACAGTTCTATTAGTCTTTTGTTTGCCAGCATGCTGCGTTCTTCTCGGAAAAACAATAAGAGCAGCCAACTGTGACTTTTATTTATGAGCTTGAGGTAGCAGCTGCAGAGGGTGTCGTGTCGCCGTCGAATAACTTTGGTCCTCCTCCTGCTACCCGCTCTTTCTACTCTTATAATGCATATTATTACTTCTATTTCTTCGTGTAGAGTAATAACAAATGCATTCTACTTAAACATATACTCGTTTTGTAAACAGACAGATGGTTGTTTCAAAGTTCTTCGAAAAGCATTCGTTTTAATTGAATGTTTCGGAACGATACACGTCCTCGCGCATTTTCCTCGAAAAGCAAGGTCAACCAGGCAGATGGTTCAAAATTGATACTAAATTATTGGACATTAAAAGAGTGATAGAAGATGTGGGCAGTTTAAAAAATATATAAAGATAAATAAATCTTAATCGTATTTTTTTTACAAGTTTGCCTAAATTATTCGATAATTATAATCACACTAGTTTCTTTGTTTCAAAAATAATGACATACTTGTTCTTCGTTTTCCTCTCTAACGTTGTAATAATTTCAGCGAGCATTTTCTTCTAAACAATATTAATTTCAAATTTGTTACTTTTTGACTTTTACCGCTTTATTTTGAACATGGAAATTTGATTGTGGTACTTCTGGCGGCATCTAGCGTAATTCAGTTGTTACAAATTTAATGTTGGCAGTAATTTATAAGATTATAAGTAAATCAGATGGCACCACTAACTTGGTAAGATATCCATCTATGAGTCAGACGTACGTATAAACAATAGGTGAGATAAATTTCTTTAAAAGTAATATTACGAAATGGTGATTTAATTACGTGTTCCCTACTAATCACATGACCTTCATTGAAACGAAAAATAAGTATGAGAAGTACCAATACTTCTTAAAATTAGTTTAGATAGATCTCCAAATATACTATTTTTAACGTATAATCTGAACGTATATAATGGCTGATGACGTCATTACGCATGTATGCGTCTATGTGTGTATCTGAATGGCCTAAAATTAAACAAAATTTGCTTAAAGTGAAACGTTGTTTAGAACATGTTTAGATTCGATTCGCAGTGAAAAATAACACAAGGTTCGCAAGAGCGATTTATCAGTTCAATATTAGTTTTTTTATAAAGAGTGATACCTAACAAAGTGAAAACTTGTACGAAGTGAGTGAACATCGACGATAAATAAACCGTCGTTTCTACATGTAAAGTTATCCTAAAATAAACACAAATAAAGGACCACAAACAGACGTGAGACGTGTGAAATGTAATTTTAAGTTTTGAATGATCCGTTGGTATAGGCCCAAAATAATGCGAACGTAAGTTTAAAGCGAGTGTTCGTTTAGAAAACAGTACCGAACTTTTTGCTGTTACTTTCGAATTATAAACTAAACAGTGTAGATTATAAAATAGATAGTCGCAGTTGAATATCAAATAGACTTTTTTGTTTCTTGTTGAATACAAAAAAATGGATCTTCGCTCTAGATCTAGATCGAAAACGCCTTATTTGACGGATTCTTCGTTTGAAAAAGAAGTTAATAAAATTGGGAATCGCATATTGGAACGCACAGTAACAACACGATCAACAAGAAGTGGCACAAGGTAAATTTTCAGTAAACTAAATTGTTTACTTCTACATCATGGGTGACTGTAATAGGTTTTTGCCTGCTAGATGAATTAATTTTTTCACAAATGCTTAACTACTCACAATAGGACGTACATATTATACAGGGTGTCTGTAATTGTTTTGGTATATATTATTATTTGCTTTTTGTGTTTTAATTATATATGGGAATGTTAAAACATATAAAGATAATTAAATTTGGTTAATTTTATAAGATATATAGTTATAACAAAATTGCAACGAATACATTGATTAATGGACTTATTTATACAACTAATCAATAAAATCAACAAATTTATCTCATGCTTGTTACAGGGTAACTAACGAAGATACCAAAATAACTAATATTGGTCAAAATTTTGATTCGATAACTACAGTAATACCTAAGCAGTCTGCTAATAAAATGAAAAGCACGAGATCTGAAAGAACTTTAAGAAGTTCACGCTACAAAACTTCTGATTATTCTTCAGAAGATGGTGAAAACGATGTTTCCACAAGTCACACTGTAGACCAAAATGTACAAAATCAACTAATAGAAGAAGCAAGAAAGAGAAGATCTGCTAGTAATAGCTCTTCAGCTTCCCATATATCTGCCCTTGATGTTTACAGGGCTGCAGGAGAATATTGGAAGTAAGTTAAGTTATTTTTTTTTCATTCTTACGCACATTTGCAAAGGTAAAATTGATGAAAATTTAAACATGTTTTGTAATTACAAAGAAAAGTTATGTAAGATTGTACGTAGCCGTGTATTTTGGGTTGCATAACCTAAGGTAGATATTCTTTTTTTTTTAATTATTTCCTGGGTATTCGTTTTGTCTGTACCAACCGATGCTATTTTAATCTATTTTATACTTTTCTTACTTCTTCACGTTTCAACTATAAATATAGGTTTCCATTTAAATATTCTTCCTCAAATAAGTTGGAACAGACATTACTGTACATGCTCCGTAATTGCAGTTTTAACATAAGGAAATGAATATGCTTTGCAATACTGAATAATATTTTATTCGCAGTATTCAGGTTTCAGTAGTTTTGAAATTTGCTCTTTTATACAGGTCGAGCTGTTTAATACATTTGCATATTTATGGGACATGGATATAACTTAATAGCTAATGTGTGTGTGTGCACGTACATTGCGTATGTATGTATGGATAAACTAATACGTTTGTGTGTGTCAACTGTAAATGTCTTGTCCTTGATTGGATTTTAAATTTCATTTTTTACTGTTTTTATTTCGATGCTTATACGTACCTACCTACAGTAGAATGAATTTAAATATAGTTTAGGTAATTTATTATTTTTAGATCTAGAAACGTATTTTAATTTTTACTACGATTTTTAAATTGGGAATTCGACAAATAAAAAGATACGGAGTGACCCCAAAATTAACTAAACTTTCAAAATTGAACGAGTTGTAAATTTTTAAATTGGTCTGTACACATATGTATGTTTATTTGTATTTTATAAAAAGCTCTATTTTGTTCTGATAATAATGATATCGCCCGTTTTAAAACTCAACACTCAAAACATTGTACATATATACTCTTTTTATTATTGTTTCTATTATCGTTTCTTAATTTTTTATCATCAATTCGTCTCGGTCGGTATTAATCAGTTTTCCGTTTGTTTTCGTAATGTGATGCCTTAAATCATGGTGTTTTGAAATAATCACAATTAAAAAGAAGCAGGTATATATTATATAATGACTATATTAAATAATTAACATTACCAAATGTATATTTGTTTGTGGTACTTCTGGCGGCATCTAGCGTAATTCAGTTGTTACAAATTTAATGTTGGCAGTAATTTATAAGATTATAAGTAAATCAGATGGCACCACTAACTTGGTAAGATATCCATCTATGAGTCAGACGTACGTATAAACAATAGGTGAGATAAATTTCNTAAATACCCGAAGACCGATTGGACTTATTCCCGCAGTTCGAAAGATAGAATTGAAATAGCGCCAGGTGTAATTGCCATGCCAAACATGTCCCGCAGATCAATTCATAGTAACGATTCAAATTCCGATTATTTGTCAGATAAACAAACTAACACTTCATTTTCGCTGGAAGAAACCGTGGACGAGGGTAACGGCTACAGGCGAAAATATTATTCGGATAATTACAGTTCAAAAATTAAACCTCGAACATTATTTTCTAGAAGTAATAATAATAATAATAATCAGTATGTTTCGTCTAGAAGTTCCGCAACAACACATAAGAATGTTTTTTATCGATTTTCATCAGTTTTTACCAGTATATTTTTCACAATTTTTAATTTTATTTCTACCATTGGTTATGTTCTGTACAATACCCATAATGCGGTTTATGTTTGGTTTGGCAAAAAAATTCACAAGTTTGTCAGTAGAATTATGTTGATAGACACCTGGTTGCTTCAGTCCGTCAATACTAAAAAGAAGATTTCGTCTCTTTTGGCCCTTTGCTTGCTACCTTTACTGCTTTTAGGAGGTAAGTCCTTCTTTAATTGTCTGCCTTTACCCTTTAAGAAGATCAAATGGGTTCTTTGTAACATTACTAGTTAATCTGTTATTGGTATTATGTTTCTGTTAGGCAGTGGCCCACATTTGCTTTCCTTATCTCATGACTTTTTATAAAAAGAGAATAAAATTTTAAATAAAGTATGTACTACAATTATTATTCATTCTGTGAAAAGAACATAATGAAAGGTTTATTGCAGTCAGTTGGTAGTTTATTAAATTTACCCAACTATTATTACAGGGTTACACATCCTGCTGGTGATAGGCGTACCTCTTACCCCACCCTGCCACCCCAACTGCGGTAAAATTGCCTCGTCTTATGTCACTACATTTATAGAGATTGCTTATAATACATTACAAATCAACAAATGATAATTATAAGAACCATTATAGACTAATGTTTATCTCTCATTGTATACCGTCTTCTTCCTTCTGACATTAATGAAAATAATGCTTAATTTTTATGTTTTTCTGCAAATATTCCTTCCTTCTTTTTCTTTAATTATTTACCGAAAAACATTTTTACTAATTCGATCAAATTTCTGATGCTTTCTTGAAGAAAAAAATGTTTCAAAGTGCTCTGTATGTCTCTTACATAACACATCTGGATGCAGTTTTTTTTACAAGCAAGCATTTTATCTCGTATACATACTGGTCTGTTTAAATTCATTAGGTGTTTTTTAAAGGTTTATAGTTTTTATTTAATTTAATGTAGTTTTATTTGATTCAAAGATAAAACTTTCGTTAACGTTTTTTCTTATTTTATTTAATCATTTTAGTTACAAGTTCTTTTCAATTATAATCTTCGGCGTCATAAAAATCGCGCTTTCATTAAGTAGGGTGCTTCTTATCATTAGTGTGCATATTTTTAACTAATCTCACTTGTACCCGTGTGCTGTTTATTATAACAACTATGTTTAAGGCAAATGGATTTATTGTAACTCAGTAACAAATAAAAAGTTGTGAAAAAGAATAATATCGTTTGTTGTCCTAACTCATGCTTTTTTTTTATAATTTTTTTTTACTTAACGCACATTCTGTTGAAAATGAGAACAGAAACAGTTAAAACAAGATCAAGAGGTGGTGAGGTGAGGTAAGGGAAAAATATACTTAAAGGCGTTGCTTTTAGCTTTCTTTTTTTTTTTTTTTTTTATTATTTATTTACAAAAATTATTTTCTTTAAGTATATTTTTCAATTAAGTGTGGTTGCAGGGTGGTGGTTGTTATCTGGACTAAGCTACACTCTCTACAACAACTTTGTGAACTTGACCAACCCCGCAATAACAACAAGTAAAATTGCAGAAAAATTTACGGTAGACACACAACGAATTATCAAAAGGGATGCCGAATCTCAAAAAGAAGAATACCATGATTTGGGATCGAAGTTAGAAAAAGCTGTTACTATAAAAAAGAAAATTGTAGTAGAGCACCCGAGTGCGTCTGAAATAGCTGCCGAGTTATCAGAAGAACAATTAGAAGAAATCGGTAACTTGTTAAAAGACAAATTACACAATCAGGAAAATGTTATAATCGAAAAAATACTTCGTAGTCCTTCAATGCAAAACATTATTAATGCTTATAACGAATTGAATGTTAAAGTAGATGCCAATGAAAAATCATATTACGTAAGCAAAATTGAATCAGATATTCACATTGACAGTGAGCTTTTCGAAAGGCAACGGAAAGCCATCGAAGATCTCGAAAGTGATGTACGAAAAATGAAAGCCGAATTCTTGATGTTTGAAAGAAATCAAGACAAAAAGCTGTCGTTGCTTATATCTCAACTAAAAGCGGAGAATATGCAGAACAAAGTAAAATTATTATATGAATTGAAAAGGTGTTGTCGCAATTCCTTTGTCCAAATGGAAAACTACGTAGGTAGAATTTTAGGGAAGTTGTTAGGAGCTCCACATTTGCTAACAAACGAAAAAGATATTTCAAAGTGGCTCCATTCCATGTTTGTGGCGAAAAATGATTTAGAATCGCGACTTGCAAATCTAACTCAAAATTTAAAATCAAATTTCGATCACTTGATTGAAAACAGTGGCCACGTTATAATGGATGATGTTACCACAAAAATTTCCGACGAGCTTCATGACAGACTTGAAAAGCTCGAACAAACCATGCAACAGAAAGATTTTCGGGGAGAATTAACCGTAGACACGCTTACAGACGAATACGTTAAAGGCATAGTAAAAGAAGTTTTGGAAATTTACGATGCCGATAAGACAGGGTTAGTCGACTATGCCATGGAACCCTCTGGTGGTCAGGTGTTGTCAACACGCTGCTCAGAAACGTATCATGCAGGTACCGCAGTCATATCGGTACTTGGTATCCCGTTGTGGTACCCCACAAACACCCCCAGAACTGTTATCACACCAGGTGTAAATCCTGGCGAATGTTGGGCTTTCCAAAACTTCCCTGGATTTTTAGTCATCAAACTGGCTGCGCCAATTAAAATTGATGCCTTTTCGTACGAGCACATTAGTAAAAAGTTAATGCCCAATGGTAAAATTGATTCGGCTCTTAAAGATTTCGCCGTTTACGGTTTGAAAAACGAAACCGATACAGAACCAATACTAATCGGTACGTATCATTATGATCACGACGGTCCATCTTTGCAATATTTCGCTGCCGAAAGTCACGGACTCACATTTGAAATTATTGAACTAAGGGTGTTTTCCAATCATGGTAATCCCAACTATACGTGTTTGTACAGGTTCAGAGTTCATGGAACCGTTACTGACAACCCCACGTGAGAGTTCTTTTTCTTTCTGGTTTTGAATTGTGTCTGTTAGTGTGTTTTTCAAAATGGTAAAAAATTGTGTGTTCTTTTTTGATGAGGCTTTATTTTCGGATTTATTCACCGCACTTCAGTATACATTGCAAAAAATCGGTTACGGACAAATATACAACGGATGACACTTTATTTACGTATATATATATTCCAGCAATAGTTAATTTTTTACAAGATGTATTTTTGGGAAAACAATGCGATGGCTGTGTAGAGTGCTTTGAAAAGTTTGTAAATGTCTTATTTATTTATTGCTAACTTTAGTTATCTAATGGATTTTAAAGTTTGCATTATGAATTATTCAGTTCTTATGCATCAATGTTGATTATTTTATAACTAAAAGTCATTTGTTTGAGCTAGTCATTAAAGTACAGATGGAAATAAATTAAAAAAAACTGCTTGCAGAAAGTATATTCATCATATTTATGTGTTCTTTAATATTTATAAATAATTTGCTTTTTCTTTTGTACATATAGATAACTAAGAGTTTTCTAAAAACTGCAAAATTTGAAAACTTAGGAATGTTAGTATGGGCTTTTTTTGATGTTACTATTTAGAATTTTTAACTTTTTATTTTGTTTAGCACTAAGTTACCAAACTACAATAATTAGGCAAGTTAACAAAAAAAATGAGATTGCTTTGTATGCTTGTAAATTTTACTTTTCATAAAAGTCAATGGGGGCATCATACCCCATATAGGTTTATACACGCACGTTTGTTTTGACTGTGATCTTGTTCTAATCTAAATTAAGAGTACAAAAATCTCATTAGATGTAGAATCAGAATGTCTTAACTTTTGTAACTGATAAGTTCTGTTTATCTAGACAATATATTAATAAGAGGTGTGTACAAATAGCAGAAAATAGGATTAACATTTAAGTGCTTTTTATAATATACAGGCTTTGTTTACTTATTTAATTAGATAAATGCCTATTTTAAATTTGTATGTATAAAGGAATGAAGAACTAACATTTTATATTTATAAAACCACTAATTTAATGTTAATTAAAACAGAATTGATTTGTTCAGTTTATTTTATTATTTTTAGGTGTTCTATTAATAGGAGATTACCCTTTAGTTTTATTTTATATATTAATCTTAGAATGTTATTTGCAAAAAAGAAAAACTATTGTGTTAGTAGGGTGTGTTTTTATTTTGCATATCCTTAACGCTTTATTCTTTTAACTATTATTTAGACACAACCCTTATCCGAATCATAGATATACAAAACATTCCCCACAGAACATTCCCTGTTGTCTATGGTTCACTGTCAGCCATGTCTATGGCCAAGTTCAAGTCATTTCAAGCACGTACATTTTAGATGCATCTATGATTAGATGTTTCAAGTTTGGCAACGTGTAACCTATCTATGGTGTAACCTATATGCTATGCCTATATGGCAGTGGTATTTATAACCGAGCAAGAGCATTTTGTATTATATTGATGTTTATATGGCTTTAGAAAGATGACTTTAGCAGAAATTAATAAAAAAATGGATAAAAGCTTGCTTAAAGAAGAGAAAACAGATCCTTCGCAACCTTTTACTTTGGAGAGTATCCTTTAATGTTATAAGTACCCTTTTCACATCTGTTTTAAAATGTCTTCCTTAATAAAAGGCAGTTTTAAAAATAATTAAAGAAGCACAACAACAGCATGGATTGCGACATGGAGATTACCAACGGTACAGGGGGTATTGCTCTCGCAGAATTCGTAGACTACGAAAAGTATTGAAACTTCCCCAGGGTGACAGGAGGCATTTTAAAAAGAGAGATGTTAATGAATCACATCTTAACAATCCGAAAGCAGATGAGCGTTATTTACACATTCCATTAGTATTAGCAGAAAGAAATTGGGCTTATGCAATGCAATTAAGACAAGAATCAAATACTGAACCCAGGAAAAGGTTCCATTTGATTGCTAAATTACGAAAAGCATGCTTTTATGCATTACAGCTTGAAGACCTCTGTAAGGTATGTACTTAGTTATTTTTTTTTGGTTTGTGATGGTGTATGGAAATTTTTTTTTAGTCTGATCGTTGTGATGCTCGTACAAAGCTAGAATCACAAGCCTATGTTTCTTGGATACATGGCACTCTGCAATTTGAACTTCAACTTTGGGCTCCAGCTGTTGAAAATCTGAAGAAGGCCCAAGTGGTTTATGAGAAACTGGCCTCAGCTCTGCCTGCTGAATTACAAACGCCATATAAACAAAAAGTTGAAGAAATCACTCCTAGTCTACGTTATTGTGCATATAATATAGGAGACAACAAGGGAGTTGATCTGTTAGAGTTACGGAGTCAGGGAATTTTGGATAACCTTGACCAGTTCATATCACAAACTAAGGAAAAGTCATTGGCCATCTTACATGAAATAAAGTGGTATGGAGTTAAGATACCTATTCATTTGGAACGAGTTAAGTTGTTTTTATTGAGCATTGAGGGCCTTGACGAGTCCTTGAGCAGAACTGACGACCTGCAAGACAAAATAAAACTTTTGGAGAATATGTTCATTGATTTGCGTGATGTTATATCATACGTACGCGAAGAAAAATCGGAAAATAAAAACATTCAGTTGACACTTTCGTATCTCTTATCGATACGTATAGAACGTACTGTACAACGAAATTTGTATTTGATCAGACTAACGAAGAAAGCGCAGGAAATTGTACGTCTGTTTGACATTATTATACAGCAATTCACTGAACTTTCACAGTTTGAAGTTCTACACGAAAATGCAGAAGCTCAGGAAGATCTTGCTAATCGTTTGGAAGCATTTAAAACGTTAAGGTGTTTTTATATGGCAAAAGCACACGCGGGGGCTCGTAGATTAATCGAGGCTGTATTATTATTCGAACGAGCCAGTGCTTATGCTGAAAAAATTATTAAGAAGAAACTCCCAACAGAGCTGGAAGATCTTGTAAGGGTCGTCGTTGAAAGCGCACTTGTTGAGAAAGGCGTTGCTCACGCTCAATTTGTAATAGAAAAAGAACAGGAGAACGAAGCTACTGCTCCAATTAAAATATATAAGAGCAAGAAACCGTTAATCGAAAGATTGGATGAATTTAGGGAGGAACCACAGCTTCTTACTAAAAATCCAAACGTGGTCTCTGTTCCTCCTCCAATGGAGCCTATACCCTCAAAACCGCTTTTTTATGATTTGGCTCTTAACTTTGTTGAAATACCTAATCTCGAAGATAAAATTGAAAATGAAAAACAAAAACAGAAACAAGGAGGTATTTCTGGGTTTGTAAAAGGTTTGTGGGGATGGGGAGGCAGTAATAATAAATAATGGGCTAAAATTTACTTTCTGAGATCAATAAATGTATTTACTGACTGCTCACGATCTGTTGTAATTAGTCTTTACGTATCTGAATTTCTTAATGGTAACAAAAAGAACGTCATGTTAAAATAAAATTGTTCATGTTATTATATAATAGTTTTTTAATACATTTTCAAATAGCTGTACAATGTCCCTTTATTTTTTGCTCGACCCAGGTATATCAACAATTGAGCCGATGTAGTTCTAATGTATTGTAGTATTGTCTCTACTTAATTAAGGTAATTATGCTTGAATTATTTGTTAATGTATATTTTTACTGATAAAAGAGAGAAGTTGTTACGGTTTTTTTAATAACACATTAATAGGAATTTAATTCAGTTCACGTAACTAAGTAGTTCTAATGTACATGCTAGACGTCAACGGTTTAAATGGCTGCCTAATCGCTGTTATACGTGAAAAAAATTTTTTATCTCAAGATACTGGTGCAAATTGAAGAAAGATAATTAGAATTCAGCAGTGAAGTAAGTTTAATAAAAATGCAAATGCGACTTGTCACATTTTTGCCACGTCAATCAAATCTGGCAGGGAAATGCTTCCTCTCAAGGCCGCAATCTGGAGGTGGAGGTTCGAGTGCTCAAAAAGAAGTTGAGGAAAACCCAAAAAGTTTTTTCAACAGAACAGTTGTTTCGTTGGAATTAATACACATTTAAAAGTTATCGGTTGTTGTTTTCCGTTTCTAAAATGCAGTTGTCAACTATTTTAATTTCTATTTTTGTTTATATAAGCCATTCTTATGCCAACCAAAAATTTCTTCAAAAGAAAGTGAGTACATATTGTACTTTCCTAAATAATGGTGTCGTAAATACGATACATACTTTCTCTTTTGATTGCTGTCTGTTTAGGATAATCATGTTCCTAAAGAATTGAGTGATGGACAAGTACAATACTTGGCTGGATTATCTGATATAAAACATATGGACCAAGTTTTAAATAATATTCTAATTCCAAGAGTAGTAGGAACATCGGGACATGATAAGGTACAAAATTACATTGCCAGCCAACTCAGAAAATGGGGCTGGGATGTTGAGATCGACGAATTTCAAGAAAATACTCCTAATTTCGGTAGATTAACTTTTAAAAACATTATAGGCACTTTGAATCCAAAAGCTGAAAGATTTTTAGTTATAGCTTGTCATTATGACAGCAAGTATTTCAGCTCTGAAGATTTTATTGGTAAGGGGTTGTATAAATAACAGATTGTTTTTGAAAATTTAACCATTTTATACCTATTGATTTGTTAGGAGCAACCGATTCAGCAGTGCCTTGTGCAATGATGTTGAATTTAATTAAAGTGATGAAGAACGATTTGGAGCAAATCAAAACTAAAAGGGATCTTAGTTTAAAGTTGATATTTTTTGATGGTGAGGAAGCATTCAAAGAATGGACCAAAACTGATTCTTTGTACGGGGCAAGACATTTGGCCAAAAAAATGGATCAGACAAACTTCTATACTTTGGACAATGAAAATATAAAGAATATTCAAAGAATTGACATTATGGTCCTTTTAGATTTGATTGGGTTTTCAAGGCCTCAATTTTATAGTTTTTTCAAACCAACAGAAAGATGGTGTGTTTACATATTTTTCTATATGTATATTCATCTCTTTATAATGCCTTTCTTTTTAGGTATATAAGACTTGTGGATGCAGAACAGCGTTTAGCACAAATGGGACTTCTGAACATTCCCCAATTAACTTTTAATAGGAGATCTTCAAATTCCTACATTGAAGATGATCATATTCCGTTTTTGTTAAGGCGTAAGTTTGTATCTTTTGTTTGAGTTATTTTGGCTGTTCAGTTAAAAAAACCCAGAAAATCTTAATTTCCTAATACATATCATTGGGAGATCAGTAGGTCTAATTGTGTTTGAAAAAAGTCAAAACCAGAAAATCTCTTTTTACAAATGTGATAGATGAACATAGTAATAATTGTTAATTGGTTGTCATTAAATTGCAGGGGTTCCAATTTTGCATTTAATTTCAACACCATTTCCTACAGAATGGCATACTTCTGCAGATAATAGGAATATTGTGGACTTGCAAGTTACAGAAAACATCAATAAGGTTTTGAGAATTTTTGTCGCCGAGTATCTACATCTGTTAGTAAAAGGCTAAAGTTTTTTGTTATTGTTTTGTCCCTATTTTTTATTTTATTATGCTTTAAGAACTTGTGGTGATGGTGCTCTTTTTAGTTACTTGAATCTCCAGAATATATTGTTTTAGACAATGTATCTTTATTTTAGTTACTTGTTTATTTTGGTTATTTTCTACTAATAAGTCCTTTTTTCTTCTTTAATCTTCAATAAACTAATTATTATATGGTATGAGAAATGTATTAACGATAAATGATCAAGATATTAATGAGAAAATGGTTTTGTATTACTGAAGTCTTTGCAATACATTTTAGTAACAATAATACTGAGAGAGGTGTAACATTAACAAACATGATTAATAACTACTTAATTACCCACTTAACATTAATGAATTTTCAACATAAAGAAACTACACTAGCGATTTATCTCATAATAATTACATAATTGCTTTTTATTATTTGTTTTTATTAAAAAAAAAAAAATAAAAATGTGTACAAAAATTTTAGTTTGGAGGAAGAGCAGTTTGAGGAGAACTTTAAGGCAGAGCTGTGACCTGATCAACTATAACAATTTTAAACATTTTGTAACTAAAGAACGCTTTTAGTGGTGCTTTTATTACATGATGTTTTTTAAGTGACTTCTACAATTTAAATGAGAACTTTGGCGTTTACAAACAGTATCAGTTATTTGATTATTGCAACTTTTTAATTACAGTAGTAACAAAATCACAAATAAGTTTAACTTGTATACAAGAGCAGTACAAACGTACTCGTTTTTCTGGTATATTCTGCATTTAATTGTTATGATAAGTTATTGTATTTTATCTTGTTAATTATGTTGATTAAATTATTTCCCCTATATATATTTTTTTTATTAAAATATCGAAGCTATTAAATAATTGAACAGGTAAAGTGGACATTGTGTTGGTCTTAATAAGTTTAAATTCACTGATACTAGTGCTAAAAAACAGTTAAATACATTGACACAAAATTACCAGCTATTAATAAAAAAAGTAGTTTGTTGTATTGTATTTAGGTATTATTATGTATTATTATTGTTGTTTTGTGAATGTATGGGTAGTATGTTATTATTATTTTCATATCTAGTAGTATTGTATATATGACTGATGAATGAGATGAACGTAGATAACTGTCAATTATGGAAATAATGAATTAAAAAGTAGGTTACAAGGCCATGTTACAAGGTCACTAACGTCAAATAGGAATAATGTATAGTATCTATAGCATGCATGTATAAAAGAATAGTATATGGTTAGTATATTATAGTATTACTATATGTGAATAATGTAAGTGTTTTATTGTTTTAAGGCTTAAATGGGCTCGGTAGGGGTGGTGCGTAAAAAGTTTGAGTGCGCACCAGTTCCTGAATTTTTGCGATTTTTGTTTGTATTGACATTTTACTAGGTCAGTTACCTCTTCTTTTTGTTGTAGAAGCGATCGTGTTTTTATAATTATAAAAATTTCTTTTGCGGTTATTAATTTTTAGGACGAAACTAAACTATAAAAACCGAAAAAGCGAAACGTAACCTCAAAATGTGGTAGACGAAACCGTGAAAGTCGTAATAATAGAAATAGCAATGGAAAATGACCACCGATAACAGAAATTCTGGTGGTGACTCGAAAGGAAAACAGAAAAAATCCATTAGTAAGTTGCTTTTACCCTATAAACCTAACAAAGTTGGGGTTGAACCGAGAGCAAAAGAATCAGTCGCACATTCCACGAATGTATTGAAAGCACACTCTTTCCGAGGGACTGTCCTTGAGAGGCCACTTAGTTTAGAAGTTAATCCCAGCATGAAAGTTAAGGAGGTGGGCTAATTTAATATTTCTAATATTTTAATGTCATTAAAAACCACAAGCTTATGTAGGTAAATGGTTACATAAGGAAGAGCAGTAGTTTTTCTGAAAATGATCTTCATCTGAAGTCACCAGATTCTTATTGTGAAGGGGACATTCTAGAAAAAAGTGCTTCTCATAATAACCTTTTAAAACCAGAGAGCAGTAAATCAAATTCAAGTACTGATAACTTGGCAAGAAAAGCTTTGTTAGCTGCCCACGTGTTACGTTTGATACCAACAGCAACTGCAAGACAAAGGAACTATTTACAAGGGAGAATTGGTGCTCACTCTTTACTAGGTGCTGTAGAGTTGGAGAAAACTTTGCCTGCTCGTCAAGTAACTGTATTTGTTGGAACATGGAACATGAATGGTCAGTGCTCCCCAAGGTAAGCAATTTGTAGTTCTGCATCATTGTTTTATTATTGTAATAAAAAATATGCTTGTTCTTTTTTGTATTTCCTAATATGCTTTTTTTTAGGGAATTAAATGATTTTGTTTTGCCAACTGGACTTGAACATGTACCTGATATTTTAGTATTTGGAACTCAAGAAACAACTCCTGAAAGATTTGAATGGGAAGTTAGTCTTCAAGAGACTTTAGGGCCTTCTCATGTTCTTTATCATTCCACGTCTTTAGGTAACTTTTTCACTTTCATTTTCAACAATAATTACAGTTAATTTATTATTTTTAACACTTACAGGTACAATACATTTGGCCATATTTTTAAGACGTGATTTAATCTGGTACTGTTCATTGTCAGATGATTCTAGCCTGTCAGTCCGGCCGGGTACCGCGTTCCGTACAAAAGGTGCTGTAGCTTCAGCTTTCATTTTGTTTGGCACTTCTTTCCTTTTTGTTACGGCCCATTTAACTGCCCATCAGGAGAAAGTTAAGGAACGAGTATCAGATGTGAAAAAGATCGTTCACTCATTAGATTTACCTCGCATTTTGCCGATTAAAAATAAAAGCAGAGGTACATAGTTTACACAAGTATTTTTATACATACATTTAACAACTTCCTTTCTTAGATGTTACTCAGAATTTCGATTATGTGTTTTGGTTTGGTGATTTGAATTTTCGTTTAGCATCACCAAGAAGTAAAGTATTAGAATGGATATCGAGTACTAGTTTTCCTTTACCATCCCACATGCCTCATGGATATATGCATCACGATCAACTGTGTACGGTTCTGGCTGATGGGGCTGCTTTCCACGGTTTTACAGAAGCAAACATTACTTTCCCCCCCACTTATAAAGTAAACACATTTCAAACAGTAACGCCTAATTAGTATGTTTTAAAAAAAACTACCTTCTAATATTGTAAAGTTTTGTTATTAATGTGCTCTCTGCTTATATTTATTTCGTAGTATGATCCTGGCACACAAAACTTTGATTCTTCGTCGAAACAAAGAACTCCGGCCTATACCGACCGAATACTTTATAAGCAGCGTTCTCAAAGAAGACTGAACAGCGAAAACGATCACACACAAATTGAGTGTGTAGTGTATGATTCTGTTTCTTCTATCAAAACTTCTGATCATAAGCCAGTTTGGGGAGTTTTCAGAGTCAAAATTCGACCTGGGATTGATACGTGCGTATATGAAGAAGACTAATAATCTTTTTTAGTTATAATTTAAATTTTAGTATCCCTTTAGCAGCTGGCCTGTTTAATAGGGATGTATATCTAGAAGGAATACACAGAAGGGCAACAAGTGGGAACGAAAACAAACCGGGATCTGCAGTATGTTCGGTTCAATAGATATAATAGATATAGGGATCTAGTTTTATAAACCATTTAAATTAACTAGGTATTCTTTGTTAAGCGCCTAACGGATACAAAGCCTTTTCTCACGCATATCTCTGACCGAATTAAGAGTAAATTTAGATAAATATTCCGTCTCTTAAGTTTTAACATTATTGAAAATTTGTTTTAGGTATATTTTTCTTTTCTAAGAAACGTTTCTAGTCTACACGATTCTAGTCAACGATTTCTAACGATTATCTTTAGATAAGATTCAAGTTTGAAAATTTTATTTATTATTTTACATATTGTTTCTTATTTATAGTTTATTTATCTAGAAGAGACCGCTGAGTACGTGTAATATACAATGCAGATAGAAACGTATATAATGAAAGACTGATACGATTTATTTTGTGCATATTATATTTATTTGTTTTTTTTTTCGAATATAAAGAACGTTTCAATTTACCTAAATACCAAAGACCAAAGTTACGTTATTTAAAAAGATTAATTATTGTTTGGCTGTTTTGAGATTTACTTACATGCTTTAATGGAGTTTAAAATCTACCTATTGTATATTTCTGCCTTTAGAAGTGCCTATTATCTATTTATTATTCACCCTAATTTAAAAAAAAATGGATAACAGGACTATTGAAATACTAATCTAATAATAGTGTATAAATAAATTTTGTTTTATAGCGTTCTATTTTTTTAAAAGCCGAAATATGTTTGCAAATTGTTTTCTACAGAATTTGCACTATTGGTAGTTAAATAACAAATACAATATTTGTTGAAATGGAGAAACGTGCCGTTGCAGTTTCTCTTCAGAAGAACATGTCGTTATGTTTCGTCGTCATTACTTTAGTTAGTTTTAATTGTAAATAAATCATGAAAATAATCCTAAAAGAAAACTTCCATTATGTCTTTCGAATGCAATATTTCCTATTTGGTTTCTAACCTGAATTAATAAATACTTATGTATTTTTATTGGATTGTTTTAATTTAGTTTTTGTACATTAATTAAAGTCGACTTCTAACATAATTGCGGAAGTTCTTCAAAACCTGACATGTTAATTTTTATATATACATATGTATACCATACTATGGAGGTAAATACATTTTGAAAGAGATTTATTTCATGTATCAGATAAATTTATATATAGAGGTATATATAACAATGAAGTATAATTAGAAATGATTGCAAAAGCTGCCTTATACTGTTTAAACCTCGGATGAAATTCTTCTATGATCTCAACGGCTGCGGAAGTTCGCCAGCTATCTCATGTCTCTGAAACAGAAATCTGAGATCGTTTCTCAATTGCTTATTTTCTTCAAGTAGAATAAACTTGTCGTTTTTGAGACGGATACATTCTATTTCAACTTTGTTGTAAATAGTCCAAAAGTTTTCCATTCCTTCAAGTGACTTAAATTCATCCAAAATTTTAATTATCGACGGACTCGTTTCACGAAATTCCTTTCTATTGTTTGATTCAGTAGGTTTACGATTCATGATAGATGCCGGAGCAGAACTTGATTTTTTTGGATGTACTGCTTTTGGTCTGTCCGGGGTTGGGTGAGTGCTTGATTTGCTACGTTTAAGGGCTGATTTCGAGTAGGAAAAAGTTCGAATAGTATCAGAATAAGATTGCACAGAAAGTAATAAATCTTGTTTAATAATTGCTTTGTCTGTTTCATTAATAAGAACAAGATTGGGTGAAGGTGATTGTGATGTAGATGACAAGCAATTCGATCTTGTGGGCGAAGCCAAGGTATTTAATTCATTGATGAGTTCATCTAAATTACTTTCAGCCTTCTGGGAAGGAGAATGAAGCAAATTAATTCTTCGAAAATAACTGTTGTTTTCGTTAAAGCCTTTTCGTTCCATTTCGATTTCGCTATCTTCATACAGATCATTTTTATTAATGTAACCGTCTCCTTTTTTATCAAAATGATCTTTCGTTTCTTCTTGTTGAAATAAATAATGCCAACGTGATATTTTGTCTGATTGCGTTTCAAGACTTTCACAAGTTTGCGCTAGTTGTAAAATTTGTTGTCCTTTGGAAGCTATGCTCTCTAAAATCTTTATTGCTTTATAAGAACACTCGATTAATGTAATGCGTCGCTTTTCGTCCAGTTTTGTGTCCAAAAGCATCCTTTTTCTCATGACGAATAGACAATCTTTAAAAAAGTTTAATTGATGTTGATCTACTTGCAATTGTTTTTGTCGGGCTTCGTTTAATTCCGAATAGCGTTTTTTTGTTCGCTCCAGGAAATCCTAAACCATGCTTATTAGCGCTTTCCCGAATTTAATTTTTATTATGCACTTACTTTTTTCTTTTGGATACACTCAAATTGATTCCTAATGATAGTTGCGCTTTCTCGATCAAACTTAAGAAGACCTTGGTAATGAACTCTTTTTACAACAGTTTCTTTAAAACTCATTTTACTTATATTCGACAATTGCTTCACCATGGAACAACACATCGATTTCAGTTTCTTTTCCATTTCCTCCTGTTCTATGTGATACTAAAAAATGCAAATAAAACTTGTTTCTTTGTTTTATGTATTTAGTTGCAATTTTAAATAGAAACAGTTAACACATGTAGGTATATTAATCGAACTATCACTATAAGTTCTTCAGCCCGAAGACTGGTTGGACACGTAACTCCACTTGTTCCAATTTTCAGTCAAACTTCGCATTTAACCCTCTTAATTTCATTTCTGCTTCTAATTTGTCTCTAACTAGCCCTTCCTGACTGAGAAAGTGTCCCCTACCGACCTATTTCGCATATTTCTTATCGATTCTCCTACTCTTTCTAGTATCTCCTCATTTCTAACTTTTTTAAATTAACACATCTCGACCACAAAGATAATTTGATTTGAAGTAGCGCTTGTTCACTCAAGTTTAATGCAATTATTCCTAAAATACATCGCCATTTCCCTTTTGTAAATTAATCATTGTTTAGCCTTCGTTTAAAAGGTAAATCTAGGTAATAACAATTTTTCCGTAGTGGCGATGATTGTTTTTAATCAATCAACTGAGTCGAGCAAGGAAATCATTCAGTCGTATCAACCAAAACGGTTAAATATGCTACAGAATTTAAAACAAGTAGACCTCTGTTTTGTGCTTAATTAACCACGCTTCCTATGAAATAATATAAAAAGTAAAAGCGTCATAAATGAAGGCAAAAAGTGTTATTCTGATTCCAGAGTTGTAAATTACTCTCCAATTCTCAGCTTTTACAATGCTACCATTTGCGTTATTCATTTTTGTAATACAACTTTTTTATGGAATTCAGGTACTAATTATTATGATAGTTAATTGTTTTTTTTTTTTAATAATGCCGTTATTAAATGCGTGTTGAAAAGCGATTCTGTTAATTTAGGCATTGGAATGCGAGTTTTCAGTGGCGCGTGGCCATTTCGATGAAGTTCAACGACTGCTGCAAAATTGTATAGAAATAAAAGATTTTGATACTTTACGTTTACGAAATAAAAATTTCTTAACTCTAGAATTTGTTACAAGAACTGACCGACCCTACGCAAGAAATAATTTTTCATTGTCTTTAAAATTGCAATCTGACGAAGCTGATGATGCCAATCCTCAATGTAAGCATTATTGTCCTCTGAATTAGATTTCTTAAAATACTAATAGTTTTCCGCTTACTACAGCGGCAAGAATCGCTCAAATACGACAAAGAAAAGCGATAATAACTGAAAATCACAATCACGATGCTAGGACTTTAGCTTCAGGTAGGGGTGAAGAAATTGGTCATCAAAATATACCTATGAATAGGAACGAATCGTTTCGAATACAAACTCCCATAATAACCATCCAACTACCCAACAGTAACGATTCAATAGGTCCCGATTACTCTTCAGATCAAGATGAAGATCAAGATCAAACTAAAGCAACAGACGAAGCAGAACAATCGCAAGAGACCAATGCTTCAGTTAACCATTGCATAATACGTTGTCTTTTGGAACAAATGAATGTGGTATTAATTAAGTATAATTTTATATTTTTTTATTTTTGATTGATATTTTACTTAAGTGTTGTTTAACGTGAGTTAATTTAAGATAAATAAAACTGGTTTTCCTGATCGCCAAAAACTTGCTAAAGAACTGCTAAAAAATGTAATTGGAAGAGATGCCGAAGAATTCTTTCAAGATTCAATAAACGATTGCTATCGACAAATGGATGGTAAGTAGTAAATAGTAAATATAAATATTAAGAAAAAAACGTTAGGAAGTAACTCCAACCTATAACGGCCTTTAGACCCGAATTAGGACAACATCAGTTCGTAAGTACTCGTTTTAACTTTTTTTATGTTTTTTAGGTAGATATTTGGACAAGTGCGAATTTTCTACAGAATTGATATTGTGTTTGATCAATAAAGGTAAAGCAAATTGTAACGATTGGCCAGTTGGAATTTTCCCATATCATTCCTGAATTCGAAGAATAACTGTGTGTAACTTTAGAAATATACCTATCTCATACTTAATTCAAAAGTAAATGCTACTCTGTAGTCAGTGTACATAAAAAATAAAATAAAATACCAATTTATAAGATGTACACTTATCTTTAACTATAAAACTCTTACTTATAATTTCAATAAATAACAAAAAATATCTCGTTACCACTCGGGTAGTCTACCTATAAGTAGGCATACATACGTTGGCGACGATACTGGTTAAATTTTTCACGTGTTTCTCCGTATTTTCTTTCATATTTCTTTCCAGTTTTTCATCATTTCCATAAATAATACATTTTAAAAACTTCCTACTTTCAAGAAATTTTTCCATCACGTTTCTATTTTCATTTAAAAGGGTTTCTATCAATTCTTCTCTGTCTTTTTCATACTGGCTGTGCATTTTTTTCATATATTCATTGTGTTGGTCTTGAAAATAAATTTAAATATTTCTTATTCTTATCTTTATATAATATTTGCCCAATCGATATGGATAGAGATAGGAAACTGCTATTATTTTGCGACTTACGATTAATTTTGAAGTTAAATCGCGTAAAATGTTACAAGAATAAAAAAATATATACACACCAATCAATTTGTTTATACGAATTGCGTGAGTTTGAAAGCTGTTTTGCAATTGAGTTTCGGCCTCCTTCAATTCGTCGATCAAATTGTTAATAGTTTTTTCCTTTAGTATGTACACTCTTCCTATCCATTTCTTCAAATGCTGCACGGATTTAAATTTTAACTAAATTAGGTACCTTACAATACGAAGACAAATACGTACTCCTACTTCCTCCTTCATATGTTTACATTTTTGCATTCGCAATAATTGATGCCAATGTTGATTTATTTTGGCCAAATTTAATCTGCCATATCCTTCTTCTCTTTTCAATTTATTCTATTGTGAGGATTATAATGAATCTATTTTATTCTGTAAACATATTCAAACAAATAACGTATACAATAAAGTAAGTACCTTTACAAATGTTGCTATAAGTTGTTCTCTTCTTCGTTTAATTTCCTCCTCAGCGTCCGCTTTTTTTTGAATGTATTTGGCTCGTTCTTCGTCGCTCATTTTAGCCAATTTATTGGCAATACTTTTCTTACTTTTACGACCCATATTGTTTATTTATGATTTTTATTATGACGTACTTATAATTTATTTATGAAGAAAATGCAGCTACACTAAGTATGTTCGTATGTGCAGAACGTCGAGAATCGATAGTGTTTCTAAAACTAAGGCAACATGGTAATAAAAAAACAAATAAATAAAGTAATTTAATGAATATTGTCGAAACAAATGTAAAATAACAAAAAAAGAATAAAATATAATATAAATTGACAAAAATAATAATTTTAATAATAAAATTGCAGGTTTTTGCGTAATAATATTCTAAAATTTGGTGTAACAAAGCAGACTGTCCAATCGAATTGATTAACTTAGATATGAGTGCTTCCATGAAAATAGGGCAACTCTATCTCCACAGGAAGTTTTCACTGCATTAAATTAAATTAATTTTACTTTTCAGTTAGTAGGTAACAGCTTAATATGTGTTTTATTAATTGCCCTCAAAATGTTTGAAATAATTTAGAATTATACTTTAGAAAACTTTTTTAACTACCTCAAATATCAGGCCCTAGCCGTGTTCACCTAACAAAATTTTGTATTCAGACATTAATATCTGAAAAAACATTCCTTTTATATACTATTATTTTATTCAAGACAGTTAAAAAATGACTATTTGCCTAATAACATCAATAAAATCACAATATTTTGAAAAAACATTACATTTATGTAAGTTAAATTTGTGTCCGCGAGTTTAATCATCAGGTCTTTGCCGCTTAGGAATTAGAAATTACGCGGCTTTTATAGTATAGACATGAAGTTATCTGCAAATGCCGTTCGCCTTGCGTGTTGCGTCGGCCATTTTTGTAATTCAGTGCAACCGCGGCGTGGGATGTGCGTGCACGTCTTGTTCCAGTGACTTTTTTGTCAGTTCCTCGGTAAGCAATTTTTATATTAAATAATGGACAATTGTCAACTATTTAGTATTGTTTTGTAAGCCCTGCTCATTAAATGACGTTAGGTATTGTGGTATATATGTTAAGACAAAATATAGCGTGAAACATCAAGACATTTTTTGCTGACATTGCATTTACAGCTTACAGTTTATAAAAGCCATTCATAGAGCAGAATAGTCATTCTAACTTAAAACTAGACCTAGTGTTGTTCTGTACTTTGTAGTAATAAACTCTTCTAAAGAGTCTGTGTTCCAATTTTGGAATATAACATATACTTATAACCGAAAAGACTATACCTAGGTTTTCGTCTGAATCGTCAGTCCTTAACTCGTCAGTCCCTCGCTTGATTGATTGATTGAGATTGGTTATTTTATAGAAAAGGAGCCTTTTCTTTGTTAATTATTTGATTTTTTACCTTACCTTAAAGAATTTTAGCAAAGCTACACTTGATTGTATTGTAAGGTAACATTTTTTAATTTAATTAATAATGATGATGAGGATAATAAGGATAACATGGATAGAAAAGATTAGAAATGAAGAGGTATTAGAAGAGAGGATTCTATGGAAGTCAATAAGAAATAGGTGAGATAGGTTGGTAGGACACCTTCTCAGGCATGAAGGTCTAGTCAAAGACATATTAGGGGCAGAAACAGGAGTTTGGAGGGGTACAGGTAGACCTAGATTAGATTACTGTTCGCAAATAGTTAAGGATGTGGGTTATTCTAGCTTAGGATAGGAAAGAGTTGAGGTACGTGTCCAACCAGTCGTGGGACTGACGACCTCATGATGATAAATAATTGAATATAGTCTAAAATACGTTCCTGATAAAAGTGACGCTATGCCTGTGTATGAGTCTTATTTTATTACATTAATTGTCTTAAAAAATCTTAAATTACAGTATATCAGAATAATTTTCATCAATCTATAGCTATATGTGTCGGTCCCTAGACGTCTAAATTTACAAAATCCTGAATTCCTCTTAAAATACTAAACAAAGTGACTGGCCCTTTTGAACATTAATTATATATGCAAAAAATAGTAAAGACTAATCACATCATAGAGTTGCCCTATTTTCGTGGAAGCACCCATATGTAGGTTTAGTTGGTGTTAATTGGCTGGATGATTGTGATTGCCTATTGGCTACGATAACTAGTCTATTTCTGAACAAATTTAGATGGGGTTTTCGTCAAAATTTGGGAAATTGTTTAACGCTGATAGCGTGAAGCTGTTGTTGCAAAATTAAAAAAAAAGCTAGTTTCAAAATATTTATTGCTGTAATTATTATAAAACATAGTGTAAGTATATAGGTATAGTTACATACTTTATCACTTTTAAAACTAACAATTAAAACAAATATAGTAACTTATATTAAAAAAATGTTAACAACCCAAACGTAAACCTAATTAGTAACTTAGACATCAATTTGCGTTTCTCCATAAATCGTTCACGAAGGGCACCTTTTTCATGGAAGCATATAATATAGGTAGTGTAAATGAATATAATAAAAAATAAGTTGACAATGCAAATACATATCTTCTACATTAAATTTGCTTTCAAGCGCTAAAATACGTTACATGTGCTTATAATTATGAAAGCGTTATTGATTCATCATCATTTTTAAGGATTAGGTGATAAGAGAGTGCGCACGTGTGACATCATAAAAAAAAGAATTACCAAAACAAATTTTGATTAGGAAATGTCTGTTTTAAAATAAATATTGCAACACTTATTATGCATATAACATGCAACAGATAAACATAGGTACTTTATAAATTTTGAAGGTTTAGAGGAGACATGGTGAGTTAATTATTGATTGTGCTTATACTTAGGTACATTGTGAAGAAATATAGTGTTTTTATTGTAAAGTGCAGAGCTGATAAGGGTGAAAAAGGTTTTTCGTTTATTGTAAAGCATGTGGTGTGACGTTTTGCTTCAGACGAGTCGTTTTCACGAGGTTACAAATGTGATATTTGCCAACATGAACGTATTTAGTAACTTATTATATCTACATTTACTAGCGTACCCTGATTTTTTTGGCTCTGTTTTCTTCATAACTTAAAAAACAGAGTAAGTGTGTAATAAGTTCCTCAGTGTGATCATGTTGCTAATTATCACACTTGTAAGTAGTCGTTCATCTGGGACGAAGCATCAGTGTGGCTTTACCCTTATCGGCTCTGATTTTTGCGTATTACAACTAAAGGAGAAGAAATAGTACTGATATAGTATAATTGTAGGGGAGACTGTTTAATTAATCTTCATCTTTAAATCGTCTGTATATGGCTTGCACATAAGTAAATACACATTTCCAGTCCGGTTTTGACATCATCACCATGTCTTCTACGTCCAATAAAGGATATACATCTGCTTTTTCCCTAAAGGAAAAACAATACTCGTTTTTAGATATTATATTGTAAATGAAAAAATTATCGGATACTTACTCTGCTACAGTGAAGGCGAGGGTGAAATTGTGTCGACGATTTTTCGGTGTTAGTTTACTATAATCGAAAGCGTCTGGTAAAAAGTGATGAATCAATGCACAAAATGCCAACCCATCAGCCCAGCTGCTTGAGAAGTTATCTATCGATATGTTCTACAACATAAATATCATCCCGTTGCCATATTTCCCATTAAAACAACTTTAGATTTGATAAAAACAAAAGTTGTCGAGGTGTAAACCACCCTGATTTGCGAGATTGTTGATGTTTCGGCCAAAAGGCCAAAAAGTCCCACAAACATGAAAAATCGCTTTAATGCAAATGTGTGCTTTGAGATAGGCCGTCTGAGATTATCGCAGAAATTAATAGAGGGGCCGTTTTAGAGTAGCGATTCAATGGGACGTCCAAGTTGACTATTCATTGATTTGACTAACTGATTGATTCTTGACCGATTTCTATGATTGAGGAGTCGATTTCTGTAGACCTGTAGACTTTATAATGCTTTGTAAGAATATTAACGATTTTTTACAATAGCACTTGAAGAAGTTGTGATTAAAATGTTATGTTGGAATTCAGTATGCTCGAATTAGTGGGAATTGAGTCTTATTATACGATTATAATTAAACAAAAAGTTTGGCCAACTTTGAGGCTGAGTAACTAGCCATGGAATCAAACAACGTCCCGACTCAGGGACAACTTCTCAATTTACTTCTGCAATAATTTCAAATGATCCATCTCGAAGAACAAATTTACATTAAAGTGATTTTTCTTTTTAAAACCCGAAAACTTTCGTTTCCAACTAGATAAGCCGTGACAGCCTGAAAAATTGCTAAAGATTTGTTATACATAATTACGCAAATGGCGAGTTATGTTTGCGAAACTAAAGACAAAATGCTGTATTGTTCTTTTTGTTTAACAATAATTTTACAGATTAAGTAGACGAAACGTTGTTACGAATTTTTAATGGCGAGGGCGATGGAAGAAAAAAAGAAAAAAAAAGTAAGCGACAACTTCAGCCAAAAGCGCACTCTGTGGGTACAGCTTTCAAATTACTGACTAATTAGTTTGTTATTAAACAAGCTGTGAGGTGTCACGGGACACCCGATAGGAACGAAGTTTCTTACGCGATTCGACAAAAGTTTTGGTCAAAACATTCTGTAAAAAAAAACAGTGACAAACATTTAATTTAATTTTTGTGCCAAATGAATCATTGTTGCTTAAAGATTATTTGCACTTTGAAAATTTAAATTTTAAATAACTAATGAAAAGAAAAGGCCTTTTTTTGCGTCAAATGAATTTGTCTTTGTTTAAATATTCTTTTTTACCATAAGAATCTCCATAAGGAAATTTCCGTTAAAAACTAGGGAACAAAAATTATTTGGTAACGCTGATTTTTGCCGGTTGCCCCCTTGTCACCGTAACGCGCAATAAGGAACTTCGTTCCAAAAATAAAATATGAAACTGCTTAAATTTTAATTTACCTCTGTATAGGTAAATAATTTGATCGAAGAATGCTTAATTCAACAAATGTGTTAAAAACCGCGATAATCCATATTATGGCGGATACATACACGTATGTACCTAAGTACACGTATGTACAGTTTATTGTAAGAAACAAATTACTTCAGCGGTTAAGAAAAACAACATCCATCGGTTATTATTGGCGTCTCGAATGTTATTACTTTTTTATACCTCGTACTCCTTTGTCTTCATTTGAACCCATTGCAAAAGACGTGCCGTGATGGTACTCGCTTTCTTGTTTACGTCTGGGTCAGTAAATTTAAAAAGGGGGCGTGAGCCCGTGGGAGTGTTTGGTGTGCTGGGAATCCGGGAGATACATAATACTAATTATTTAATTAAACGTAATCGAGAGACATTTTCCAAAGTTTCACTCTTTTACCTAATGTAGGTTTAATAGTCTATCAAGTAAGTGAACAAGTAATTATTTGTTTTTTTGTGTGAATGAAATCTATTTCAGTTTGAATTTGATTATATAAAAATAATGCCTGTATTATATGTCAATGTAGAAGGGGATTTTTAGAATTTCCGTTTTTTCTTGATCTCTTGTTATAATTTCTGATAAAGGAAAAAATAAGATCTATACACTACAGCAAGAGCCGTTTATAACGGACTCCGTTTGTAGCGATAGCCGTCGTTACAACCACACTTTACTGTATTTCATGTTTGACGCCTTCCACATAGATAATATTGTATTTACCTAGGAGATGAACCGCTGCTTTGCTTGTCGAGTTGGCGGAATTTGGCAAACGGAGAGACAGGTGTTTTGGTAGGAAGCGTTCGAGATTTCGTTGCTACGATAAAAATAAATTTCAATATCTATTTTCTTATTAAACTGCATACATATGTGTAATTGATATTAAAACAAAAGGAATATATTGAGTACCTGATGCAATTATTGGTTCTTTAGCAACTTCTTGATCGTTTTCAACATTTCCCTTTTCGTTTTTTTCTGATTTTTTCTCATCGATTTCAGAAACGGTTTTCTTTTCATTCGACGAATCTTTTTCAGATTCATTTTCGAACTCGACTTTGCTGTCCACCGCAAGTTTCTTTTCCTTTTCTAGAAAAATATCAAAAACGACTACTACTAACTAAGATCGGTTGTTTAAAACAATACACATTAATTTGTATATGGTTTCACCCCTTTTACGTACCTTCGTTTTCTTTATTTATCTCTTGTTCAGGGTCTTCTGTTTTTCTCTCTGAAATAAAAATTAAACGATAGAAAATTATTTACCGTATTATTTTTACATAAACGTGCTGTTAATTTTACTTCAAACCTCACCGATTCTTATTCGTAAAAGGTACGGCTGCCACTCACAAGGAATATTTAATTTTTACTGTTCATTTTTTAAATAGTACCTACTTATTTTGATCTGGCAAGGTTTGTTTTACGTATTTAGTTACGAAATGTAGAAATTCATGCATTTTTATGCACAAGTTAGATAAATCACACAAGAAAATGATTAAAATCATGCACAACATCACAGCTAAGTAAATTGTGATAGGAAATTAGTTTGATAGATACGCAATATTATTTAATGAAAATAGACTCATATAAAATTTTGTTTCCAAAAAATGATTACCTTCTAACAAAAACCTTTCTTTATCTCTCATGAACAATAAGCAACAGATACAATATGTACTATAAAATTATTGTGAAACTGCGTTACGTCGTCGATCTGAAAGAAAAACGACACAACAGCAGACGGATTTCGCCCATAATATACAATTGTTTTGTATTTTCCAAGCACCTACAGTATAGTACAAGTGAGTTTAATGTGTTGTTGTGCCGTTACTTTTTCGATTGGTTCGTGTAATAAAATAATACTATGTAGGTATATGTTTCTCGAAGTAAACGCGATTTCTCAATAATTGTTCAGTGTATATAATTTCAGTAAAATGTGGTGCCACATACTTAAGAAAACTACAATGAAATATAATAAGATATTTTTACGACAACATACTAGAAAATAAAATAGAAATAGTTCTCTGCTTGTGTGAGGCGAATTACTTTTACGCTACGTACGGAGAATTCTTCCTTTAGAAAATCGAACATTTAGTATAAATGTGTACCCACATAAACAATGTAAGCATACTATTATAATTATAAACGCATATAGAAAAAAAAATAAAAATATTTGTTATGATGATACTGATATGGACAATAAATGCAAGCTGAATTAGTGGGTGCGCACACCAAACCACAGTGCATTTGCCTTCTCACCGTGTTTCTGTATTTCTTTCTTCCTTTGCATTTATACAGTGAAGTGTAGGGGTAGTTTTGATTCCTAACAACAAGAAGTCGTTCCATTAGTTGTGGTGGTGCGGGAGTTGTGGTGTGCGCACACCACAATCCGTCCACAATAATAAAAAGGGCCGCAGATTCCACTTTCCACAGAAAGCGACATTCGTTGCCTAATTTATTCTAACGCTAAATACTCCTTTATCAATCAGTAAATACAAACTATTATACTTTTCTACATCATAAGCTTCACAATACCGTTATCACATTTAAAAACTGTTAAAACATTATCTAGTTGAGACTTAGGCGTATAGTGGAATGCTCTTTTGTTTAGTTCTTTATCGTTTTACGATAAAAAGTTCCTAATTATTTAAGATGTTGACCTAAAGAGGTCTTCGAATGCCTCATCAATATTGTTCTCGTCCAAAAGTCGTGGACATACAATATTAGGCAGAGTCCTGCTTCTAACAACACCGGTCAATGATTGACTTTGGCAAGAAACCTTTTCAGAAGTTTTCTTCCGGTTTATTGTAGTTTTTGGCGCTGACGGTGAACTAAGACATTCTCTCTTATCTAATCCATCGTCTGAAGAGGATCTGGACAAACTTTGGGGAGATTTAGTGCCTGTGAAATATGCTTCGATGGTTCTCTTTTTATGCACCAATTCGTCTTTTGTCATGCCGGCTTGAAATTGTAAATTCGGAACTGCAAGTGTGTTACTGGACCTGGATTTTAGTATACTTTTTACAACTGGTCTCCCTTGACTTTGGTTCTCCTGTACGATCTTTTGCCATGCTTCCATTTTTGAAATGGTACTTTTTTTGTCCCTTTCTTCTAACTTGTCTACACCAACCGGACAATCGTTAACCAAGAAGTTGGGGATCGTTTTTTGACAAGTATTACTTTGCTTGATATCGACGGGAGAAATTTTTAAGCTCGATGCTCTTTGCACTTGTGGATCGTTGTAACTTTTTTGTTTGTCCAAGTTGACAACGGATTTCATTCGAATACCTTCTTCCACCATTTTCCTGCCCGTGAGTTGATCAATCGAACTTTCTCTAGATTTGTTTATATGTTTTCTAGTAACTGCTGCTTTTCGTTCTGGAACAGTTTCACGTGTTGTTGCGTTCGATTTAGGACGGCACGACTGGTGTTGTTCTAAGCATTTTTGTTCATTGTCTTTAAGCTGCTGAGGAGACTTTTGAGACTGTACCCTTGAAGGAATTCGTTCGGTGGTGTTTTCTGATTGTTTAGTTTTGCCTGTTTCGTTTTGCTTATATTTGCTCAAAGACATTTTGATATTGAGCGCCGTGTCCAAATCATGTCCATCTCGAGTTTTTGGTCCGTTACGAACGGTAACAGCTTGATGGCTTATAGGCCCTTTCATCACTTTCGTTTCTGCTGCTTGATATTCTTTTATACTTTCGGTTGACACCTGTTTATGGTATTTTGGTTTCGTGGCGGCGTCTTTTGACAACTGTTTGTCATAATTTGGTTTAGAATGCATTATGGTTTGTGAGGATGTGAGAGATTCGTATTGTGAATTTGATTTATGCTCGTGAGGATGGAGTTTTTGGTCGGCAAATTCTAACGGACTTTGCGCAGTTTTAGGTTTTAACGCGACCTCTTGAAAAGACGTATATTGAGGGTGTACTGTAGACTCGTTCTTATTTGTTTGAACGGGATGAAATCCGTTGTTAGCGTTGTAAGGTACATAAGCGGCTTGGATTTTAGGGAGGAAATTCTGTTGTAAATTTGAAACGTTTCCTTTAGTCCGCTGAACGAGTGGTTGGGTGCACGTCAGTGGTCTATTAAAATCATGATAAACTGGTTGAAAATGATGTGGTTGTTGAGAATGGGATGGGAACTTGGTTTCAGTTTTTGTTAATGTATAATGAAGCTGGTTATTGTTGTCGTTGATAAGTTTAGTGGCCATGTTGTCAAACTGGTCACTTAGTTTTCTGACAGCATTCATTTTTTCGCCACTTTTAGATAAATATTGAGTTTCAGATGTTTCCGGCCGATGTGATATTTGTTTCTGAAAAGTTGCTGGTATCGTGACCTTTTCAGATCGAGGTTTCGGTTGAAGATTGACCCTGTTATGTTGCTTTTCGAATTTCGACGTTGCTAATTTCTGGACTCTGTGTTCTCCAAAGTCGTTAGTTTTGGACCACGGTGGTGTGTTTGATATAGGGGGTGCTGTTACGTGTGAATCCGAATAAGATGTCGGAGAGAAGAGTGTTTTGGTTTCTTTGAGTGTCGGAGTTTTAGGGCTGTACAAATACAAGGGTGACGTTGGATCGTCATTTTTTAAGTCAATTTTTACGATGTTTCCGTGTAGATTTAAAGTATTCGGCTTTGACGGTTTCGCAGCAGTTGTATTATGGATTCTCTTCGGAATTGGCATGAAGGCCGAAGTGGGTGCGTGAGAGAATTTATTTATAGGCGCCGGTTTAGGCACTGCTCTGGCGTTATCGGTTAAAATTTGGTTTTGCTCAAAAATTTTAGTGGAAGGTGATGTCGGTTCGTGCGGAGGAGGTTGTACAGGCTGCTTTTCGTTAAGTTTCGATTTCTCTTGGAACATTTTTTGTAAATTTCTTGCACTTTGTCTGCTTATTGTCGGTCCGGAATAAGAAATTTTTCCAGCTGTAAGGCTATCATCTGCTGATTTCCAAAAGGTCCGTGCTTGGGTGTTTGGTGCTGTGGGAGTTGTCGTCGATGCCACTTCGAATGCCTTTTTTAAATTACCGAATTTATTACCCCAATGATTTCGACCAGATGCTTCCGGTGGTCTTTTCGACCATGACGTTGTGGACGTCTGTGCGGTGCCGTTATTAAATTTACTGATAAATGCAATAAACTTGCGATCGTTGTCTGTTTTCGGTTTGAATGTAGGAAGCGATTTGTTAACATTAATCTTCTCGCTTACTTGTACGGGACCTCTCAGGCCTACACTCGTACTACTGGGCTCTCTTGGCGATCGTTCGTATTCGTCGTCGGAATCGTCGTCATCGTAAAATACAAGAGGTTTTGGAATATCGATCGTATTTGCACGTTTCATTTTTGATTTTTTGTTGTTGAATCTGTTATACGATTTTTTATCCATTACGTCATTCCTTTGACTGTAGATCGGAGCGGACTTTAAAACGACTGCAGCTTTAGTTTCGTAAAATTGTTCCTCCAAGAGGGGATGTTTGATTAGTGGAGGAGATTCGTGTGTTTCTGGTTGGGTGTATTCTTCATTTTTGGGAATCTGTTTTTTTAAACACGATGGCGTAGTTGATGCCACTTCTTCTTCCTCTTCTTCCTCCTCCACTTCCTCTGAAGCTGAATCAGATTGTCCTTCATCCATGCTTTCGTTATTCGAGTTTGCATTTTTATCGAACATTGTTTTCCTCGACGCGGATTTTGTCACAGGAGAGAAATCGTTCCGTGTTAAATTAGCGCTCGTAGTGGTCGTTTCGTGATTATTTGATTTGATCGAATTAGAAGGTGTTTTGTTGTTAAAATCTGGCGAGTCAGCACGTTCCGATGGGGTTTGGGCAGTCGAAGATGCACCCGAGTGGTTAATGCTGCCGCCCGAATGACTCAGACTTGTGCTTGACGAACTGTACGGTTTCGCGACCGCATTCTTAATCGACACTTTATTCGATAACAACTTTACCGGATGGTAATCTGCCTTCTTTATGCTTCCTTCCGAACTCTGTTTACTAATGGGCATATTAAATTGCCTGGAGGCGATCTCGCCGGACATGCCTTCTCTGAATGCGATTTCTTCCATCAGTCTCCTAGCATCTTCCAATTCTTCGCTACTTACGCCAACAGTGTGTCTGTTTTGTCTTTGCCTCCTTCTAACGAATCTTGCAGATCCGCTGGAAGCCCTTCTTTCGTTCGACGGCTGTTGTTGTTGGTTGCAATTTTGTGAGCTGAGTCCTGCCTGTAATTTAGTTACTAACTGAAGCAGAGTGTTCCGCTTCTCCGGAGTCATTCCGGTAGATTCGGTTTTTAAACTGGACGACAGTTTGGCTAACGCGCACTGCACTTCATTCAAAAGTCCACCGCGCAAGTCCTCGCCGGATTCCGTTCCGGAGTCCGCCGTCTGTTCCGTTTCCGGAACATTTAGAAGACCTTGAAGAAGAGGAAGGAGAGACTCACCGTGAATCGATACGTTCGACAGTTCTTCCCGTGGTGTTTTCAAGACGTCGCCACGTGCTTGGAAGGGTAAAATTAGACGTGGTTTTTATAAAAAATCAAGTCAGCAATTTATTAGATATATTGAAAGAACTTTCGAAAAATTGAAACGATTAAAAGGTTCGTAATTCTGCGAATAATCGACAGTGTTTTCGAAAATTCCTCATAAATGAAAATTAGTAGGATTTTCAGTTGAAATTAATTTACCTTCTTGTTCTGCCATGACCAATTCTAGTCTTGCTTTAACTGCTCGCTGTTCCTCGAAATGTCTACACTTTTCAAGCTACAAAAGGCATCATTTAATTATTATTAGATATTTTTTATTCATATCTGTTAAACATACCAACAACTGAAGTATATCAACGTCCCAAATATCGTAGAGATCTTTCTCTGAAATTGGATGCCGAAAACTGAGTTCCACACAGATCGTTTTTCCTCCCTGAAACGAATAAACATTTTTTTCCTTTTATGTGAATTGTATAACCAAGTGCGCAACTCATAACAACACAATCCGTACCTAATAGTTATTCTTTTCCGGATTCCTTTCGAAAGTGTGTTTGTAGTTTATTTAGGACTGTTTAAAAATAAAGGCGATTTAATATACCTAGTGTGCTGTCTGTACCCTTTCTATCTAATCGACAACGTTTATATCTGTTATTTATTTCAATTTTGTGTGATTAAGTTATTTTGTTCAAATAGGGCACCTTTAAAAGGTACAAAATGTTTAATGGGTATTATAACAAAAACGTTTGCCAGAAAACGTGAACAAATCGTCTAATAATAGTAAGAGACCACAGTCACCTTTTACTACAGAATCGATGTAATTTCTACGTTCTGGAGAGACAGACATTTGTTTGAATTTCCACTAGGCAGTTAGTATTTTGCGACAGTGGATTTTATTTTAGGATTCCGCTAATTATAGTAACAGACGTAGGAGAGAGACTATTTCGCGGTATCTCGTATACTGTACAGAGTTCGCTTATCTACCTGAACATTACACAAAAATGCGACTTTTTCAATGCAAATGAAACAAAATGTTATTTCTACTCAAATGTCTAATCGAATGGTTATAAAGATTCTTTAAAATAAAATTTAATTGGTATATAAGCAAGTACATCTAAAAAAGTAGAGTGTGGGAGAAGTATGTACGTACACCTATGGGAAGGTACTTATTTATTTTCAAACATTTGAGAATCATCAGGTACGAAAAGACATCGTGGTTAGCAGATAATTATTAATTACAATTTGCATTTTTCTTTTTAATTAAAACACTTGTCGAAAAAACTTACTAGTTGAAATGGTGTTGAGTACGATGGTATGTAAAGCACTATGCCCAAAATTGGACACGCAAACGTGAGGATGTGTTAAGACACTAAAATACATACAACAGTTAACACTTGACGTAAAGTTAGGAGGACTTATCACAGCATTAGCGTTCTTTTTTTTTTTTCGGAGTTTGCAAAAACAATATGCGATAAATATTTGTGCTATATGTTTATAAAGACGCGTTAATTTTTCTTACGAAATCTCGGTGGACGTCCAGTGCACACTGCACTCCGAAACAGCCGAGAAACCATTACATTCGTACGCACCGGCAGCACGCCGACGACATCGAACGTCACGACGCCTAATTTAGAAAACGTTCTGTTCTCTTCATCACTTCTTACATTTGGGAATCAAACTTACGATTGGCTAAGCGTTGACTTTATAAGCAAGTAGTACTTAGCATCATTAATTTTTTTGTTCGTCTGTGTCTTTTGTTGCCTTAATTTTCTTTATGATTACTTTCAAAGATTTATTTAAGATACATATACGATTACTTTACATTTCTAATTTTTATCCAAGTATGCACCTACTTACCTCGTTTATAGTCTTTTTAATCGTAGTTATTGTCGATTCGGAAGATGTTAAAGACGATTCTAAGCCAGTGAGAAGAACTTGACAGCCGAGGAATTTATTAAGCAGGATGCGGGCTTGTGCATCTTCATCTTCGTTGCGGTCAAGGGCATCTAAAAAATGCACATAGATACCTATTTGAAATAAACGACTTTTTATAAAAACTTTTCCAAAACAATTTTCCATTAATGTCGTTTGGCCAAATTGAAATTCGCTTTATTTGTGTACCTATATGAAAAAATGTAAATAATTTAGTGGGTGGCACAGAAAGCCTGTAACGCCGTATCGCGTCCTCTCTTTTGGATTCCTTTGTTATTGTACTAAAATGGGAATGTGTGTGTTAATATTGTATATTTTTCCCACAACTGATTGCTATTTTTATTTTGCCTCTCACTGTTTAACCTTGACGCTATTGGCGCAGTTCACACAATTTTCAACATTACATTATTATTTTTATTTTAATAAAAGAATTGATATTAGATAAAATACCCATTTTTCCGCAAACTAAAAACCTAGAAACATTCTTCAACATTTCCGAAACAGGTTTAGATAGAAAAATGATTTTTCCGATATTGAAGGGATGGAGCTGCGACTTGATAACGCCCACTGCCGCGACCCATCGAGACGTACTTACACATGCTTTTCTGAAACATTCTCAACTGTTCTCGAACATTCTGAAAAATGAAAAAGAGAGACTCGCGGGAGAGTTTCTTTTTTTAATTTAACCACGTACACTATATTTATGTCCGTTGATTTATAAAAAGGAAATACACAAAATCGTATTGTGTACATAAGTGATATCATGTGCACCTATGCATGTATCCGTCTGTATTTCGTACCTACCGTTTTCGGCGTTTTTTATCCTATTAATGATATCGTGAACTCCTGTTACTTTAGTCGTGTTCGATAAAAAAGTGTTAGATGAATTTCCCTCAGCACTTGACTTCCCCTTTTCAGGAAAATCGTCATCGACTAAGCGGGATGTCGTTCTCAGAATCAGGCCTGCCTTTGGATAAGAGTAATTTCTTTCGTTCTTGCATGTTTCGACTAAAATTATTTTCACTTTTAACATTTCCGTAAATTACGAGACTTTTTAAATTTTAATAAGTACTAGGTGCACTCACTTGAGTTATCGATAAACTTTCTAGATATTTCCTTCACCGAACCCTTTCTTGTAAATTTAAATTTTTCAGTTGTCTGTTCTGTATTTTTCGACGGCGTAAATGTTTGAGTTTCTGCTTTGCAAATCAATTCGTGATTCTGTCTGAATCCTTTTGGTTCTGACAAATCGTATTGCTTAGTGGTTGCAACGTCTGTTTCTTTACAATGAGATGACTGTTTTTCTGCAGCATTTGCATTTTTCATTATTATTTTTGTACAATTTTGTTTGTTTTCCGAGTCGTGTCGCTTTACAGTGCTGATCTGAGTACGAATTTTGTTTCTTAAGTCGTAGTCTGTGGTTTGCTCCAACTAATCAAAGAAAAACACATTTGTTAAGTACATATGTAAAAAGAATCTTATCAAGTATGTGTTATAATTTTTAATTTTTTCTTTTACTTATGTGTAATGCGTTATCTTACCAAAGTTTCAAGGAGCTCGATGTCGTACATATCTTCCAGACTTTTATGCATACTCGTTGTTAAAGCATTTTGCTTTTCTCCAGAGGATTCTTTAACAGCGACTGTAAACGTTGAAAAATGGCCCTTGGTTTCAATGGGAGATACTTTCTTTTGTATGTTTAAATTTTTAATTTTTTCTTGCTTCGGTATTGGCATCCAAGTGTCAAATGGCTCTTTTAACTTTTCCAAAGTGTCATCAGTTTTCACAAATGACGATGATAGTTGTTCTTTCGAATAACGTACGTTTCGTTTTTCGCTATGTACATTTGACGATTTTTGTACAAGGCGATCAGTAGAACCATCATTATTATGACGAATAGACGTACTGGTGGCGGCAGGTTTTGTGGAGATTTTTTTCTCGCTTGTCGGTGAAAGGTCTGAAGTAGTTTTCTCGCTAGTTGTCTCCGACGAACGATTTTGTTTGTCGTCCAACGAATCATCACTCATTAAAGTAACCAGTTTTTCCTTCTTAAATAAGCTTGGGTTTTTACTTGTAACACATTGTTCGCGAATTGAACTGCTTTTTTTATTCTCAAAGATTTGTTTAGCCTTTCGTATACTTTCGTTACTTCTTAATCTTCCTGTATCGCTCAACACTCTTTTCGATTCTTCAGAAAGGCAATTCTTTCTTGAAGATTTAGGAGTAACAAAAGACTCGTTAGGATTTGTAATTATTACCTGTTCACGTACAGGCGATTGATCCATTTTAGCGGCAGAAGGAGGGAACGTCTTAGTTGTTGTTGGTCCTGTTTCTGGACCAAGTTCTGTAACATTTACCCTCGGCATTTCGGTTTTTACCGTCGGTGAAATAAGTTTTTGAGTTTCGTAAACAAACTTCTTCACTTTCTCGTTAACTGACAATAAACATTCGTCACTATCATCGTATTTGTTGACGTTTGCTTTGTGGGAAACGTCCTCGGCAACCTCCTGAATTTTGTCTCCGACCATTTCTTCTGATTCATCTATTACAATTTCCGACAAGTTGACCGGTTCTGATCGACATCTGGAATCGTCAGGTTCGTATATTTGATCGGGATATCGAGGTATCCCGTCGTCATCGTCACAAGGAAATGCTGAAGGACGATCTGGAGTCGGTTCACGGGATGATGTAGATCTCTGCAGTTTTATGACGACTTCCTTTTCGTCATCTAAGTCAGCGTTAACTATTGTGGATTTGGTGGTAAAATAGTTTATTCTAGTTTTTTCGTTATCGTTCGTGTAACTTTTCGTTTTGGACCGTTTGTTGGTTGATTCGGACGTTAATTTTCCTCTTGATTTTCCCAAAGGAGGAACTGGCAATATTGCCGTAACTACATGTCTAATTATTCTTTCAGATCGTTTGTCTGGTGAATTGGTGATTGTTTTTTCGTCAGCGGTTGTTGTACATATCGTGGGTTTTGTTTTTACGCCGGAATACGACGGAATAGAAACGATCTTGGTGATCTTTTCAATTTTTTTACGAGGAATGGTTTCGTTTGAATGTTTATTGTCGGCTGATGGTTTTGTAAACGAGTGAACCTTATTTCGGTGTTTAAGAAGCTCCTTAGGAACAACTTCTTTTTTTGAAAATGCATTCGCTGTAGTAGTTACTTTTGTTTTTGGTTTTATTGTGACTTTGAGTTCCTTTTCCATTTTATTTAATTTCAAGTCAGGTCGCTCTTTAGGCATGTCTTTTTTAATATCAATACGATTTATGGATTTGGCAGCTTGCGGTTTTTTCTTCTCTGCAATTTCTGATTCTAGCCCGTTAACGGTTTTACTCCTTGCTGAAGTCTTTTTCATGCCTTTTCTGTCATCTTCTTCTGCTTCGTAGAGAAGACTTATGAACTTTTTGACTGCCTTCGGTTCGATCACTGGTTTCATATTTTTGACGTTCATTCGATCTAAGGATATTGTAATTAATTCATTTTCTTTGTTCGATATGTCGTTGGACTTGGATGTTCCCTTTTCCAACTGCTTTGGATGAGGCGACCCGACAGGTCTATCTTTTTTTATTGTTTTATGTGTAGAGTTATTGTAATGAACAGGTTCACCGTTGATTGGAATTAGTTGTTTTCCCAAGGTTTGTTCTTTTAAATAAGTTGCTTCGGCCGAAGGCTGATTTTTAGGTTCATGAGCAGTTTTCGTTATTATCTTCGATAAATTTTTGATGTCTTTGTTTGTTTCGATATTTATTTTTTCATCATCTGATTTCTTTTCAGATGATTTTCTATTTGGGAATGTAGAGTTCTGCGAGCCCGGCTTAGCATCCAACACTGATAAATTTATAGTTTGATTAAATTTTAGGCTTGATTTTTCACAAAGCCTTTTCTCTGGGGATTGAGATGGAAATTGTTTTATTTGTGGTTTTTCTTGTTTCAGTGAGGACTTTATATTAGATTTTGAAGATGAATTATCGACTAACTCGCACTTTATAGAATGTTTTTTCTCAGGAGATTGCTTTATTTCATACAGATGTTCGTGAATTTCGTTTTTGTTTGTCTTGTGGTCTGGATTTTGACTTGATATTTCGCAATGTTTGGGTTTTTCATTTATCAGTACGGACTTTTTATTGGGTTTTGGAGATGACCTTTCCTTAGATTCTCTCTCAGGAGAATATTCTTTTTCAAGAGATCGCCTTATTTCAGAGAAAAAGGTGAAATTCTTAACAGGTTTTGAAGACGATCGATCATTTAACTTTTTCTCAAGAGAATGTTCCTTTTCAGGGTATCGTCGTGTTTCAGAAGAAAAATCATCACGTTGCGGTTTTCCTTCCTTTAAAGCAGACCTTTTGTCAGGTTTTGGAGGTGACCCATTCCTTAACTCTCTTTCAGGAGAATGTCCTTTTTCAGGAGACCATCGCGTTTGTGTTGAAAATTCTTTAATTTGCGGCTTTTCCTCCTTCATAGAGGATCGTCTGTCATGCTTTGTAGATGATCCATCCCTTGATTTTCTATTAGGAGAATATTCTTTTTCAGGAGATCGGCGTATTTGAGAGGGAAACTCACTGATTTGTGACCGCTCTTGTGGCAAGGTAGACCTGCTGTCCGGTTTTGGAGATGATCTATTCCTTGAATCACTCTCAGGAGAATATTCTTTTTCAGGAGATTTTCGTGTTTGTGAAGGAAACTCCTTAGTTTGTGGGCTTTTCCCTTTCAAACGGTAACTATTTTCATGTTTTAGGAATATCTCAACCCTCTCAGGTGAATATTTTTTTTCAGGAGGTCGTCTTTTTTGACAAGGAATTTCATTACTTTGTGGCTGTTCCTCTAATAAAGGTGCCCGCTGGTCTGGTTTTGGAGATGGCCCATCCTTTAACTCTCCTTCAAGGGAATAATATCCTTTTTCACAAGATCGTCGCATTTGTGGAGGAAATTCCTTAATTTGACCCTGTCCCTCTTCGGAAGGAGAATTTGTTTCAAATTTTGGGAACAACTGAATCCTTGAATCCCTCTCTGGTGAATTTTTTTTTTCGGGAGATCGTCGTACTTGTGAAGAAAATTCTCTAACTTGCGGCTTTCCTTCTTCCAGAGTAGAGCTTCCTTGAGGTTTTGTAGATGACTCCCCTGTTAACCTCGTCTTCGTTGAATATTCTTTTCCAGGAGATCGCCTTACTTGAGGCATATCCTTTAGATAGGATTCCTGATGTGCTTTCTTCAGTTTAATATTCCGCTGGCTGATGTCCTCTTCTTCAGTCTGCTTCAAGTTTATGATAAGATCGGCGGAAAAGTCAAATTCTGAATTAGTCCTTTTATTTTGCGATCCAGATTTGGAATTTTTGATATTGTTCTGTGAAATTCCAAGGATCTCTTTGCATCGCCCTTCGTAAGCATCTTTACGTCTCAAGATTGGCTTTTCCGACGTCGCCGATTTGGAGTCGTTTGTTGAAATCGGGCTAGAATACGAACGCTCTTCGATTTTGCTAATTTTTTTAATATTACCGACAGAAGTTCCTCTTGTGTCGTATCGTTTTTCAAAAGGAGAAGAATCACCTGTAACTGTGCGATCAATTTTAACAAACTCGAAGTCACTGGTGTCAGTAATGGCTGGTGATGCGCTTCGGGATCTAGATTTAACGTCTACGTTTACCATATCGTCTCTTGATGTTTTTCTGGTGTCGGTTAATGCTTTGTGTTGCTGTCTGGAACGTGTTGAAAAACAAGTTGAAGTTCTAGTCGATTTCGCTGGCCGTATTTCTTTCGAATGAGGGGACAATTTTCTTTCAGGACTTGAACTGCTTCTCAATGACGAATTGCTAGATTTTATACTATTACTTTTGTTTTTATTACGATCTGAACTCGACGATCTTAATGTACTGGCAAAATATTGATGAGACGGAGTAGACTCCACACTAACACGACTGCTCATACAATAGTCATTCCTAGTCGTGTCAGAGTGCTTTTCTGCATCATTCTCTCGCTCTGATTTACGATTAATGGATATCTGATGGTCGCCTGTACGAGAAAATGCGTCAGTGACAATCGCGTCTGGAATATTTTGTAGAGAGCCAGGAGCCGCTGCCTTTTCATCTGTGATGAGTTTCGACGACTTGTCAGCAAAAGTGCTCGTCTCTTTGGATTTTGTGGTAGCAGACAAATCGTTACGTATATCACGTGAATTGCTACATTCAGCGGCAGTATCTCTTTGTTGAACTATAGAATCTTGAGTAATTCCAATTTGGGCGTTTCCGCTGCTCTTCTTAATGTTTACGTTGACAGTAATTGCAGCCTTTTCGGCATCAACAGTTTTACTTCTTAACATGTGCTCACTCTCAGTTTGATCTCTTAAATGGGTGTTTTTGCCTTGTGAAGTATTAACCTGTGATGTTTCGATATTGGATGCCTGAAGTATTTCTGCCTGTGGAACAGCTGACTGTTGTAACGTGATATTATCCTCCTTCAATGAACCCCTTTGGCTTGCGACTTGTCCTCGGACTTGATTTGTCTCACTTCTATTAGTAGCAACGTTACTAGTTGATGCTAGAACTCTGGAAACTTCTCTTTCTGTTTTCTCACGTTTGGTTTTAGTGGCCGTTGTTCCGTCGTGGTGGTGGAAAGTTTGGGTAATAACTGCAGTTCCGCCCGGTGTAATACAGGATTCGCTTGTCACATTCTCAACCGGCTTCTTCTGATAATTATTGCTATCTGTTTCGGATGTTTGATTTATATCTCCTCCAATCGAAGTGGTAGCAGAAACAACGGTCGCTGACGACAAGAGTGAGGACGAAGTTTGGTACGATACCGACGAGCCATTTTCGTCGCGCTTGCCGCTTTCTTTGTCTTGAAAGAAAGTATTTCTTACTGTGCCTTTTGTTTCGACGTTGTCGTTTTGATCATTCTTTTCGGAAGAGTATGTTACATCTTCATATTTAGCGGAACAAGTGGAAATTATGTCGTTGTCTTTTACTTTGGTAGCCGACCTCGAGCCACTTTGAACATGTTTAGTTGTCTCGCCATTGTTTGCTATTTCGTGGACTGTTGCGCTAGATTTGTCACTAGTATCAGCTGAAACTAAAGTGTTGAGTTTTGATTATTGTAGAAATGTAGAAATGTGCGTAAAAACATGTGGTAAATACCTAAAAACGATTTAAAGAGATTGTGCGTATCTTTAGTGGGAGAGCTGGAGTCTCGGATTTCTTTGCTTTTTAAACTCATAAAGCTGTGGTCTTTGAGAGCATCGGCATGACTTTGGGTTTCTGACGTTTGCTGTTTCTTTTCGGAAATGTTGTGAGATGTGTGTATGCTGGAATGCGAGCTCTTAATTTCTTCTTCGTAGAAGTTTTTTAATCTTTCTTCGCGCAGTTTATACATTTGAGCGCGGATCTCTTTCTTCATTGCGAAATCGTGAGTATCTTGCCACTTAAAAAAAAAAAAAACATTATGTATATAACGTAAATACAGAAAAGTGAGTGAGTCTCGGAGTTTAATTCATTTTTCGTTCAAATACCATTTTTCGTAAAAGTTCCTCGTCTTTGATCACCTTAAGATCCTTGTTTGCCGTTTCCGTCGTCATTCTCGATTACCTACGTATATTATGTAGTTGCAATTAGTAGTTTAATAACTAAAACAAAAGAAGATACGTAAATACATATATATCTCCTTCAGACGGCGAGTCGGCCTGTTGTTCTGGGTAAATTAATGCCTACAATTTGAAAAATCTAAATTAATAAAACAAAATCCGTCAAGCAGCTATCTGTTGACCAAATTAAAAATAGAACAGGTATGTACTCCTACTTAATGAATATTAATTTCGACCATTTGACTTAATAAAATACGTATTTAGAGGTGATCTTATATTGAATAAACGTTTACTTGTTTATTCCCCGACCTATCTGTCTATTAAAGTAATGTACTTTTCTAATTGCGTCCGACACCTACAAGACTTTACTCCACGAAAGCGAGACAATCTGTTACGTAGGTATATATTGCATTAGGTCATTTTGCACATGCATATGTATATTATACATATAAGTATTGTATACAATAGCAGTAATAAATAATTTATAAATAAATACCTATGTAGGTACCAGTACAACTATCACAAATTAATGTTGTCAAGTAAAGATCTTGAGAAATCTGTTATCAGTCAATAAAAATAAATGTGGTTATTTAGTAGGTACTTTTTTCCATTTGCTTTTTCTTTTATTTTTATTAATTTATTATGCGCTGTATTTTCACTTGAAAATGTGAACAGCAGTAGCGCTTGTTAATTTTCGATGATATTGCAACTGTGAAAAAAATCCGCTTTACCTAGAGGACCAACCAACCAACCAACCGACCGTTATTATTAGGTAGTTTTTAAATTGCTGAATATCGCAAATAAAAGTGTCGCACACTACCCTACATATCCATTTATGGTAATGCTGCTTTATATAGCTAATGGTAAGAAAATCCTTAAGCGGATGACCGTGGCCCAATATGCGATCCGTTACAACATTTTGTAGTCGTATTATTTCAACTTTTCGTAATGCGTCTGCAAACTTGAAGAATGGATATAATAATATGTCTTACGGACATTGGTAAATGGAGAAATAAAAATTGATAATTCTCGTTAATGAATCAGTTAAGTACCAATCGAATTTTATATTAAAGCATAGTAGGTAAATATTGTTTTTATTTGCATTAATGATTAATACACGTATACATGTACATATATTTTAAATTTAATGTAAATAATAGGTTTTTAGAAAAAATCAACATTCTGTGTTCGTATATGACTATAAATAAATAGTAACATGATGTCAACCGGCGCTGATGTCACTATTGTGCACTACATACGTAATTTAACGAAAATATTGAAATGTGAGTTGTTAACACACCGAAACGTTTGCAGGTACCAATCTACCATCAATTTCAATCAAAACTACTCAAAAATCTGCAGGAAATAACAACGACGCTCATATCAAACAGTTTTTTGATTTATACCGCCTTAATAATTTAATAACTTGGAATGCTAGAAATCCCTGTACGTGCCCATTACTTAATTATTATCATGGATATACTTTTTACATAGGCACAAATCTAGAAATTTTGCTATACAAAAAGGTGTCTGTTCTAAAATAAATTTCAGGTACTTATAATTTTTCGTTTACATACCCAACGAAGCGAAGAACACCGGCGATGTTAAACAATGTTTTCGTTCGAGTAGTCGATCACTGTCAGTCACTAAATGCAATATTTCTTTTTATTATTCACTTTTCCTTTTCACTCGTCCATGTACTGAATGGTACTGTCAGTGCGACGATCTGGTCCAGTACCTATTTGATGGTACTTATTGCAAGTTAAAAGGCACATGTGGTGTGGTGTCCGTGGGTGGTCATCACGGTGACCGAGTCGCCACCACTCTTCTTACCTATATTAAGTATTATTCTTTTGCAGAAACAATACTAACAAGCACACAATTTTTCTTACACTTAGTAGATGTTTCATGTTTTCAATACGTATTTAGTGGCACCACCCAATAAATTACAATCTACAAACACGCAGTGATCTATTCGACAGTACGAAACTGCCATCTCCAATTCATAAATTAATTTTAATTGTAATTCCTTGGCCCATAGGTGAAAGTCGTGCTCTCTTAAAATTAAGGAAAAAAAATTGCGCAAGCAGAGCAGCACAAATATATTTTATAATTATTAATTTTTTTTTCAATTTAACACTTTGAGGGGGCATCCTAATCGTCGTTTTGATGTAGAAACAAATTTGAGAAAAAAATTAAAAACTAACTTTTGACCGCCATCTTTAATTTACAGTTTTCCGTAGGGAACCTTTTTCTTGTTTTGGAATCCTCAATTCAGACTTGAATGCACCTGAAACACCCTCCTCCTTTAAGCAACTGTTTTAATATTGCCTTATTATTTTTGTTCCGACTTTGCACGAAAATCAGCAACGTTTCAAATATTTTATATCTCTTCTACGGAAATTATTTACATTGTACTGAAAACGTTAGGTAGACATAAATACCTATTTATCAATAATATATCGTATGTACATACGTATTTGTCGTTTGTCAGTAAGAACAATTAAAGAAACGTTTTGTGTTTTTTATTTCATCTATGTAGTACCTAACGTTGAAGTCTCCGTTGAACCGAACTGAAACGGGAATAAAAAGCACCGGCAACTGTATTGTAACATTCTTTTGATTAATTTACAATCGTTCTTTGGGGTTTTTAAATTAAAAACTGGCAATGATAATTTTTTCGATCACATAATCAGTAATATAAAGACATGTGTTTCAAAACCAATTTAAGTATGTATCTACAGTAGGTAACTTGCATTGGTGACTCACGACTTTTTACAATATTTTCGTAAGCATGTAAGTTGTTATGTACCGACATATATTTTCGTTGCATATGGTAACAAATAACTGTCGTTTCCGAAGAAATACCTCAAAAAAACACAACATTGAAAAACTGCAGACTCACAGAAATAGGAAAATTCCTATTTGCCAGAAATTTATTTTTAATTTATCAAAGGTTTGTGCCGTGAGAGATGATGTTTATATAAATAAATTAGATATATATACGAGTGTATCTGTGTATATCTACCTGTATACGATCTTTGAAACTCCATCGACGACGTGTATGACATCATTTTCCCCAACTTTTGCTTTTGCTTTTGTCGAACGTGAGACAAGGAATGCCTTTTGGGATTGTGCCTACTGAGAGTTTTATTAATAAATTGGCAGTTGCATCCGTTCTTTTTTTATTTTGTTTTATTCTCTCGATCTCGAAAAAGGTGATTAAAAACTAACTTTTGATAACACACAAAATTTGCTTAATTTATTCAAAGAAGAGTGTTCGTGTTAATTACAACAGTAAAGTGCAAAAATAAGGCTTTCCACTTACAATAGATATAAAATTGATAAAGCGTTTACCATTGCTACGGAAATAATGGACGACTAGCATAACAGTTTATTTTTTGTTTTATTTATTAATGAAAAGATCCGACCAGATCGGCCACGTCTCGAACATATTCGGGAAAGTCCCTGGCTAAAAGTGGATGATTAGGCATCAACTGGGCGTCGCACATCACCCCAAGAATTATGTGATCGTCATATTGGTTGAAACACAGGGAGATGGCTGAAACGAATATCAAAACATTGCTTTTTGGCATTTTCAAAAAGTAGTCGAAACAAACCCTAGTAGTCATCTATAATAAATGTGAAGTAAAAACTTTGAAAAGCTTCAACGAATTTTATTCAAGCTCTACGACTATCAGTAGTAGAGTTTAGCTACGGACATCGTGATAAAAGGTTAACGATCCGAAACAATTGTAGAGTTTGAATAAAACTCATTAAAACCAATGCATTTTTTTTATTAGAAAATTAAAAAGTAAATTCTGTGCTTCCGATAAAGACATGAATAAATAACTTCTCGAAACATTGTATGCACATATGTGGAGTATTTAATAAGTTTTGTAAAGTATTTATAAAAACTACAACTCTGTTTGGTTATTTTAACATAAAAGTTTTGAAACAAAACGAAAACACGTCTTTTTTTTTAATATTCGTATTGCATCGAGTCTACTGCAAAATTCACAAACGATTGCGTTTACGACATCAAATCGCCGTGGTCTGCGCAAATAAAAACTAAAAATTGATGGCAACAGCACGTTAAACTGTCGAAAGCGTTATATTTATCGTACGTCAATTTTGTGGGTTCGGAAAAGAACCTTGTCAAGCATTAATGAACCTACAATTAATAGCAAATTTCTATAGACGGCGACGTTTCGTTTTAAATGTAGTTAACATAAGTAGGGGGTAGATAAGTCATAACCAACTCAGTTTCAATACTTTGTAGCTTATTTGCCCGTTGTAGTTAATTTTCTGGGGTTTTTTTTAAAGTAAGTGACTTCGACCTATTGTTTTTAGGATTGATTCGTAATTGCCGTGTCGACGGTTTAAACGCCACCTCTCTCAATAATTTCGCAGTGTTTGGTTGATTAACAATTAATAGATAACGAAAAAAAAAATCGTACTTATATTAGCTTGTGGTGGTCTCCAGTAGATAGCACTTGTCACTTCTTCGCCCCAAATAGTTTTTTGCTTTGTATTCGGATACGAGCTTGTAATTTCCGTTACAGAAATCGTATATCTTCTGGACAAATATTTAAGTAAAATTCTGAGGAACGAGGCCGGCAAGCTGTTCGTTATGAATCCATATTTTGTTTGCAACAAAGTCAGCAAATAGGTGATGGGCTGCTGATTGATTGTTGCAGTCAGATTGTCAGTTATTCGCTTCAAATTTTCGACGAGCGCAATTTCGTCGTTACTCTTTAGCACGGGTAATTGGAAGCACAGCTGTCCATTAAACCAATCTTCAACTTTCATATTGTTTCCGCTGAGAAACATCAAGTTCGAATTGACGTTTCGTGCAGTAATCGGTACTTCTTCGGGATGTTGAAGACCGGCCTGGTTGCAGTATCGTGCTATTGAGGCACTGGCCGTGGCCAGTAAGATTTCCGTCTCGTTTCTGTTCAAAGATTTGGCCACTTGCGTGATATATTCGGTCTTTACTGGCTCCGACCAAGCGACCACTTTCCTCCCGCTCGGCGGAATGATCGGAATCGTCTCGATATCGGACAATAAAAGTTTTAACAGTAGTTTCGGATATTTAACTAAAAGACCGAAATTGTACGCGATCTCTTTCGAAGACTTGTAAAATAAAGGGATGTAACTGTAAAGAAAATTAGTCAACGTGTTGGGATATCCGCAATATTGAAGAGTAATACATGAGTGTATCGCCATCAATTCCCTTTCCGCTAGTCTGGGAAGCACTATAAAAAGAGACAACAGATTTATCCAGAACGAAATAACCCTTACGCATATGTTAAAGGGATTCAATGTCATGATGCACGCTTTGATGAATGTGTAAAAGTTGATTTCGCGTTTTAACGTTTCTCTGTTGAAAACGTTACGGGCGTATTTTAGTTTTGACAAGACATCGTTTTTAACCAAGGGAAAACCTTTTCTGCATTCTTTATATACGGACATTATTGTAACTAGAGTGAGACAAATGAATTCAGATATTCCCTGGTTCCTTTTGAACAGTTCCGGATTTTCGAATGGATCGTGGTTGTAAATAAATTCGTTCCATCTGTTCGTTAAGTCCTCTTGTAGGCGCTCTTTCAACTCCAAGATGTAACGGGGTTTCTTAAAGACGTTTACGAACGCACTTGGAAGTTCGTGAACCCTAATGAGAGAAAAAAAAAAAAAGAAAAGTATGTTTAAACATCTGCTCGAAAAGTAATGGAATAAAACGTTCCAACATTTCTTAAGCAGTTGTATGGATTTTCACCAAGTAAAAGGTCAATAATATCAAATACTTTTGTCATATTTACCCTGCTTGACGAACCGGTGGAATCAACGGCAAAAGATCAGCAATATTTAACCCTTCGCTAAGTAAAACGTGATGAATCCTTAAAAGGATACAATGCTGATTTTCACCGGCGGGTATTACAACGACTTGCCAAGGAGACGTTGAAGACGGTAAATATTTTGATACTACGTCGCTGACGTATTCCTGAAAATGTACCTATACATATGTAGATAACATGTAAGTACCTACCAGTTTTCTCTGATATGTATCAATAATAAGTTATACACGTACAAACATAGGTACGACATATAAAAGTTGTCGGATGTAGGTATATACCTACACCGTTCGCGATTTCGAGTACACAATTTTGACAGATACATAAAGAATTGTCGGTTTCTTATTAGTTACGAAGATACCCACTTGCAAATTTAGTTCAGTCAACGTCCTTCCTCTGAAAGTTGAAGGGGCAATCATTAAATTGTTATTTATTTCGAAATTGGTTCTTTTCCAAGCGTAGTAGCCACACTTAGTTACGAGACAATGTCTCAATCGTGGAAATGCCAATTCGCCTGTCTTCGTGCGTCTGTTGACCACTTCCTGAAACGATAGTTGTGATTATAAGTAATTATATATTAATTACGTCGGTAGTCTCAAAAAATAACTTTTGCATCATCTATATTAATGTTCGGAAAATTTCATGGTATACACCTCACAATGCTCGCGAACGGTTTGGAACGTTTTCCATGAATGGGATCTGTGGTTGTGGCCGTTCTAATTTTATTAAGAAGCTCATTGAATTTGCTTTTAATTTAAAGAAACACCAATGTATATACGCTAGGTTTTCCTTAAAACCACCCACGCGATTGCGACTGAAGGCAGCCCTGGGTTTCCTGTTGATAATATAATATGCACGTTTGGTTGGATTCAGTATTAACGAGAGAGATAATACGGACGTGAGTTGAACCTTGACGAAATTCTTGTAGAAACTAGAGTGGATGGATCAGCTTGCGAGTTTCGATGATTTAGGGAGCCGGACCATAGGTTCAACCATAATGGGGAGTTTTTAAAGGAAAACCAGACTAAGACAAAAAACTTTAAGAATAATAAGGCGCCAGGTGTAGATGGGATACAGGGGGAAATTCTAAAACATGCAGGACAAGAGTTTAGCGATCGTATGTTTAAACTAATTAGTCACATTTACGGGACGGGGGAGAGGCGCGGATAGGTGCGAGACATTTAGAACAATTAGCTTAACTTCCCATGCGTCAAAAATCCTAACTGGAATTGTACAGAGGAGGATGGAAAAAAGGGCGGAAGAGCTATTAGGGGAAGATAAATTTGGATTTAGAGGAACGCGGGAGACCATTCTAGCTTTACGGGAAACAATAGAGAAAACGATAGAAAAAAGAAAGAGTGCGTACAAAGGATTTGTACATTTAGATAAAACATTTGAACAATGTTAAATGGGACAAGATGTTAGATATACTTAAAAAGGTAGGGATGAGCTACAAAGAAAGAAGAGTAATACTTAGTCTGTATAAAGAGCAACAGGCAGTTATAGAACTGGGGCTGCAACGTAAAGAAGTAAATATTTGGAAGATAGTCAGACAGGGATGCACACTGTCAGTGCTACTTTTTAATTTATACATCGAAGAAGCGATCAACATTATTAAAGACAGTAGACAACTGTACGGATAGATATACAAGGGTAAAAGATTAGTATGCTTAGATTTGAAGATGATATAGCAGTATTACCATCTAGCAAGGAGGAGTTAGAGATAGATTTAAATAAAATGGAAGCGGTGTTGACAAAACAGTACCTACTGCATGAAAATAGATAAAAATAAAACAAAAATACTGGTATGCAAGGGAAGAAGAAGTAGGGAAAGAGCGAATATAAAGATAGGAGACGAAAAATTAGAGGAAGTGGCCGATTTTAGGTATCTAGGAAGTCAGATAAGTCAGGACAGAAGGAGTAGTAGGGATATAAAGCAGAGGATAGCTCAGGGTCGAGTCGCCTTCAATAAAAAGCAGTTACTTCTATGCTCGCGAACGGTTAATTTAGAAATTCGGAAAAGGTTGTTGAAGGTGTATGATTGGAGCGCGGCGCTGTACGAGTGCGAAACATGGACATTGGGTGCGGAAAAGGTTAGAAGCGTTCGGAATGTGATGTTACAGGCGAATGATCAGGATACCTTGAATAGAGAGGGTTAGAAATGAAGAGGTATTAGAAAGAATAGGAGCACAGAGGACTCTATGGAAGTCAATAAAAAATAGGCGAGATAGGTTGGTAGGACACCTTTCTCAGGCATGAAGGCCTAATCGGAGACATATTAGAGGCAGACAGGGGAGTTAGGAGGGGTAGAGGTAGACCTGTATTAGATTACTGTTCGCAAACAGTTAGGGAGGTGGGTTGTTCTAGTTTTGGGGAAATGCGAAGATTAGCTCAGGATAGGAAGGAGTGGAGGTGCGTGTCCAACTAGTCTTAGGACTGACGACCTTATGATGATGATGATGATGTTCCAGAATATCGTATATATACGTGTTCGTATTATAGGTGGCCGGCTTTTATTTAAAAGTTTACTGCGGTAGCGTAAGCCAATTACATAGTCACAGAAGGGGGAAAATGTATCGTAAAGTTACGTTTATAACTTTTTTTGGAACACAAAATTCTACAACCTGACGGATAGCTAATAATAGTTAATAAACAAGTATTGTTGGAAAAAGTATCTGTCTGACTTGCCTGAACATGCCTTCGTACATATTCTATATTTGGTGGACCATTAATTTCAAGTAGGACCGCGACAATACCTTGATTTCGTGGAGTATCTATCAGGGATCGTATCGTCGTTGTCTTTACAAATTCTACTTCTGGATATAAAACCGACACAGCGGCCAACCATGTTTTGTTACATACTTTAACAGCTGAAAATACGTGATTATTAAATAATTGATAACATACAAAATCCACACAGTTCAGCACAGGTCAACGCTTATACACGTGGAACACTGCAGTTAATTACATAATTGCCAATCGTCTCATTTACATAAGTGTACATACATGTAGATGTAGGTATGCATGTCTAGGGTAGGCAAATACTTAATATTCTAATTAGAATTTATCATTTCAAAAAAAAAAAAAAAATTAGAAAATGTGTAATTATCCTAATCAGAGATGTTTCGATTGATTGCCTTATCATGTTGTAAGTAAGCCACGTGAAAGAAAATTTTCTGTTCGATAAATACTAACGACGTGTCTAAAGTTAATTAAGTAATAGGTAGACACATGAATAAAGTAAAAATAAAAGTGAGAATGTGTAATAATAGAACTAACCTAGGCGAATGATTATAAACAGGGGAGTGAGAAACACTGCAATCAGAAACAAAATCACTGTTATACTTAAGTCAGACAAAGAAACGTCATCATCCATGCTGGGCACTTCACTATAACGACAAGTTGCTATTTATGATTCCATGCCGTTTACAGACATTTAATAAATAATAAACTGTTCCATGAAAACATTCTTTCTGAAATTTTAAATATTCTTATCGGAGACCTATGACCTGACGTTGTCAAATTTATTTTTAAGTCGATAAACCGACTCTTGAGAAATTTCGTGTAAGTACATATTATTATTTTCTTCTTCGTTTGTCTAGTGTAATGTGTTTATACAGACAGACAGATAGGTAGATAATAAGTAGATAGATAGATAGATAAGTTAGGTACGGCTTACATTCGGCCTGCTTCACTACATTTAAAATGAAAATTATTATTGAGCGTAACGTAGCGTGTTTTACAAATAGTCGCAAAAATTTCCGTTAATATTGTTTGTAGTAGGATTAAGATAGCAAGTAGGTATTACAAAGGGTACCACCATTTGCTAAGTAGTCGTCCTTATGGTACGAAGAAAATCCTGCAAAGACTCGCAAACTTAAGCTCTATTATAAATTAGTATTTAATTTGTTATCGTCGGTTCTTCTGCCGATTATTTACCTAAATTTTCATGAAAGTACTTAATGTAATGTAATGTAATGAGTTTTTGTACGATTTCGTTTGTATTAGGAAGGATCGAATTTGACACTCGTTGATAGTGTTAGTAAAATATCGTTTAAAACTTTTGGTGGAGGCGCCGGGACAATTTAAAACAAACCACAATTGATCTATAATTCCCGTTTCATTGAAGTAGATTGATGAATTTTCAACATTAAATTATATTTTTTGCATGTCCATGCAGTTAGGAATTTTGATCTTGAAAATTTCGATTGACAATACTTACTTATTAGGAGATGTTAAAAGGTACTTAGTTCCTAATTACAAGTTTTTAGATAATTTTTATTGTATATAATCGTTTAAATTCTCAAAATAAGACATTTATGATGACATACGAAGTTATTATCAGCTACTTAACAATTTTATTGAAAAGTTTGGTCAAGTCGCCGAAACAATTTAAAATATTTAATTATATATTCCACAATTACACTTATTGACAGCGTAACTTGAGCTCAACCCCACCACGTATTAAATCAATACAGGGTAGAATTGGTGTTATACATTCGCTGCAGAACGGTGGACAAAAATGTCCTTAGAAAGTGTAAAAACGTTAACAATTGTGCTCAAATTTAATGACCGTCTTTTAGATTGGCACTTGAAATCATCACGGTTAATTATTATTAATTATTAGACGTTGCAGTAGCCGAAGTTCGTAGGTATCTGGTGTTAATAGCAGTGACAAAGAAGATTCTTATTATGGTGTCGGAACTTGTGAATTTTCAGTGAATTTCCTCAAGATACCTACCTACCTACCCAACCCCTAAAACTTCCACTTTTCATACAATTAGTAGGCGTTTGCTGTGTAAGTTAACAATAAATTTTCTCTTAACAGTAGCTAAATGAAACAAAATTATATGATACATGTTAAAACAATCCACGATTGTGCAGACCGTTTCACTTTAATTTAATACTAGAAACAATAATTCAGAAACAAAAACAAGCATTTCATTTGTTTTTTAAACTTAACTTTTGTCAATAAATTACACTTTCGTTTTAAATTTGTCACATTTTCAAGGAAAATCATTAAGCATTAATTGCTAAATGTACCTATAGAGTGTGTTTTTAAATGCAGCAAAAAATACATTAATTACTACTTTAGTTCGGTTTTTCTGTGGCTTTGGTTGATCGGTTTAATTCATAACCCACAAAAGTTGCTTAAGAAATAGTAAATAATGGAAAACGCGACTGCCTCGAAAAAACCCTTTCGCCAACAACGGTTGTTGTTATGGTGTGATTTTTGTATACACATCAATAACGCATTTTTTTATGGTCGTGTACGAATGTTGGACAGTCTCCACATTCCAGTAGCACAATAGTGAGTTGATTCTGATAGGTTTTAACTGTTGTGTCATCAACTATAACACGTGCAAATTCTTGTAAGTACCTACCTCCTACACCATATAAAAATAAAAAGAATAATTCTTTCTTTGTTTTGTGAAGGATTTTAATTTGCCTGTAAGGTAAAATAAAATATTGGAAAAATTTCGCTGACACATTTTCAACGTTTTATTTATCTTATTAGTTTTTATTGTTTCAGGTGATATTGTTCGTAAATGAAAATATCAATTAACTACTTGACGAAAAAAAAAGTTAGGTATGCCACGATTTGCCTTTTACCATCTCGTCAACGTCCTAAATAGAAATAGAAAAAGGCCTTGTCTGCTAACATTACTTATAATCAGTCTCCTCACTACAATAATTATCGACATAATTTTCATAAATTCCATTCAAACTTTTCTCTATCCGTTTGAATCGTTGTCTTGCTACCGAATCGAAAATTTGAATACATTCCCAGACATATCGCAAATAAATCCAAGAGAAGGAAAGACGATTTTTTTCCACGAAACGTCGTGCAAGTCTCATACAGAAGGCAAAACTATTCTCAGTTCCAGACAAGCTTGTGCTGTCGAATCCGCAGCTAAATCCAATCCACATTTCGACGTTTTTGTTTTATTCACTTCGCCAGGTGTATTTATAAACAACAACACACAGTCGGACAGGTCTATTAAAGCATTGCTCACTTATCCGAATATAAAATTTTTACATGTCAATTATAACAATTACACCGAAGGCACTCCGGTAGGGAATCTGTATAAGAGCGGCAAAATAGAGACGTCTTATTACGCCATTTCACACGCTAGCGATGTGTTGCGTTACCTAACGCTATGGAAATATGGTGGCATTTATTTGGATCTGGATGTCATCGTAATGAGATCGTTAGAAGGATTACACAGTAATTATGCTGGAGCTGAATCAGACGATAATGTTGCTGCGGGTGTTATGAATTTTGCGTCCGATGGTCTTGGACATTTCCTCGCCGAAGAATGTCTCCTAGATCTGAGTGAGCATTTTACAGGCTATGATTGGGGTTACAATGGTCCAGGTGTTATAACGAGGTAATTAGTAATTGGCACACATTTCTATAAAAGTGTGCGTGGGTGGATGTATCATGCACGAATGGTATGGTAAATATGTACTTAGAAGTATCAGGCTTGTCTTGAAAACTGCTACCCAGTCAGGACCGGCGAAAGGGATTGAACCGGTTGTTGAGTGGAAGGGAAACTATAAAGGGGAGGACTTTAGATGAATTACTACCAATCGCTTTTTTTTTTTTGTTTGAATTATTTTGAATATTTTACAAAAAGAGTGCTGGAATGTGGCAATTTGACATCGCTCTCAAAAACCGTTGGCACCGCGAGATTCTACGTACTCTTTTACGTAATTTTCACCTATTAAAGCTTAATAAACCGTTTCTATCTCCTAATAATTTCTGGAGCGCTTTTTCACGTTTGAATTATTTTATATAGATTTTAGCAAAAATAATGCTGGAAAGTACCAATTTGACACCGCACTCGAAAAGCGTTGGTACCAAGAGATTCTACGCACTTTCTTATACAATTGTTACTTCTTAAAGCTTAATGGATACCCTCCATCTCTCTATATACTTCCATGAGCGCTATTCATGTTCAAAATATCTTATTTTGTGAACAAAACCGGGGGTAAGTACCAATTTGATACCGCACTTGAAACCCGTTGTCACCGTGAGATTCTACGTACATTTTTATATAAATACCATTTCTCAAAGCGTAGTAAATACTTTACAT